ACATGACCTGGAAAAACTGTCTGCGGACAAGGGCCAGCTCCCTCGGCCAATAAAGCGAGATGAGCGCCGCAACCCCAGAGTCATTCGCGACAGGACTTAACTGTCAGGGGTCCTTTACCTTTACCTTTTTAAGGGCATAAGAAGAGCCTGCCGGATTTGGCCCAAGGGGATCCTTCTAGTCACAGTGGTCAGCCAGATGCCCACCAGCAAGACCCGAGTGCGAAACCACCCCCACCAACGTTCTCCCCACGTGCAATTCTCTGGGCAATTGGCATGATTCAGAGGTGAGATTATCCCAACAGTGGAGGGATGGCCTAGCCATTGTGGCCAGTATTATTGATTATTGTTTATCTTTTGCATGCCTATGCCTCCTTTTCCTCTAGGGAACTTGAGGGAGTGTACTTGCTTCCCCATTGTCGCTCCTCATTTAATCCAAACAACAACCCTGTGAGGTAGGCTGAGGGGAAGTGACTGGCCCTCAAGGTCACCCAGCGAGCTTTTTTGGCTTGAACCACCATTGGCAGGAATGGCAACAAAAGCAGCAGAGATGTTTTATACTTAAAACAATATTTAAGGTAAAGGTAAAGGTACCCCTGCCCGTACGGGCCAGTCGTGTCCGACTCTAGGGTTGTGCGCCCATCTCACTCTAGAGGCCGGGGGCCAGCGATGTCCGGAGACACTTCCGGGTCACGTGGCCAGCGTGACAAAGCTGCATCTGGCGAGCCAGCGCAGCACACGAAAACACCGTTTACCTTCCCGCTAGTAAGCGGTACCTATTTATCTACTTGCACTTAGGAGTGCTTTCGAACTGCTAGGTGGGCAGGAGCTGGGACCGAACAACGGGAGCGCACCCCGCCGCGGGGATTCGAACCGCCGACCATGCGATCGGCAAGTCCTAGGCACTGAGGTTTTACCCACAGCGCCACCCGTGTCCCTGTAAAACAATATTTAGTATCTTGCTAATTATGCAGTTTCACATTTTATATTTGACTTCCTTTAGCAATGCTTTGTTTTGAAATGTTTAAGAGAAGGTTTTTCATTGTTAAATTAGCTGCGTTCTGTAGTTGGCTTCCTTTGTAATGTTTTATGTTCAAATCTTTTAAGACAACATTTTAGTTTCCTGTTAGCTATGTTGCTTTAAATCAGGCGTAGGCAAAAGCCGGCCCTCCAGATGTTTTGGGACTACAACTCCCATAATCCCTAGCTAACAGGACCAGTGGTCAGGGATGATGGTGTTATGGAAAAATCTAGGTGTGAGGCTGCTCAGCCACCCAGCTCATCGGGCAGAGCCCGCAGGTCCCTGCGGAATAAAGGAAGGAGTCCAGCCACCAACCGGAGTAAATTGCTGAAGATCCGAGTTTATTGCACAACAGGTTCAAAATGCGATTGAACCCCGAGGATGGGGTGACAAGGACTTTTAAAACTTTCCCACAATATCCCAGAATACAGTTCATACAGCATCATTGCTACATCATTGCTACATCACTGACATGTCACAAAAGGGGAGGGTTACACATCATTAGCATAGACAGATGTGTTAGGGCAACACAGAAGTATAAGATTAGCAGACAAATATGTCTTAAGTACCCACCACCCAAAAGTACAATAGAACTTCCTTTTCATGTCTGGAGCCTGAGGCAAGTCAGGTGATGAGATTTGGCTTCCCTTGGCTAACAATGAGCCCAGCAATTGTCACCTCTGGGAACTTCCTGGAGTCCTTTTTCAAGGGGAAAATAGCTTTGGGATGGAGGAAACTGGCAAATGACTTGATTTTATATATTTTTTAAAGCTAGGTAACTTCCCTGAGCTGTCAAGTTGAAAGGATACATTCAGGCATAATATTTGTAACATTTAACAACTTTAAAGATGTGCCCCACCCCCGTAATTTCCGTAACAATGGGAACTGTAGTCCCAAAACATCTGGAGGGCTGAGTTTGCCTATGCCTGATTTAAATGCATACTTTACATTTGACTTTCTTCAGGACTGCTTTATTCTCCATGGTTTTGTCTTAAAAATATAAAGTGGTATAGATGTTATAAGAGAAAACTGTTCCTTTATTTCTTATGGAGTACCCAAGAGCCCATATAGGGTCCTTATGAAGGTTCTCTATCAGTAGGAGAAAATAACAGGCCAAACAGAGAATATTGAGAAGCAAAGCGGCTAGTAAGCCTGATCTTTATTAAACTGTTGCAACAGGGTGCTCACTCACCACATGCAGGAGGGAGGAGGAACCCTGAACAATGTTGTGCAAGCTCCTATATAGACTTTCAAAGTTGCCTCCCCTGTAGCTCAAGACCACCCCCTGAAACATCATACATGCATCACAGAAAGAGGTGGTCCCCAGCAGAAATTTGAGTGTGTTGCTTCTCTCCTGCCGGCCAGGATACCTGATAATGCCTTATTATTATCTGATTACCTTTTCTGGGTAGCCTGCCCAGTCCTCGGAGATGGTAAATACTTAGTTCTTGAATCTCTTACGCACAGTTGATAGTGTGCTCAGGTTAACAGATACTTGCCAGACTGTATTTACAGGGAGGTGTAAGCAGCCCCTACAGTCCAAAGACAATTGGAAAGCTTTTCCCATCTCCTTCCTCCTTGCAGAGAAATATTTGAGGTCAATTTGGGAGAGTCAAATGGCTTCAGGATTGTTCTCCTGTACTATTTCAGTCACGTGGTTTATAAATTTATGTACGTGCTTGCCTTGTACATTTATGAAGATATATATATATATATATATATATATATATATATGACATTGGATTTCCTATAACATAGAAATGAAATAATAATAGTAGTAGTAGTAATAATAATAATAATAATAATAATAATAATAATTTTAAAAAACCTCCAGTGAAGGAGACTCCTCCTTGGAAGGTGCTGGCCTCTCCTTCCTTAGGGACTTTTAAGTACAGTAGAGGTTGGATGGACATCTGTCAGGATTTTCTTAGTTGCAATTCCTGCTTTGCAGGAGGCTGGACTAGAGGACCCTTGGGGGTCCCTTGCAACCCTACCATTCTCTGATTCTATGAGGAATGAAGGAGACTGGTACCTGTGCCAAGTGCTGCCCATGGGGAACCTGGCCCCTACACGAATTTGGCTGGGGATTTGATCATCCCGCCCTTCTGCAGTGTGTGCCTTGGGGTGCATGCTCACTCTTCAGAAGGATGAGTGGAAGCCGTGTGGTCTAAGTAGGTGAAAGGGCAACTGGACGCCCAGGAAGGAAGAGGTGATGCAACCAGGGGGCGTCTTGCGAGGGGGGGCACAAGGCCAAGGGGCGGGAGGGCTGAGTCTTTCCTGCTTGTTGGTTGAAAGAAGAGGAAGCTGGGGACGGGTGTGGGGAAAGCACAGGAGGAGAGCTCAGGCCCTGCTTGTGAGGGGTTCCTAAACAGCCTCAGCCCAGCAGTGGCGTAGCATGGGTTGTCAGCACCCGGGGCAAGGCAAGTAATTTGCGCCCCCTAACCCGTGGATTTGCCCTAACCCCAGATATTGCGCCCGGTGCGGCCGGCCCCCCCTGCACCCCCCACGCTACGCCACTGCAGCCCAGTATACCTGAAGGAGCATCTCCACCCCCATCATTCAGCCTGGATGCTGAGGTCCAGCTCCGAGGGCCTTCTGACAGTTCCCTCCCTGCGAGAAGTCAAGTTACAGGGAACCAGACAGAGGGCCTTCTCAGTGGTGGCACCCGCCACCAGATGTCAAAGAGAAAAACAACTACCAGACTTTTAGAAGACATCTGAAGGCAGCCCTGTTTAGGGAAGCTTTGAATGTTTGATGCATTACGGTATTTTAATATTGTGATGGGTGGGGTATAAATACTAAATAATAATAATAATAATAATAATAATAATAATAATTAGGCACCTGGTTGGCCACTGTGAGAATGCAACACTGGTTTCTCTCCCTGCGCTATCCAGCAGGGCATTCAGGCACACTGCTGCCTCTGACTGCACAGGCACCCTGCCCAGGCACCACCCAAACCTCTCTCCTCCTCCAGGAATTTCTCCAATCTTCTTTTAAAGCCATCCAGGTTGGTGGCCGTCCCTGCCTCCTGTGGCAGGGAGTTCCGCAGGTTCATTCTGCGCCAGGCGAAGACGGACTGTCCTCCCCGAGAGAGGGAGAAAAGCTCTCCTACATCCGCTTTCTCCATGCCAGACACACTTTTCATAAACTTTTATCAATATCCGGCTATGAGGCGAGGCCAGAACTTTACGCAGCCTTCCAAATCTGGGCGCACCAAACATTCATAGAGTGGCCTTAGGAAACACAGGGTCGTTGAGTCGGGAGGTACCCCGGGGTCATTTAGTCCAGCCCCCTTCAATGCAGGACGATAATGGCCGTTCTGTTTCCAGTCCCTTCCCTAACGATTCCGCTAGGGGATTTGTCTTTTCCACGGCCGCTGCCCCTCCCCATCAAAACTGGGTGCTTGAGCGCGGGGTCCAATTGGGGGGTAGCGCGCCTCCCTTCGGAGGGAGAGCCAAAAAGCCGAGCAAGCGGTGCAGAAGTCGAGGCACGAGGCATCTTCGGAGCTGGCGGGACGCGCGCGGGGGGGGGGGGGAGGCGGCGTGTCAGACGGGGGTAGCCCCCCCTTCTCTGGCCAACAGCCCAGTGGGTGAGAGGTCACTGCAGGGGCTGGGGGGGGGGAGAGGGCGGCTTCTGCACAGCCCGGGCGTGTGGCACGTGCAAGGCGTGTACAGCCGTCGAGGGGGGGAGGCGTGCAAAGGCAGCAGGGAGCCCCTCCCCACGCTCCCTCCCCGCCCCCGAGCTTTCAGGAGGGGTGGGGCCGGGCGATGCGCTCCGAGACCCTGGATCGGCCCCGCGACGCCAGTTCCCACGGCCGCCCCGTCCAACAAACCTTCCCTTCCGGGCGGGGCGGGGTCAGCGCCGCCCCGTCGGAGGAGCCATAAGAGGCGGACGCGTGGCCGGCGGACGGGCTGCAAGTCGCCGCTGTCGGGAGAGGAAGAGGAGGAGATCCGGTAAGTTGTTCCCCCACCGTCCGTCCCGTCCATTGATTGGGGTCGTTCGGGGAAGACGGGTCGGGGCTGCACTGAGCCTCGAGGGCTCCTCGCCTCTTCCCCCCACTGGGAAGAAGGGAGGCCATGGGTCAGGGGTAGGGGAGCCTCTGCCCGTCGAAGGGTCCCGGGCCCATCGCCAACGGGGAGGGCTGGGAATGGCGCCCCGCGCACCTGGGAGATCCTGCAGGGACGTCCGCGCCCTCCCAGACGGAGCCCGGGTCGGAGAAGACAGTCGTCCCCCGCCCCCGCCCCCACGACACACACACGGCTAACGGTCCGACGGGATCCGGGGCGAACCGTCAGCCCAGAGGGACTCTGCACGTGCTCCGGGGTAGCCTGGTTTAGTAACATGGGTTGTTTTTCGGTCCAGGCAGGGACGTTCGCCTTCCAGTTCCTGCTTGCCTACTTCAACATTTTTGGGGGGTGTATGGGATGAAATCTGCTCCTCCTGCTCCGCTTTAATTGCTATATCTGGGAGACTTGATAGTTGAAGCGCTTGCAACAGGAGCCATGTGTTCCGGAGCACGTGCAGAGCGCCTCCCGTTCCTTCGGGCCCTTCAAAGTCATTTTATTTATTGGTCTTCTATCCCATCCTTTCCTCCGAGGAGCTCAAGGTACGGCTTACATGGTTCCCCTCCCGTCTCCTTTAATCCCCAAGAACCCTGCGAAGTAGGGTAGGCGAGACAGCAAGGCACTGGCCTTCAAGGTCCCATCCAGGGAGCTTATGGCTGAACTTGGCCGGGCAGGATTTGAACCGTGGTCTTCGTCCTCATTTAATCCCCACCACAACCCTGCGAGGAAGTTGAGCCTGAGAGGCAGCTTGGCCCCAGTTCCTTGCTTTTGCCCTGATGGCTAAGTGGCAGTCCCAGCCCTGCTTCTAGAAAGTGCGCCTCGCAGGCTGCGCTCTGGCTCTCTCTGGGGGTCCTCCTGTGTGCAGAGCGGGGCTCCCCTTCCTTTCGTGAGAGGCGGAGGCTGGTGGGCAGTTGCGTAGGCCAGTCTGAGCCTGCTCTTAGGGAAACTGAGGCATGTGGAGGAGTGGGGAAAGAGCCAGGCAGGGTCTGAGCCCCACTGGGGCCATCGTTTCAGAGCAGATTCTCTAGCTGAGATTCCTGCATCGCTTGGGGGTTGGACTGGATGACCCTCGGAGGTCCCTTTCAGCTCCTAGCATTGCTGACAGGAGTGAGGGATTGTCAGCATCTATTTTATATATATATAATTTTTTAAAAAAATTTTGGACATATCATTTTCAACAGTAATTAAACATACTTTCATATCTTATACCAGCTTTTTTTCCAGTCACATCTGAAAAATTTCCAATCTATTCATTAAATATACCTTTCTTACTTCCACAATTACATTTAACTCATAACTAACATCTCTATTATTTCTCTACTTTGCAGTGCTTCATACATTTCTCCTTACAAAACTTCTTGTAGTCCTACTAGGGTAATTTGTTGATTACACTTGCTCTTCAAATAGTCCGTATATTTCTTCCAATCTTCTGTAAATCTCTGGTCCCGCAGGTTTTGAATCCTTCCTGTCATTTTATTCTGCATGGTCCATTAATTTTGAATGCCTTTCTTCTTTCGTTGGAATTTCTTCTTGCTTCCATTTCTGGGCTAAGTAGGCACTGTCAGCATCGAAGACCTGAGCTCAGAGTTTACTTGTGAGATGGTCTTGCCCCCCACCCGCGACCCCAAAACTGCTTCAGCCTGGCCCTTCCCCAGGAGCCACATCACCCCCCTTCCACATTGGTGAGGACTCAGTCACTGCATGTACCCTTTGGAACTCCCTGCCTATGGATATCAAGCAGGCGCATTCGCCGGATTATTTCCAGCACCTGCTGAAAGCCTTCTTCCTTAGAGATGCTGATCCAAATTTTAACCGGGTGTAGTGTTTCATTTTTTGCACGTTTTAACACATTGTAATCTTTCCCCTTTGTTTTCCTTATCTTTCTGCAAACCTCACCAAGGCTTCCTTGTTTTTACAGTGAAGCGGTTTATAAATTCTGTGAAACAAATAAAATAAATGCATTTGATTTTGAGAAGGCTGAATGATTAATCTGAGAGGCCTGCAAATGGTGTGTTGGGGTTGAATCTAAAGCTGCCTTTGAGAGCCATTGCGTTATATAGTTTAACTATGAAATACAAAATTTCCTTGTTATTATTTGCATCAGATGTCAAACAGATAAACAGCTATCTGACTTTTAGAAGACATCTGAAGGCAGCTCTTTATAGGGAAGTTTTTTTTTAAATGTTGGATGATTTATGGCATTTTATATTTTTATATTGTGCTGGAAGCCTCATAGAGTGTCTGCCTCATAGAGAGGCAGGCTGCATATTATTATTATTATTATTATTATTATTATTATTATTATTATTAGGGACTGCCTCTCCTGGTATGCCCCGTGGAGGACCTTAAGGTCCACAAATGACAACATTTTGGAGGTCCCAAGTCGCAAGGTGGTTAGATTGGTCTCAACTAGGGCCAGGGCCTTTTCAGTACTGGCCCCGACTTGGTTGAACGCTCTGACACAAGAGACTAGGGCCTTGCAAGACTTGACATCTTTCCGCAGGGCCTGCAAGATAAAGCTGTTGCACCTGGCCTTTGGTTTGGACTCAGTCCGACCCTTATGTTTCCCTCCCCTTATGGTTTTGATCTATGGGCTACTTTTAAAATGAGGCTGCATTTTAATCTGTATTTTAAATTGAGTCCCCCCACCCCCATTATGTTTTTACTGTAATTTTACTGATGTTAGCAGCCCTGAGCCTGGCTCTGGCTGGCGAGGGCGGGGTATAAATTATTATTATTATTATTATTATTATTATTATTATTATTATTATTATTATATCAGGTACATGGGAGAGAGCAGGCTTCAAATGCCACCCCCATTGCCAAAGATGTTGTTTCTATTTCAAGCCATACCAATTATTGATAATGTTAAGTGTTTAAAAGAATGGCAGAAAGCATTGTCTAAATTTATCCGGCAGGGGAAAAACCCCAGAATTAAATATGAGTTGCTAACGGACACTAAAGAAAGAGGGGGATTCTCCCTGCCAGATCTGAAGATATATTATGAAGCTGCAGCTTTCTGCTGGATGAAAGAATGGATTCAATTAGACAATGTTGATGTGCTGGATTTGGAGGGATTTGACAACGTATTTGGTTGGCATGCATACTTGTGGTACGACAAGATAAAGGCTCACAAAGGTTTTAAAAATCATATAATTAGAAAATCTCTATATAATGTTTGGACAAGATATAAAGATCTCTTGGGAAGAAAAACACCCAGGTGGCTTTCACCAATGGAAGCCAAGGGTATGAGAAGCTCTTTTGGTGACCTTGGGAGGGGTTTCATCCACTGCCCTCTCTCAGCCTCACCCTACCTCACAGGGTTGTTGTAGGGCTTCAGGGAGGAGAACTATGTAAGGTACCTTGAGTTTGGAGGAAAAGTTGAGATTTAAGTGCAGGGAATAGATAATAGGAGGGTGGGGCCTCTGTGGCCAAAATCAGAGGTGTGAGTTGCAGCCACTCAGGGGTCTGTTCTCTTCTTCTCAGGAGCAAGTCCCGGATCTGTGCTCGCCATCACCATGCAGTGGGTGGTGAAGATCTACCTCCTGGGCCTGGTACTGTCTCTTCTGTCTCTGCTCTTCGGGCTGATGGGCTTCCTGGGAGACCTGATGCCCTCCCATGGGGCTGGACCCCTGCCTCCCTGGCCGCTGGGTGGAATCGGAGGGCGGAAGCCTTGCGGACGGAGCCCCCCCAGGCCTCTCGGGGGATAACAAGCTCAGGACAAGCAAAGAGATTGGCCCCTATGCATGAGCCGAGGGGCTTCGCTGGCGGCAAAACCAAAATGGCACGGATTATGTGGGTTTTTTTGAGGGATGGGGTTAACGTGGATGGGGCTGGGTTTGTATGTGCCTTTGCCAACCTGCCCTGGTGAAAGAGGGGGCTGGCAGCAGAAGCCCAGCTGGCCTGGGGGAGGAAGATGCCCCCACTTGGGGAAGCCTCTGCACCCTGTTAATTTGGAGATTTGTGGGGCAGGTGTTGGAACCCCTGTGGATCGATATGGAGACATTGCCAACGAGAATCAAGCCCAGACTCTGCAAAAGGGACGCCTATTGATCTTCTGCTGCGGGACACGGAGAAGAACACTGAGGACTAGTGACTTGGGGCCAAGAATATGGCTGACTTCTTCTGCTTCATAGCCTTTTCCGAACACAAAATGGCTTGATTCTCAACAAACTGGGCTGAGTCACGCTCACTGAGCTCTAGACTCTTGGCTACACAGACAGAAAAGGTGTGCCCAGTGGCCGAGCCTGGCTGTTGGACGGACCTGCATTTGGCAAAATTGGGGGCGCAGGATTGGGCACCCCGAGCAAAATTCTGGGCTCCCTTCATAGAAACATTTCCCCCTGTTCTTCGGCGCAATAATGGATCTGTGTTCTCATCCTGTGAAAGTCTGCTAGGAATCTGTCTGCTTACCCCAAGGTTTAGCCATGCTGTCGCCAGCCCACCTGCAAGCAGCAGTTGGTGGAAGAGGCCTGCTGGACTGTGGATCATTATTATATTGCGGGAGGGTCCCTAACTCGTCCCCTGCAAGGGAGGGCAGCTGTGGGCAAGGCAACCCCAGGGGCTGGCGGGGGGGGGGCGTGAGAAGAGAAAGAGACCTGCCCCTGGTGTTGCCAGGCTACCCTGCCCTCCTTGAGGTGCTTCAAACAAAATCCCTGTGCTTTTAATATCTGTAGTTTACGAAGACACCCCAAAAAGGATGCCATTTGGTCTGGAAGGAGCAAAGGCAGCTGCAAAGGAAGGGCTCTCGCATGCCCCCTGGTGGCAGCTGCTAAGAGTTTCAATGGAAACAGCTAAAAGTATTTTTCAGGACAGACTTGGGGAAATTCTAGCCTTGGGGTGAGTGGTTCAGGGGTGCCTTTTTTGTGGTGCAAACCACCTCCTGGATCTTCTGATCTTGCTGGAAATGCAGAAGGCTGTATCCTAAATTCTTCACTGCGCCTCCGTCTCTGAAGAAAGAAGGATGGACATTTTAAGCCTGTTGAGCTGCCCTCTCCTGAAAGGGAACGTTCGTGATTCCTTCAATAAATGGCAACTCTTTTTAAATAAATATATATAAAACTCAAAATATGAGCTCTTTATTTGTGGGGAGGGATTTTTTTTGGGAGCAGGGAAATGGGGTGCTTGAAAAAGCTCCCCCTGTCACCCCCTACTTCATAGCTGTCAACTTTTCCCTTTTCTTGCAAGGAATCCTATTCGGAATAAGGGAATTTCCCTTTAAAAAAGGGAAACATTGACAGCTATAACCCACTTGCTGGAAAGGGCTTTTGGTTTTGTGAAGGAAAGGTGACTGAATTCAAAAGATGCCTTAAGAAGAAATCAGCTGAGGTGCTCCTCCTCCCCAGAGGACAAGTATGGAAAACCCCCATGAATGTTTATGGTTGAAGAAGCATTCTGTGCTACCCAGAAGCTTACTTCCAGAAGGGCGAAAAAGAACAGAAATTCACACACACAACACCTGGCTGTGTTGCTGATGCCTCTGCTGGACAGCAGCTGCCCCCTCCCAGGAACAGCCCCCCCTTGCTGGCCAATGTGACATCACAGCTTGAGCCAGGTAGCCCCGCCCCTCTGCAGGGTGTCATCGCTGATGCTGCGGGAGCAGAGGAGCCCGGCTGCTGCTGGCTGGCTTGGCTGGCTGGGCCAGGGAGGGCCGAGAGTGGCAACGGAGGCCCCCCCGAGGCATGCTCACCCCCTTGAGTGCCCATGTCTAGAGGGGCCTTGGCTCGCAAGCACAGTGCTGGGGAGGAGCTGGGCCTGGAAGGGGGCTTGCTGTGCCAGCTGGTCCGCTCCCCGGATTACAACCTGTTCCCCAACTCAGCGGTCTTTGAGAGCAACTTCATCCAGGTAGCTCCCCTTTCCCATCCCCGGGTGGTTTATCAGTTTAGATGGCCACCTGCCAGGGATGCTTCAGCCGAGATTCCTGCATTGCAGGGGGTTGGACTAGATGGCCCCTGGTGGTCCCCTTCCAACTTGTGATTTTAGCCTGGTTTGGGCCGGGGGTGCTTGCTTTTAATCGACAGGTGACCAAGAAGGGGAAATGGGTGGACATCACGAATTCGCCCACCATCGTGACCATGGGAGTGACTTCCTCGGACCCCTGCCTGCCGCTCCCCAACGTCTTGCTGATGGGGCGCCACAGGGTCCCGATCCGGAGGAGCCACAGCAAGGCTTTAAGGCGCCCCCCTCTAGAGCTGACCAGGTAAAGTGCAGAAAAGGGATCTGTTGGTATACAGTGGTACCTCGGGTTACATACGCTTCAGGTTACAGACGCTTCAGGTTACAGGCTCCACTAACCCAGAAATAGTACCTCGGGTTAAGAACTTTACTTTAGGATGAGAACAGAAATCGTGCTCCGGTGGTGCAGCAGCAGTGGGAGGCTCCATTAGCTAAAGTGGTGCTTCAGGTTGAGAACAGTTTCAGGTTAAGAACGGACCTCTGGAACGGATTAAGTACTTAACCCAAAGTACCACTGTAGTCCAGCACAGAGGTAGGCAAACTAAGGCCTGGGGGCTGGATCCAGCCCAAACGCCTTCTGAATCCGGCCCACGGATGGTCCGGGAATCAGCGTGTTTTTACATGAGTAGAAGGTGGGCTTTTATTTAACACGCATCACTGGGTTATTTGTGGGGCATAGGAATTCGTTCATTATCCCCCCCTTCAAAATATAGTCTGGCTCACTGCATGGTCTGAGGGATGGCTGAAAAAGGTTGCATTTATTGCATTCTATAACACTCAATAGTGAGGTAGCTTAGGCAGAGAGGCAGAGTCTGGCCCGAGGTGAGCTTCACAACTGACGGGGGATTCGAAACCTGGTCTCTTAAGTGTTCTCAGGGCCGGATTTAGGTTTGATGAGGCCCTTAGCTACTGAAGGTAATGGGGCCCTTGATATGTCCAGCTGTCCTTTGTCAACAACAAATGGTCACTGTTTTTGTGTTGAATATATGCTATATGGCAATTGATGGACCTAATAGCTATCTAATGGGATGCGGGTGGCACTGTGGGTTAAACCACTGAGCCTAGGACCTGCCGATCAGAAGGTTTGTGGTTCGAATCCCCGTGACGAGGTGAGCTCCCGTTGCTCGGTCCCTGCTCCTGCCAACCTAGCTGTCCGAAAGCACGTCAAAGTGCAAGCAGATAAATTGGTACCGCTCAGGTGGGAAGGTAAACGGCGTTTCCGTGGGCTGCTCTGGTTCGCCAGAAGCGGCTTAGTTATGCTGGCCACATGACCCGGAATCTGTATGCCGGTTCCCTCGGCCAGTAAAATGAGATGAGCACTGCAACCCCAGAGTCAGCCACGACTGGACCTAATGGTCAGGGGTCCCTTTACCTTTTATATCACTCAGTAGTGAGGTAGATTAGGCAGAGAGGCAGAGTCTGGCCTGAGGTGAGCTCCACAACTAAGGGGGGATTCGAAACTGGGTCTCTCCCGTGTTCTCGGGGCCGGATTTAGGTTTGATGAGCCCCTAAGCTCCTGAAGGTAATGGGGCCCTTGATATGTCCAGCTGTCCTTTGTCAACAACAAATTGTCGCTTTTTTGTGTTGAATATACGCTATATGGTAATTTGTGGACCTAATAGGCATCTCAAGCCATTTGCACATGTTGCCCAGTCCATGCAGAATAGAAGCACCCTATATATAGAAATGAGCAAACCAGTGATATTTTAGGGAGCAGGCTAGCAGGCGGGGCCCATGACTTACATCATAGGAGCCTACACAACACAAAACACTGTTGCTGTATGTAGCTTTTATTTGATTAGCTTTTAATCTTCTATTTTGGAAATGTACATCCAGTGTTGGTTTTTCCCCTTTAATTTTTTTGGGGGTCCCAAGAGAGTTGGGCCCTAAGCTATAGTTTGTTTAGCTTATACATAAATCCGGCACTTCATGTCCTATTCCAACACTCTAACCACTGCACCACGCTGTTTCTGAGCCTCCCCTGCCCAGCAGCGCCCATATCCTGACCGCCTTCGCCGCTTTGCCCCAGGCTGCTCCCCCTGCGCTACGTCCGCCTGTCCGTCCACGATGAAGCCCAGCGCATCCTGCGCGTTCAGACTGTGACGGGGAAGGTCTACTACCTGCAGCTGCACCAGGAGCACCCCCACGCCGTCTTCGCCCTGTGGAGCCGCCTGGCCGAGATCCTGCAGAAGGGCCTCTCCATCACCACCAAGGACCCCAACATCCGCATCCGCCACAGCTTGGTCCCCAGCGGCAGCAGCCCCTCCAGCAGCTCCTCCGGTGAGGTAAGGGGGCTGCTCTTCTCGCAAACTCCGGCACAGGGAGGGACGCGGTCCGAGGCCTTGGCAGAGACAGTTCTTGTGGGATGTGATCCATGAGAGGCAGTCAAGTACAGTGGTACCTTGGGTTACATACGCTTCAGGTTACATACACTTCAGGTTACAGACTCCGCTGACCCAGAAATAGTACCTTGGGTTAAGAACTTTGCTTCAGGATGAGAACTGAAATCGTGCTCCAGCGGCGCAGCAGCAGCAGGAAGCCCCATTAGCTAAAGTGGTGCTTCAGGTTAAGAACAGTTTCAGGTTAAGAATGCACCTCCGGAACGAATTAAGTACTTAACCTGAGGTATCACTGTACAACATTCCTTGTAATGCTAGAGAAGACATACGAGGGGATGTTTGGTCCAGCCAGTCGAAACTTCCTGTACACCAGTGTGGTGTAGTGGTTAAGAGCGGTAGTCTCGTAATCTGGGGAACCGGGTTCGCGTCTCCGCTCCTCCACATGCAGCTGCTGGGTGACCTTGGGCCAGTCACACTTCTTTGAAGTCTCTCAGCCCCACTCACCTCACAGAGTGTCTGTTGTGGGGGAGGAAGGGAAAGGAGAATGTTAGCTGCTTTGAGACTCCTTAAAAGGGAGTGAAAGGCAGGATATCAAATCCAAACTACTCCTACTCCTCCTCCTCTTCTTCTTCTTCTTCCTGGCTGGAGCATCCTTCCTTTTGCATGTGATAGATGGTGGGCATGGCCTTACCTGTCCAGGTAACAAAAGGATGAGTCACGCAGCACCCCCCTCTCTCTTTTTTGACTTTGTCCTTCATTTGACCAGCTTTTAGCTAGGACTGCTCTGCTGGCTCTTAGCTAGCAGAAGCACTGGGATTATTCCCCCATATGGGGTAGATCCACAAGTACATATTTGTAACTAAGCCTGCCTTCAGGAATCCAACTGTGAACTGATGTGAGTAAACTTCTCTTATTGACTTTGAATAAGATTGTGGCATCTTTATTCTTTTAAGAGGGATTCAAGGGAACTTACCAGGAACGTACAATTCAATCTGAGACAGTCTGAACTGTATAATAGTGATAGGCTCACACGAGCCTGCAACCAGCTTATCTGCTGTGCTTGTAAAAAAGGGGAATGTAACTCTGCTAAGGAAAGGAACTTGCTAGTGCAAGTTAGGAAGGATATTAATAAACAATATTCTCTAAGGAGCTCTGAGGAGAAACACCTCAAAGCAGGTTATAAAAAGATAAACCCGGAAGAATTTACGACGATACTTTAAAACATACCAAAAGTTAAAATACAGGCAAACCCCCATTTATGTGGGATTGAATTGTTCGTTCCTGGTAAGTTCCCTTGAATCCCTCTTAAAATGCATTCAGATGCATTTAAATGAAAGTGTATATTTGAAATGCCATTGAAAAAACCTGCAAACTCCCTGTTCTGCCACTGGCCCATTTGGCCCCTTTTTGTGACATTTTTGGGTCGCTTCAGCATGATGTGTGTGTGGGCAGTCATGCTCATATCAGACACACCTAAAATGGTCACTGCCTCTACTGAAATAGGCTAGAATTCACGTCGACCTTCTTGGCATCTGGGCAGGTTGGTCTAAACAGAAGCTGATTTTAGTGGGCGCTGGAAAGAGTGCATTGAAGGTGCCTGCTTGCTATCAAGAGGCAGGGAGTTCCAAAGTTGCCACACTAAAAAAACCTAGGTTCTTGCAAATGCAGAACAGATATTACATGGTTTCCCTGCTTCTCATTTAATCCCAACAAGAACCCTGTGAGGGTTTGGCTGAGAGGCAGCGACTGTGCCAGTGAGCCTCTTCTCCAAGTGGAGATGATAGTAATAATAATAATAATAATAATAATAATAATAATAATAATAATAATAATATAGACCCCAGCTTCCAACACATATAAAAACATAATAAAGCACAAAACATTAACAATCTGATCCTGTGTGAAAAGTCACAATATATTTCAAAGTGATTTTATTTATTTTAAACCACTTATATTAAACAAGGCAATATTCAACAATCCATTCGAATCTAATACTGTAAAATTAAACGCCTGCAAATAATAATTTGAAGGATGGCTAATTGGTGCTTGTTTGTAACTTTGGCAGGGTTTTGCATTATGATTGCTGCAAATGGCTTTGATATGCATTTTTATGACAGAGCGGCAAACAGATATTTGTTATAAATAAATGTACTGGGTGGGAGGCAGCTGGGGGGGAACGGGGGGTGCCTTGGATTCACAGCAGCCTCTCTGGTTCTCGCCCTCCCCTGTTATGGACTCAGTACGTGGACAGGGCGACACGGGGAAGGAGCGCAATGAAGAAAGCCGGCAAGAAGGTGACGGGTGCCCTCGCCCACATCTCGAAAAGCCCCCCGAAGGACAAAGGCAAGAGGAAGTAAGTGGCCTGGACTTATTTTATGGGGCTCTTTACCAATGGACGTAAAATTTAGAGCTGGGAGGGTCATTTAGCTCAACCCCATAAAATTCAGGATTCACAGCAGAAATCATCCCAGGCAGGCAGCTGCCCAACCCGAGTTAATCTAAGAACATCAGAACAGCTGTCTGGGTCAGGCCAGTCTGGTCCAGCCTCCTGTTCTCCAAGTGGCCAGGCAGATGCCCATCGTGGGAAAGCAGCAAGCAGGATTTGAACACAGGGGCAACTCTCCAGTGGCGTAGCGTGGGGGGTGCCAGGGGTGCCGGCCGAACCGGGCACAACATCTGGGGGGGGGGAGTCCAGAGGGAAGAGACAAGTTCCTTCCTCCGCCAGGCTCCCCGCCGCCACCGCCAGCCTTGCGCCCTAGCGCACGCGCCCCGCCGCCGCTGCGGCTGCTCGCAGGAGGAGCAGCCGCTGTAGCAGCGCCGACGCCGCCACCAACCCCTGGCCGGGCATGGGCAGCCTCCGCACCCGGACGCCGACACCATCCCCTCGGCCCAGCCACAGGCGGCGGCTGCTTCTGCCGACTGGGAGGGAGGAGAGCTCTGAGGGGCCTCGCCGTGCCCTGCGCTCCCCAAAGCCCTCCGAGAGGAAGCCGGCGGGCGGGCGAGGGTCTCCCGGCGGAAGGGGCACCGCTGGCTCCGGCTCTCAGCGCAAGTCTCAGCCGCAGGGGGGGGGGACGGGCGAGGACGGAGCGCGGCTGGAAGCCCCCGGACCCAGCTGGGAGGAGGAGAGGCGCTTGCCAAGCCCGGATCTGGAGCGCCTCGGAGCGCGGGCTCCACCTACAGCCCAAGGAGAGGAGGGGGCGGGGAGGCGCCCGAGGGGAGGGGGCTTCGGCTGCCTTGGCCCGCGGGGGCTCCGCAAATAATAAATTTAATAAATTCCTGCTGAGCCTTTTTTTGGGGGGGGGGTCCTTGGCTCCTTCGCTCGCCCCCAGCCCCAGTGGCATAGCGTGGGGGGTGCAGGGGGGCCGGCCGCAACATCTGGGGTGGGGCGATCGCACTTGAGTGCTAAAATCCACGGGTTAGGGGGTGCAAATTACTTGCCTTGCCCCGGGTGCTGACAACCCACGCTACGCCACTGCAACTCTCCCCTCGGGTCCGGAAGCATTAGATGCAGAGCATAGCCACCGTGACTGCAAGAATTTGTCTCGTCCTCTTTAAAAGCCCTTCAAGTTGGTGGCCATCATTTATTTCCTCCTGGGGAGGAGCGTCGTAGTTTAAAGGAGTTTTGAGAAACCTCCAATGAATCATAGAACTGTAGGTTTGGAAGGGATCCCCCAAGGTAATCCAGTCCAACCCCCTGCAATCCAGGAACCACAGCGAAAGGATCCCTGACAGAGGGCCACCCAACCTCTGCATAGGTAAAGGTAACGAGACCCCTGACCATTAGGTCCAGTCGCGGACGACTCTGGGGTTGCGGCGCTCATCTCGCTTTACTGGCCGAGGGAGCCGGCGCACAGCTTCCGGGTCATGTAGCCAGCATGACTAAGCCGCTTCTGGCGAACCAGAGCAGCGCACAGAAACGCCGTTTACCTTCCTGCCGGAGCGGTACCTATTTATCTACTTGCACTTTGATGTGCTTTCAAACTGCTAGGTTGGCAGGAGCAGGGACCGAGCAACGGGAGCTCATCCCATTGCGGGGATTTGAACTGCTGACCTTCTGATCAGCAAGGCACTGTGGTTTAACCCTCTGCATAAAAAAGGTAAAGGTACCCCTGCCCGTACGGGCCAGTCTTGACAGACTCTAGGGTTGTGCGCCCATCTCACTCAAGAGGCCGGGGGCCAGCGCTGTCCGCAGACACTTCCGGGTCACGTGGCCAGCGTGACAAAGCTGCATCTGGCGAGCCAGTGCAGCACACGGAAACGCCGTTTACCTTCCCGCCGGTAAGCGGTCCCTATTTATCTACTTGCGCCTGGTGGTGCTTTCGAACTGCTAGGTTGGCAGGCACTGGGACCGAAAGACGAGAGTGCACCCCGCCGCGGGGATTCGAACCGCCGACCTTTCGATCGGCAAGCCCTAGGTGCTGAGGCTTTTACCCACAGCGCCACCCGCGTCCCGCCAACCCTGCATAAAGACCTTCAAAGGAGGAGGAGAGGCCTGTGAACTGGCCTGAGATCTACAGATGAAGGGGGCGGCATGCAAAGTTAATACCATATATACTCGAGTATTAGCTAACCTGAATATAAGTGGAGGCACCTAATTTTAGCACAGAAAACTGGGAACACTTATTGACTCGAGTATAAGCCAGCTCACCACACCACAAACCTGGTGGTGGCGGCAGTGGTGGAGGAAGCACAAGCAGCCCAAAAGAGCTGCTTTTGGGGCTGCTCATTCCTCCTCCTCCGCCTTTGCCGCTGCTGCTGTTGGTGGCGGAGGAGGAGGAGGAATGAGCAGCCCCAAAGGACCCTCACTTGAGTATAAGCCAAGGGAGGCTTTTTCAGCATAAAAAATGTGCTGAAAAAGTTGGCTTATACTCAAGTATATATGGTAAATAATAATGATAATTATAATAATGATAATTTGGATCTGTCGGTTCATGTCCTAACAGGCACTTCCCAGTGCTCTATGGCACAACAGCTGGAGCGTTTTCTTGCAGGCTCGAGGGCACATTTTTGGCATATCAAAGGGTGCCCTAGGAATGGTTGGCAGGCAATGAGACTGGGCAGGACTCCTCTTCCTCTGCCTGGGGCTAGCCTGGGGGTGGGAGGCAGCTGCCCAGGTCAGTGGGGAGGAAACAGCAGCTCTGGGCTGGAGGGGCAGAAAACTGACAAGCAGGACAAAGTCCACTCGGTGCTGTGTGATGGCTGGGAAAGTGGAATGAGCTTCAAAGGCAAAGAAGTTGCTTTAGAGGTGGACGCCTTGGTTGTGATTTCTGCATTGCAGGGGGTTGGACTAGATGACCCCTGGGGTTCCTTCCAACTCTACAATTTTAGGATTCTATGCAACACATAGTTAAACGATGAAAGTCACGGCCACAGGAGGCAGTGGTGGCCACAAACTGAGATGGCTTTAAAAAAGGATTCATGGAGGGAGGCAACGACGCTTCTGAATCCAGTTGTTGGAAACCACAGGAGGGGAAAGAGTATTGGGATGCGTCCGGGGAGACGGGGGCATTTGGCAGGCCCCCAGCTGGCTCCAGCCACCGGCTAGCAGCCGGGCGAACTCCAGTTCTTGGAACAGCATCAATCGGCGACTTGAGCCTCAGAAACCTTTAGAGACTGAGCACGCTCTTATCAGCAAAGTGAATAAATCTTCACAACGGAAGGAGTGGACAGAGACATATGTAAGCATATTTACAGCATTTTATTCAGCATAGTTTACAGCATGTCTGCTTCCCTTCGTGTCCAAGCAAACAACAGTATAGCAAAAGCTATATACAACAGAAGTTCCCAGCAGACTGTGCTGGAAGTAAACAGACATGTGACATAGAACAACTCCACATGCCTGTCCTAACGGTGGGATGGAACTATATCCTAACAAAGAGTTGTTCTTGTGCTCAATTCTTGCTTGCTGGTTTCCCATGATGGGCACCCAGTTGGCAACTGTGAGAACAGGGTGGGCCATTGGCGGCCTCTTTTTATGCCTTCTGTGGGAGTGAGTTCCGCAGATTAACTATCCCTGTTTAGGGAAGCTTTTAATGTTTGAAGTTTTATTCTAATAATATTCTGTTGGGAGCTGCCCAGAGTGGCTGGGGAAACCCAGCCAGATAGGTCGGGTATAAATAATAATAGTAATAACAATATTTTTAAATTGTTATTATTATTAGCATTCCTAAAACAACGTCAATTGTCAATTGATTGACGTTGGAGAGAAACTGAGTTGAGAAACAAGATCAAGGGTACATATTGATATAGGAATGTATTAGATAAAGTGTAAAAAAATATACAATAATAAGAATACTTTCATTTGTAAAAAAAGAAAGAAAGAATATGCAACGAGATTGAAAGGACGTCTGTAGTGTTGGTACAAATATTATTTTGAAACAGCTTTATGTCTTTGTTTTTTCTTTCTTTAGGTACATAAATTTGGTATATAAATTTTGTATACATGTTGGAAATTATACTATAATATGCCCTGTAATGTAATATGATAATGTATACATATGTGACATAAGAACGTTAAAAGGAAAGTATTCCTAAGACATAACACAGAGCTTTGAGGCACATTCCAAATTTCTTAAGCCACATCCTTGTGTTGCATTTTGTCTCCTTCCCTGACAGAGTGTCCTTTCAGGGAGATTACAATGACGAACTCTCGGCTCTGTCCAATGACATTAAAGGTAAGTGTCAGGGGCTGCCTCAGGTCTCAGCTCACAAAAGACCAACGCCAAGATCTTCTTATATACAAGGATGTTTATTGCAGTTCATTAATGGTTCCACAACCGAGGCGCGCAGCCCCGCGTCTGTTAACCTTAGACATTTGAAGTCCCCTCTGAATCGGTCCCGCCCCTACACCAGTTTAAGAGGCTTGTGCTGGTGCACCTCTTTCTGTCTTTCCTTTTCCGCAGGGTCTTTCTGCCCCCCTGGGTTCCTTCCCTCCTGCTTTCCCCTGAAGCGGATTCCTCAGATGCCTGCTCCCCCCTCCTTCGTGCTTTGGGACCAGGCTCCTCCTCCGGGCTCTCTGCATTTCCGCGCGCCTCCACATTTGAACTTGGCGCGCGTTCGCTACCCCTGACCTTGACACTCACACTACTCCCTGTACTACTCTCCGCCCCTTCCGGCAGGACGTCCTGCCCCGATCTCATTTCCCTGTCTCCTTCCTGCTCTGCTCCGTGTGTCCCACTGGGAACTCCCCCCTCTTCACTCCGTTCCTGCTGGGAAGCCGGCCCCGATCTCCCACTCCCACTCGGGGTTTCCCTGCTGCTTCCCTGCTCCTGGCAAGTCCCCCCTGTGACCCCCCTTGGCCTGACCAGGGGCGCCCCCTTCTGGGAATCCTCCGATTCACTTGAGAGACTCATGGAAGACCTCAAGTCATTGTCATCCTCTTCCTCACTCTCCTGAGATTCTTCCCCATCGCTCTCCGTCTCCCCCCTCACCTGTGCCTCTGTCCCTGAACCCCTGACAGTAAGCAATTCCCCCCTCAAAAAAGTGCTTATTTCTGCCAATAGCCAGCACCCACCTGCCATGAGATGCCACTGAGCCCCTGCAAATTCCAGATGTGCAGAGTCAGAGGGAGGAAGCAGTGAGTGGGACAGACACTCAAGTCTCTGTCTCCAAAGTGGAGCACGTGCATGGCATGGCAAAGGCCCTCAGGATCTGCTGGGGATGAGGGTCAAAGTAAATGGCTCTGGGTGCAGAGGAGCCTTTCCCCAACTGGGTGCCCTCCAGCTGTGTTGCGCTATAACTCCCAGCCAGCACAGCGAATGGTAAAGGATGCCAGCAGCTGGAGTCCTGCAACATCTGGAGGGAACAGCTATTATTATTGCTATGAATTTATTTATTGCCAGCACGAGTTAAGGCATTAAAGGACAATGTTAAAAACAGATTAAAACAACCTCCAGCTGTAAAATGAAGGCAGGTCCCTAAGGACATGTACCTCGAGTGGCGAAAGCCAGAGCAAAGAGGTGCGTCTCCGCTATGGGATGGAAGCAGAGTAATGAAGGTGTCAGGCAAACCTCTGTGGGGACGGAGGGCCAGAGCTTAGGGGCCGCAACAGAGAAAGCCCTCTACCCCTGGGACGCCAACCCCAAGTCTCTGAGGGTGGAGGAAACATCAAGAGCCCCCCCCCTCTGACAATCCCAGCACCCAAAAGGGTCTGTAGCAAAGGAGGTGGCCTTTCAGATACAGTGGTACTTAGTTCTCAAACTTAATCCGTTCAAGGAGTCCGTTTGACTTCCGAAACTGTTCGAAAATCAAGGCGCGGAATCCGATTGGCTGCAAGAGCTTCCTGCACTCAATCGGAAGCTGTGCCAGGTGTTTGGCTTCCGAAAAATGTTTGCAAACTGGAACACTCACTTCCGGGTTTTGCAGCATTTGGGAGCTGATTTGTTTGGGTGCCAAGCCGTTTGTTTACCAAGGTACCACTGTATTTGCAGCCGGAGTCATTAGGGGCTTTAAACACCAACACAAAGCCCTTGAATTGGGCCTGGAAATGAACCCCCAACCAGTGCAGTTGTTTTAAAATGGGGGTTATATGAGAACCCCAAACAGGAATCTGGCTGCTGCATTTTGGGATGGCTGAAGTTTCCGAGGAGTCTTCAAGGGCAGCCCCACATAAATGATATTGCAGTAGCAAAGCCTGGAAGTTACCGTGCATGGAGTTCAGAGGCCAAGTTGTCTCTTTCCAAAGTGGGCCACTGGCAGCTACAGGGTAGCGCTTACAGGTTGCGCTGGGGTCTAAACCACTGAGCCTCTTGGGCTTGCCGATTGGAAGGTCGGCGGTTCGAATCCCCGCGATGGGGTGAGCTCCTGTTGCTCGGTCCCAGCTCCTGCCAACCTAGCAGTTCAAAAGCACGTAGTGCAAGTAGATAAATAGGTACCACTGTGGCGGGAAGGTAAACAGCATTTCTGTGTGCTCTGGCTTCTGTCACAGTGTTCTGTTGCGCCAGAAGCAGTTTAGTCCTGCTGGCCACATGACCCAGAAAGCTGTCTGTGGACAAACGCCAGCTCCCTCAACATAAAAGCGAGATGAGCACCACAACCCCATAGTCGCCTTTGACTGGACTTAACTGTCCAGGGGTCCTTTACCTTTTTACTGGCGGCTCACAAACTCCGAAGCCACCGCAGCTGAGCCAAGAGGCTCCTTCATTTTTAATGGAGCAGCTGTAGCCGCAGATAGGATGGAGACTCCAGAACAGGCATCCCCAACCTTCTGCCCTCCAGATATTTTGGACTACAATTCCCATCATCCCTGACCACTGGTCCTGTTAGCTAGGGATCATGGGAGTTGTAGGCCAAAACATCTGGAGGGCTGCAGATTGGGGATGCCTGCTCCAGAAGAGGAAATGCTGAGACAGAAAATGGGTGCCGGAATCTTCTGGAGAGGAAGAAGGAATTCCTTTGAATCCCCGCGACGGGGTGAGCTCCTGTTGCTCGGTCCCTGCTCCTGCCAACCTAGCAGTTCAAAAGCATGTTAAAGTGGAAGTAGATAAATAGGTACCACTCTGGCAGGAAGGTAAATGGCGTTTCCATGCGCTGCTCTGGTTCGCCAGAAGCGGCTTGGTCCTGCTGGCCACATGACCCGGAAGCTGTACCCCGGCTCCCTCGGCCAGTAAAGCGAGATGAGCGCCGCAATCCCAGAGTTGTTCACGACTGGACTTAACTGTCAGGGGTCCTTTACTATTACCTTAATCCAGATTCGTGGTTCTAGATGTGGGATTGTTAACAGAAGGAAGCACTTTGCTGCTTATTTAATTGTTTATTGCATCCATATCCTGCCTTTTCCTCAAAGGACCACAAGAGGGCATATGTGGTTTCCTTCCCCTCCTCTTTTAATCCTCCCCACAACCTTGTAAGGTAACTTAGACTGAGAGATGGCAGGTACCGCCCCCTAGGGACCCCCCCCCCCGTGAGTGTAAGGTCAGGTGGGAATTTGAACCCTGTTCTCTCAGGACCTAGTCCTCATTTCATTCCCACAACAGCCCTGGGAGGTGGGTTTAGGCTCACAGGCAGTGACTGGCCCCAGCACACCTAGTGAAAGCTTCAGGGCTGAGGGGGGATTTGAACCCGAGTCTCCCAGGTCCTAGTCCGGCACTCTAACCACTAGTCCACGCTGACTCCCTTGCTCAGACTAAGGCCCGTCAGACCAGATCTTCTGTGACCACCTATAGCCACAATTTTATTAGCCCTCCTCTGTGGGATAAAACCGCATTGCTCAGAGGCTGCTAATACATTTTATTTACCTTATGAAATTTACAGCCTGCTTGGTTGTAGAAAACCTCAAAGCGGTTTGCAAAAATAATAAAACAGTCTGATTATTACCGGCAATTTAAATATTCAACAGTGATGAATCTAGCATACATAAAATCAGCAGCTGAGTTATTTTTTTTAGGTCAACGTGTGTTTTTTTTACTTTTATTATTGAAAATTTGGGGAGGTGTTATTGAAAATTTTGGGGTGTACAGTGGTACCTCGCAAGACGAATGCCTCGCAAGACGGAAAACTCGCAAGACGAAAGGGTTTTTTGTTTTTTGAGCTGCTTCGCAAGACGATTTTCCCTATGGGCTTGCTTCGCAAGACGGAAACGTCTCGCAAGTTTGTTTCCTTTTTCTTAACACCGTTAATACAGTTACGACTTGACTTCGAGGAGCAACTCATAGAATGCGGTGTGGTAGCCTTTTTTGAGGTTTTTAAAGACTTTGGTGATTTTTGAAGCTTTTCCAAAACTTTTCCGACACCGTGCTTCGCAAGATGAAAAAAATCGCAAGACGACAAAACTCTCGGAACGAATTAATTTCGTCTTGCGAGGCACCACTGTATGTTATGTTTTTAGTAGTTTTCTAATCCCCCCCCCATTTTTAAGCAATAACTCTAAAATAACTCAACTCGATTTTACTTGGTGCCGAAAAGCGGTGTCAATAGGCAGGGAGTTCCATAGTGTAGCTGCTTGCAAAGGCAGGATGGGGATTATGAGGCACCCATAGCAGTGCCAGTTCCACAGTTTGGAGCGGTGAGGAGGGCATATATATATGGGCCCCAGTGTTTGGGGTGGTCTCATGCCTGCCCCCTTAATTCCACCTTGCAGGGGTGCCTTTGCGGTGCGATCTGAGCCCTCCCGGTTCCTTCACCCGCTTCCCTGTCCTCTGCCCCTCAGTGCTGTTCTACGACATGCCCGCCCCCCTGGTTTGCGCCCGGTGCAAAGGGCGCCTCTCCAAGATGTCCCGCCGGCACAGCCGAGAGCTCAGGCCCTCCGAGACGGATTTGGACCTTCTGCCTTGGATGGACAGCAGGAGCTACGGACTCTGGCAGCAAGAGACGCCTTCGTGGCTGCAGCCCCTCAACCGGCTGAGCAGCCTGGCTGCCGCAGGCATGAAGTAGAGAGATGGGCAGAGGCGCTTCGGCTCGGTCTGGGCACCGGAGATGAAGGCTGGGCAGCGAAGCCACTGGGGAAACTGAGGCACTGGCTGGCAGAGACTAGAGAGAGAAACCCAAAGCATAATAAAACTATATGGCTGGCTGTGAGCGGCATGGTGAGCAGCACTTTTTTCAAGGGGAGAGGGGGTGTCGCTTGGCGTTTCCGGCTTATGTTCCTGCCCCCTTTCTTGTCCTCAGTTCTCATGCCAGGGAGGACGATGGGAAAGTGGCCAGAAATGGCCCCCCGCTGCAATTTCTAGCATTCACAGGGCTGGGAGGATGTACAGTGGTACCATGGTTCTCAAACGCCTTGGTACTCAAATGACTTGGAACCCAAACACTGTGAACCCGGAAGTAAGTGTTCCGGTTTGCAAACTTTTTTCGGCAGCCGAACATGCTCCGTTTTGAGTGTTACGCTGAGGTCTGTCTGTTTTTACTATTTATTTTGCATGTGGAGGAGCCAGTGTGGTGTAGCGGTTAAGAGCGGTAGTCTCGTAATCTGGGGAACCGGGTTCGCGTCTCCGCTCCTCCACCTGCAGCTGCTGGGTGACCTTGGGCCAGTCACACTTCTCGGAAGTCTCTCAGCCCCACTCACCTCACAGAGTGTTTGTTGTGGGGGAGGAAGGGAAAGGAGAATGTTAGCCACTTTGAGACTCCTTAAAGGGAATGAAAGGCGGGGTATCAAATCCAAACTCCTCCTCCTCCTCCTCCTCCTCCTCCTCTTCTTCTTCTTCTTCTTCTTCTTCTTCTTCTTCTTCTTGTTTTTGTGGCTCTTTTTTGCTTCGTTTTTGTGTGACTGTGTGGAACCCAGTTCAGCTCCTGATGAATTGATTGTGTGTCTGCAGTACATTGTTTCTTGCATTCGTTTTATGGATCGATGGTCTCGTTAGATAGTAAAAATTCATGTTAAATTGCTGTTTTAGGGGTGGTTTTTAAAAGTCTGGAACGGATTAATCTGTTTTGCAATTTCTATGGGAAAGCATGCCTTGGTTTTGGAACTCTTTGGTTTTGGAGCTTACTTTCGGAATGGAACAGATCCCCTGCAATGTAGGAATCTCAACTAGATCTTACACGACAGGTATCCATCCAACCTCTGCTTAAAAGTGTTCAGCGAAGGAGAATCCACCGCTCTTCCTGGAATCCTTCCTCTGGGCAGTTTATGACTTATCACTCTAGGTTCCTTTTTGCAAGGAGTATAGAGGAGGCTGGCATAGCTTCCCCCAAAGAATCCTGTGTGCCTCAGTTCAGTTAGAAATCCACAGGATTCCCCAGGATTCCTTGGCACAACGGCTATTAAGCCAGATATAAATCTGGTGTGGATATTTTTCTTAGCCAAAAGGGGTTGGCACAGACAACCCGTTGTGTCTGTTGCCCCCTGAGATGCCAAACTTGATCCAAAATCCATTTTTGAATGCTCTGCCCTTTTGTGACACAAACAATAAACCCGAGTGTCATAGTCCAGTCTTTGCCTTTTCCAACCCATCCAAAAATTTCTCATAAAACCTAACCCCGCAAGTGTCTTTCCAGTGTTGAGGAGGCACAACCTCAGCTGGCCAAGCAGAAGACACATTTAACTAAATCAACAATATATCTGCTTCTGGGAAGAGGCCATTTCATCGCTGAAATGAAGCAGAGCGATCAGGAGAGGAGGACAAGGAGATTCCAGCGACTCAGGAGAGCAAATATTTGGGGAAGGTGGCAAGAGGGCTTACTGGCTGGGATCACACCAGGCTCACCTGCTGGGGCCTGTAGCCTGCAGACCTGCTCAAGGGGAGCAGGTGTGCTTCAAATTGAGCAGGTGATAGACTGACACCTCAGGACAGGGTTTACCTAGTTCAGCATCCTGTTTCTGATAGCTTTTGGGGAACAACAGGTGCAAAGGTGTCTGCCTGGAGTGTCATTTCCATGTGCCAGTGCCTCACAGTGCATATGAGGTTTGCTTTGTTGCAGTGGCCACAATGCCAGCCCATAATATGCTTTCACTTTATCGGGATTTCCCCTTGCAGCAGAAAAACTGGTAAAATAAAAACAACCCGTTACATATCTGCAGCCAGTGCTGGTGGGGACGCTCCACAAATCACAGAAGTAAAGTATTGGGGGGGGGGGTTTGAAGGGATCCCCAAGGGTCATCTAGACCAACCCCCTGCAATGCAGGAATCCCTGGCAGGTGGTCCTCCAACCTCTGTTGAGAAACCTCCAATGAATGAGAGACCACCACCTTCCAAGGGCAGGGCTGGATGAACCACGGAGCAAAATGAGCATGGGCTTAGGGCATCAAGCGAAGGGGTCACCTCAGAAATTTTCTATTGCTGGATTTACCAAGGGCCATATGGCGCAGCTCAGGGGAAAAGGCTCCCACAATAAATGAAAAAATATATCCTTGAGGCATCGTTTGGCTGAAACATCAGTTCAGAGCCCCCTTTATTCCACCTCCCTCCATTGTTTAAGCCTGTTTAAGCAGGTGGCGCTGTGGTCTAAACCACTGAGCCTAGGACTTGCTGGTCAGAAGGTTGGCGGTTCAAATCCCCGCGACGGGGTGAGCTCCCGTTGCTCGGTCCCTGCTCCTGCCAACCTAGCAGTTCAAAAGCACATCAAAGTGCAAGTAGATAAATAGGTACCGCTCTGGCGGAAAGGTAAATGGCGTTTCTGTGCGTTGCTCTGGTTCGCCAGAAGCGGCTTAGTCATGCTGGCCACATGACCCGGAAGCTGTATGCCGGCTCTCTTGGCCAATAAAGCGAGATGCGCGCTGCAACCCCAGAGTCAATCACAACTGGCCCTAATGGTCAGGGGTCCCTTTACCTTTACAGCCCAGGAAGCCCCTTCTCCTGCTAGGTCAATGTTTGCCAGAGTTCCACAACCTGCATCCTAAACTAAGAACAAGCAACGGTTTGTTTCTTTGCTCAGGAGACCGTGAGGGTCACATCCAAGCCTTATATTTAAAGCACTCTTATACCACCACACCACCAACTCCACCATCAATAATTTATTTATACTCCACCCATCTGGCTGGGTTTCAAAACTTACCTAAACAGGGCTCCCTTCAGATGTCTTCTAAAAATCAGGTAGTTGTTTATCTCCTTGACATTTGATGGGACAGCGTTTCACAGGGTGGGCGCCACCACCGAGAAGGCCCTCTGCCTGGTTCCCTGTAACCTCACTTCTCGCAGGGAGCGAACCGCCAGAAGGTCCTCAGCACTGGACCTCATGACTTTTGACTCTCTAAGAATCCTGGGAACTACATTTTTCTAAGGATGCTGAGAGTGGTTAGGGGACTGTTATTCGGCTCCTAGAACTACAGTTCTCGGGGTTCACCACGAAGAGGGATTAATGGTTAAAAACCAACTGGGAATCGAAGCTCTGTGAGGGGGACAGGTTTCTGCATGCCCATAGCAAACTACAGTTTCCATGGTGCTTTGGTGATGTTTCTGGCTCTGGGGTTCAGCTCCTTGAGAGCACACACTTTTCTAGCGCTGATGCTCTCCTTTCTTTCAAAAGATTATTTTTTAAATTAAATGTTATCCATATAACCTAAATAGCAGAACAGAACTTCCTGAGACAAAACACATGGAATCTAAACAGAGCCGAACCAAGGCTGGCTTGGGATGTTTCATTCACAAGAAGACATGAAAGAGCTGGTTGTCAGGATATTTGCGATCAAGATACATACAGGTCAGGGGAGGTTTCTGCCTTGGGATATGGGAGATTAAGAGTGAGTTGCACACGACTTGCCGGATAAGCAGAAACACAAAACTACAGCAGAAACCACCAGAGACACAAGGAGCAGCAAAAGCAAAAGGCTCGCTTTTATATCCAGAAAAATTCTCAACCAATTGGATGTTACTTATTCCACATTTACTGAGACACTTGTGGAAGAGACCAGTGCACATTTTCTTTTTTTAATGTTTCCAATAAAATACAACCAAACGCAGACAAAAGAGGTTCGCTCTGTTTTTCTGTTCAAAAAATGGGTGCAGCTGGTAAGTTTTGTCATGCAGTGCAGTTTTCCATTATGAAACCCCACCCTAAGGTGGCATCAATTTTAGACAAGGTTTTCCATCTCCAGGCAATCGACAGACGTGCAGACACAAGAAGAAAATTGCAAACATTTTGATCTATATTTTCATTCCCTCTTTACTTTGCATACAGCTTCTGTAAAGTAAGAAGATATTCTTTATTCTATTCTATTAGATAATTCCCCCCTTTCTTTTAGTTGATTTGTTTTATATTTTTGCATTAATGGATGATGAAGAATGTTTCTTTTGTTTATTTCAATTAAGTATATATTCATTCATCCCTCTTTCAAAAAAAATTTTGTTTATTAAATTTGTTGGCACAAATTGGTTGGCTGTACAGGATCCTCCTAAGACTTTGTTTGCAAGAGGTTTTGAGACATGCCAGGCCCAGGTTAAGTCTCCCCAGCTCCTCCCTCTTGTAAGGGTATATAGCAACCGCTTGGCACCTCAGCCTCACTCTGCACCCGGGGACCAGTGCAAAACGGGAGCGTTTTAAACACAGAGGTGAGTGACTGGTGAGAAAAAGGCCCCTGTCCTTTGTCTAGTTTCACGAGGGCTGGAACTGAGGGTTTCTTTGATTTTAAGCAGGCATCACCTTTGAAGGGAAGAGCTGTAGAGTTGGGAGGTGACCCCGAAGGTTCTCTAGTCTACCCCCCCAATGCAGGAAACCAAAGCTTCCATGACAGATGGCCACCCAACATCTGCTTTAATAATGATGATGATGATGATGATGATGATGATGATGATGATAATAATAATAATAATAATAATAATAATAATAATAATAATAACTACTTATTATTTATACCCCGCCCATCTGGTGGGTTTCCCCAGCCACTCTGGGCGGCTTCCAACTGAATATTAAAAACAATACAGCATCAGACATTAAAAACTTCCCTAAACAGGGCCACCTACAGATGTCTTTTAAAAGTAGAATAGTTGTTTATTGCCTTGACATCTGGTGGGAGGGCATTCCACAGGGTGGGTGCCACCACCGAGAAGGCCCTCTGCCTGGTTCCCTGTAACCTCACTTCTCGCAGGGAGGGAACCGCTAGAAGACCCTCAGAGCTGGACCTCAGTGTTCAGGCAGAACGATGGAGGTGGAGATGCTCCTTCAGGTCTACTGGCCTGAGGCCGTTTAGGGCTTTAAAGGTCAGCACCAACACTTTGGAATTGTGCTTGGAAATGTACTGGGAGTCAATGAAGATCTTTCAGGACCGGTGTTATGTGGTCTCGGCGGCTGCTCCCAGTCACCAGTCTAGCTGCCGCATTCTGGATTAATTGCAGTTTCTGGGTTGCCTTCAAAGGTAGCCCCACGTAGAGTGCATTGCAGTAGTCCAAGCGGGAGATAACTAGAGCATGCACCACTCTGGAGAGACAGTCTGTGGGCAGGTAGGGTCTCAGCCTGCGTACCAGGTGGAGCTGGTAGACAGCTGCCCTGGACACAGAACTGACCTGCGCCTCCATGGACAGCTGTGAGTCCAAAATGACCCCCAGGCTGTGCACCTGGTCCTTCAGGGGCACAGTTGCCCCATTCAGGATCAGGGAGTCCTCCAAACTCCCGCCTCCTGTCCCCCCAAAACAGTACTTCTGTCTTGTCAGGATTCAACCTCAATCCATTAGCTGCCATCCGTTAGCTTAAATGCATCCAAGGAAGGAGGGTCCCCAAACTCCCAAGTCCACTGTGGAACAGCTCTTGCTGTCAGAATGTTCTCCCTGATGGCTAACGGGAATTTCCTTTCTTGCAATTGGAAGCCATGAGTTCGAGTCTTCCCCTCTGGAGCTGCAGAAAACAAGCTTGCTCCATCTTCCTTGTGACAACCCTTGTTATCATTCCTAACAATTTCCCAGGAGTTTGAGGGTGGAGCGACTTTCCTCTGAGACCTGCTAGCTCAGGGGTCAGCAAACCTTTTCAGCGGGGGGCTGGTCCACTGTCCCTCAAACCTTATGGGGGGCCAGACTATATTTTGAGAAAAGATATGAATGAATTCCAATGCCCCACAAATAACCCAGAGACTCATTTGAAATAAAAGCACACATTCTTAACAGGGAGAAATGTAAAGTATTGCACTTGGGCAAAAAAAAATGAGAGGCACAAATACAAGATGGGTGACACCTGGCTTGAGAGCAGTACATGTGAAAAGGATCTAGGAGTCTTGGTTGACTACAAACTTGACATGAGCCAACAGTGTGACGCGGCAGCTAAAAAAGCCAATGCAATTCTGGGCTGCATCAATAGGAGTATAGCATCTAGATCAAGGGAAGTAATAGTGCCACTGTATTCTGCTCTGGTCAGACCTCACCTGGAAGTACTCTGTCCAGTTCTGGGCACCACAGTTCAAGAAGGACACTGACAAACTGGAACGTGTCCAGAGGAGGGCAACCAAAATGGTCAAAGGCCTGGAAACGATGCCCTATGAGGAACGGCTAAGGGAGCTGGGCATGTTTAGCCTGGAGAAGAGGAGGTTAAGGGGTGATATGATAGCCATGTTCAAATATATAAAAGGATGTCACATAGAGGAGGGAGAAAGGTTGTTTTCTGCTGCTCCAGAGAAGCGGACACGGAGCAATGGATCCAAACTACAAGAAAGAAGATTCCACCTAAACATTAGGAAGAACTTCCTGACAGTAAGAGCTGTTCGACAGTGGAATTTGCTGCCAAGGAGTGTGGTGGAGTCTCCTTTTGGAGGTCTTTAAGCAGAGGCTTGACAACCATATGTCAGGCGTGCTCTGATGGTGTTTCCTGCTTGGCAGGGGGTTGGACTCAATGGCCCTTGTGGTCTATTCCAACTCTATGATTCTATGATTCTACTCATATAAAAACACACTGATTCCCGGACCATCCACGGGCCGGATTGAGAAGGCGATTGGGCCAGATCCGGCCCCTGGGCCTTAGTTGGCCTACGCATGTGCTAGCTGGTACCCAAAGCCTTCTGGAGGAGCCAGCCTGGCAGCCCAGCCTTGGGGTTTGCGGGACATCCTTGCCTTTCTCTGCAGTGCTTCCTTCCTCCCTCCATCTCCCTCCAGGCAAGAAAGGATCCAGGCCATGGGGACCACGGCTTACATCATCATTGCTCTGAGCTTCCTTGGCCATTGGTCTGGCAGCCCCTCTGCAGCAGGTGAGTCGGGGTCGCTCCTCGCTCCTCTGTGCCTTGGAGAATCAGTGGGCAAAGGGCCAAAGGGAAGGACCAGACTGGCATTCAGAGGGGCATGTGGGACAAAAAATAAAAAAACCCCTGAGAAATGGACCTTGAAACCTTGGATATGGGCCTAGAAATGGAGTGAGCCCCCAGTCAGCTTCATGGCTGAGTGGGGATCTCAACCCTAGTCTCCCAGGTCCCGATCCAACACTCTAACCATTACAGCGCACTGCTTGTTTCCTGCCTGTTCCTCATTTTGTTGACTTGGCTTAATGGGGAATTGAAAGAGCTTGAAGTAAGTAAACTGGCTATCTTGGCTCGTTTTTTCTGTGTTTACCCTGCTATTGTCTATGTGGGAAATATTCTTCTCACAGGAGATGGGGATTAATTTTTGCTGGTGACGCCTGATGGCTGTTCTGATCTTTGCACAAAGTCTTAAGAGACCAGGAAGCCTGCCAGGCCAATGGCCCATCTAGTCACAGAAATGTAGAGTTGGAAGGGATCCCCAAAGGCCATCTAGTCTAACCCCCGGCAGAGCAGTCAGTAACCGCAGCAAAAGAATCCCAGGATCCTGTATCTCTCTCTCTTTGGTCTTCACCCAACCCTCTTTCAAAAGCAGCTGAAGACTCGATAGAGGGCCCCTCTTCTCCTTGCCCGACGGACTGGCTCTTCTACGAGGGCAGCTGCTATGGATACTTCTCTGACCGGAAGTGTTGGAAAGAGGCCGAGGTGAGTCCTGAGTCGTGTCTGGATCATTCACACCAGACCCAACACCCGGCAAGGCTGATTTTCCAAAGAGACACTCTTGAACTGACTTATTTATTTATTTATTTCCAAAAATATACATTAAAAAGGAAACAGATAAAGCATACATTAAAAGAAAAGTGGGTAAAAAGATAAAACAATCTTACAATGTTGATTTTTTTAAAAAAATAAATAAATCACAAAATTGTCCAGTAGCACCTTAGAGACCAACTGAGTTTGTTCTGGGTATAAGCTTCCGTGTGCATGCACACTTCTTCAGATACTTCTGATTTATTTCGACTGCGTCAGACCAACACGGCTACCTGCCTGAATCTAGAATCTTACAATGGTTATTCTTAGACTGATGTAGATCTTGACTTATATATAATGAAATTATTTACAAATCTAAGATTTATATAGTAATATAGTTATACAATACAGTATCTAAGGAAAGAAAAGAAAAAATGACAATTTAAACAATAAAAATGCCTATCTAATGTAAAGTAATACTTAATATAATTCAAACCAATATTAGTGGGTTTTTTTTTAAGTTTCAACCTTCAATTTGGGTTGAATCCCTTTTCAATTTATTATATTGTTGACTTCCTCCTACCTCATTACGGTTTCAGTTCGAGTATTCCTATTTCCCCTCTCTATTTAATTGTTTTTCCTCATCTTGGAATGAAAAGAAATATTTTACTATCTGCAAGATTATTCAAGACACAGCCAAGTCATATTGTTGGAACCTTGTTTTGTTAAGTAATTGTTAAAACATTCCCATTCTTTTTTTACTTTGTATTTTCTTTTCTTTTGCTTTGTTGTTCATAATTGCGTCCATACAACATAAACTTGAATTCATTGTTACCCACAACTCAAAGTCATAAAAAAGGAATATATATACAAATTTCCTAACAATAGATTTTCTCCATCAACATTTGACTTCCCGTCCTTTCCATCTTCCTTTCTTTTTAATCAACTTGTTGCTTAGCTTAATTATTTATTTAACAAATAGTCTTTTTTAAAAACTTTGTCTGTTGATTGATTTCTTATTGCCTCCATCATTTTTGCGATTCCTCTCCAGACGGTGTAAGTTCGCTCTTCCACTATTTGGCTTCTAAAATTCTGGCTGCTGTCACTGCGTAAAGAAAGATTCTTTTGCTTTCGTTTGGAATGCTCACTGTTAGGATTCGTAATAAAATCGCCTCTGAACTGACCGCACTCTTGTCCTGCCCCGGCTTAGGAAGAGTGCCAGCAACAAGGCTCTCACCTGGCCTCCATCCTGACCAAGAAAGAGTGCTGCCGCCTCCGCAGGTACCTCTCCAGGTTTCGGCCTGACGGGGACGTCTGGATCGGGCTCCACAATCTTGCCAAGGTTGGTCTCCCCACCCCATGTGCACCCTCCAACCCCCACCTTAAGCAACCCCCACTCCCCAGAGATTAGCCCCTTCACACAATTTCATTCTTTATTGCCTGACCTTCACCCCAAGGTCCCAGGGCAGGTTGTAGCAATAAAACACAGCATAAAAAACCCAGTTAAAAACAACAACAACTATTTGTTTGTTTGTTTGTTTGTTTGTTTGTTTGTTTATACATACCCCGCCCATCTGGCTGGGTTTCCCCAGCCACGCTGGGCAGCTTCCAACAAAGTATTAAAATACTGTAGTCTGTTAAACATTAAAAGCTTCCCTAAAGAGGGCTGCCTTCAGAGGTCTTCTAAAAGTCTGGAAGTTGTTCTTCTTTTTGACATCTGGTGGGGGGGGGGGAGAGTTCCACAGGGAGGGTGCCATCACCAAGAAGGCCCTCTGCCTGGTTCCCTGTAATTTGGCTTCTTGCAGTGACGGAACCACCAGAAGGCCCTCGGCACTGGACCTCAGTGTCTGGGCTGCACGATGGAGGTGGAGACATTCCTTCAGGTATACTGGGCCGAGGCCCTGTAACTTGCCATTACAGGGATGAGTTGGGCCCCCAAACCACACATCTCAAGCAGGGACCCACATGCCACCCCCTCAGCTGTTTTGCTCTGCAGAATTGGCACTGCTACATACCGTATTGGCCCAAATATAAGCTGCACCTGCGAATAAGCCACACCTTTAAAATTCAATGGTGGGGGGAGGAAGAAAAACAGACAATACCCAAATATAAGCCACTCTCTTAAAATTCTGCAGACACTCACACCTGTAAATGGCAAAAGTAGAAGAAAATCCTACAGCGATATCGTAAAAGCCAATTTTTGTAAGGTCGTGAATTTAAGCTGCACTTATCATGGTCAGAATTTGGAAAAAAAAGTGCGGTATTCAGGCCAATACGGTAATGCCCGTTGCACATTCATAAAGATAAATTCACAACTGTAGTTTAAAAGATACAGGAAGCTGAAACACTAACACAGGTTGGAATTCACAGCAGCCTTCTAAGCTTCTGGGTGTAAAGGTAAAGGTAAAGGTACCCCTGCCCATACGGGCCAGTCTTGACAGACTCTGGGGTTGTGCGCTCATCTCACTCAAGAGGCTGTGGGCCAGCGCTGTCCGGAGACACTTCCAGGTCACGTGGCCAGCGTGACATCGCTGCTCTGGTGAGCCAGAGCCGCACACGGAAATGCCGTTTACCTTCCCGCTAGTATGCGGTCCCTATTTATCTACTTGCACCTGGGAGTGCTTTTGAACTGCTAGGTTGGCAGGCGCTGGGACCAAACGACGTGAGCGCACCCCGCCGCGGGGATTCGAACCGCCGACCTTTCGATCGGCAAGCCCTAGGCGCTGAGGCTTTTACCCACAGCGCCACCCGCGTCCCAACTGTAGTTTAAAAGATACAGGAAGCTGAAACACTAACACAGGTTGGAATTCACAGCAGCCTTCTAAGCTTCTGGGTGTAGGCTTGCCTAAAGTGGAATGTTTTGTAGCAAGCGCTGAAAAGAGCACAGGGAAAGCCCCTTCTTGATCTCAAGAGGCAGGGAGTTCCAGAGGGGAAGGCGTTGCAAAATAATTTGAGTTCCTGAAAATGTGGAATGGGCATTACATGGCACCTGCAGTTGTGCCCATTCTGCCAATCTGAAGCAGTCAGGTGGGCTTGTGTGGGGTAAGGATATCTCACAGGTAAACGGGTCCCAAGTTATTGAGGACTTTATATACTAATAGTAACGCCTTGAGATTGCCCCAGAAGCAAACTGGAAACCAGTGCAGATGGCTGCTTGCAGTCTACACTCCTGAAGCACATTCAAAGAGCTGTCTTTCCTGCAAAGAATTCTGGGTGATGTAGTATATTAAGGCCTTTCTGAGAATTGTAGCTCTGTGAGGCATAAATGATGCTTTGAAGGCAAGAAGGTGCATCAAATGTGGTTTAAAGGCCATGGTCTCCTTGTTGCTCTCCGTGACCACATTCTGAGAGCTTTAAAATAATGCTTCTGACATTATTTCCATCTCTCTCAGAGATAGAGAGAGATTGAGAGAGAGAGAGACTCAGGAACATTCTACCATATGTGGTGGATATGTAGGAAAATACAGGTATTCTGGGAGAGTATACATGCAGAACTGCAAAAAATGCTAAAGATCTCTTTCAATAAAAAACCAGAGGCCTACCTCCTGGGAATAACAGATTTGGATATTCCACAAAAGAGGAAGGGTATCTTTTTATATGCTAAGACGGCAGCAAGAGTTTTGATCGCAGCAAAATGGAAGAGTAATGAAATCCCCTCTATACAAGATTGGATCCAAAAGCTGACAGAATATGCCGAATTAGATGGTTTATCAGAAAAGATAAAGAATAAATCAAAACAGGAATTTGTTTCTAAATGGGAGGTTTTTAAAGAATATCTGAAAAATAAATATAGTAGTTTAAATTCTGTTGCAGCATTCAAGGAACTTCAGTAATAGTTGCTAGGTAGATAGAAGAAATTAGATTTATTGAGAATAAGTTTAATTATAAAAATGTGTATTGGCAATAAGTAATATGAATTTGAAATATGGAATAGACAGGAAGTTGGGTCTTTAGTGTTAAGACCAATAGATGTTTTATTGTTTGCCAAGAAAATTATGTGTCTATGGTTATTTTTGTAATTTGTGTGTAATTTTGTATTTGTGTTTCTTTGTGTGTGTTTTTGTTGTTGTATAAATAAAGATTAAAAGAGAGAGAGAGAGAGAGAGAGAGAGAGAGAGAGAGAGAGAGAGAGAGAGAAGTTGACTGTTCCCATCAGTCCAGGAAATGCTCATGTCACCTATTATTATTTGCTAAATGACCGTGAAAAGATGACTATTGTCAACCTGGGTGTGCTCCAAAAGGCTCTTAGCTTCTCCACAGCCCTTTCTATTTGCTTCGATTAATCTATGCTCTGTGCAAACTCCCTCACCCTAGTGCGCAAACCCACACCTTTTGTTTTAAATGGGGGAGGGGAAAGCAGTGCATGAGTGAGCAACTTGCCCCCCCCCTGCCCCAGTCTTGCTCTGCCTCTGCTTCAAGGCTGCTCCTTTCCCCTCCTCATCATTGCTGGAGAGCAGGACCAGAGACTGACTGAGTTTGCTTGCATGCTGCTTTTACACTACTATGAGATGTGCCCAAATTGGCTTATGGTAAATATAGCAAATGCTCAGAATATCGAAATAACAGAGTCCTGGAAATGCAGACATACAAAATACAGAACGTGTTGGCAAATGACAAAAGAAATGAGAACAAATCGACAGTGTGGCAAGAGTAGAATAAATCCAATATTTGTTGTTATTGTTTAGTTGTTTAGTCGTGTGCGCCTCTTCGTGACCCCCTGGACCAGAGCATGCCAGGCACTCCTGTCTTCCACTGCCTCCCGCAGTTGGGTCAAACTCATGCTGGTCTCTTCAAGAACACCGTCCCACCATCTCGTCCTCTGTCATCCCCTTCTCCTTGTGCCCTCCATCTTTCCCAACATCAGGGTCTTTTCCAGGGAGTCTTCTCTTCTCATGAGGTGGCCAAAGTATTGGAACCCCAGCTTCACGATCTGTCCTTCCAGTGAGCACTCAGGGCTAATTTCCTTAAGAATGGAGAGGTTTGATCTTCTTGCAGTCCATGGGACTCTCCAGAGTCTCCTCCAGCACCATAATTCAAAAGCATCAATTCTTCGGCAATCAGCCTTCCTTATGGTCCAGCTCTAACGTCCATACATCACTACTGGGAAAACCATAGCTTTAACTATACAGACCTTTGTTGGCAAGGTGATGTCTCTGCTTTTTAAGATGCTGTCTAGGTTTGTCATTGCTAAATCCACTATTACAAAAAAACAAAAACAAAACACCCACAAAACATTTAAGTTGAGAAATACAATTTTTCTAACAATAGCACGGTCTTGCTGCACTCCAAAGAGCCTGGCTTTAAAATCAGCTACAAATCTAGCTAACAGTCACCTTGTCCAGACCTCATTCTGTTCTTACCTCTGGGTTGCATCATGTTCCATTCAGGAAACAGCTGGTGGCACACTCTCCTTCCCTGGAAGTCTTTAAACAGAGGAACTGTTTAGGTGTGGTTCCTCTGCATTGCAGGGGGTTGGACTAGATGGCCGCTGGTGTCCCCTCCCAACTCTCCAATTCTGTGCCAAAAGCAAGAGTTTGTCACTGGCAGCATGGGAAGCTGCTGCTTTCTCTCGTTGCCCATCTAGCCAAGGGTCCAAGCATGTTTATCGCAGGCTGTGACACTTTTAATTAGGGATGCTGTGGGGGACTCTGCCCTGAGCACTTCTTCATGCCAAGCAAGTGCTGTTTTTACTTAGTTATTGCATTTCTATCCCACCCTTTTCTCCAAGAAGCTCAAGGCGGCACCTGTAGTTCTCCCTTTCCTCATTTAATCTCCAAAACAGCCCTGTGAGGTAGGTCAGGCTGAGAGAAGACAGGGACCAGCTCCCAAGGCCACAGCCAATGAGCTTCTCAGCCCAGTCCTTCTTAGCTCCTAGTCTGATGCTCTAACCACTACACCAGGCTGCCTCTCACTTAGTTGGGAGCCCTCCCCAGATCGAGCCTGATGCCTGTGGCAGGGAGCTCCACTACCAACCATTACTGGGTGCTTTGGGAGAAGGTGCCCCTGTCTGAACTTTGCTCTTATGAGTCTATGGGAGCCCCTGTCCTCCTCCTCCTTCCACGCACCCCTCGAGGCACAAGGGCCACCCCTTCCTCGTTTTCTGTGTTCCCCCAGACTCCTGGAAGCACATCCTGGCAGTGGAGTGACGGACTCATCGCCGACCACACGCAGTGGAGCACCGGGCAGCCCAATAATCATGGCAAGACTGGCGAGTGGTGCGTGGAGCTGTGGCGAACTACAGGTGAGAAGCCTGCGGACAGGTTTGCATTGCGCTCTGCGGGCTGGGAATCCCCTTGCTCCCCTTCTTCCTCCCTGACCCTGGCGGAAGGGAGACAGGGTGCGGTGGGTCTTTGTCGCAGATGCTGGTTGTGACCAGGGCTGACTGGCCCAGTGCTTAATGCTGCCACGAACACCGCCTTCCTCATGACCCAGAACCTCAGGACAGCCTGGCTGCAGCAGATGAATCAGGCCCAAGTGGGGGTGGCGGGGGGGGGGAGTCCACCTAGTCCAGCATCCTTTTGGTAGAGCAGGAGACGCTTCCATCTCAAGGTCGTGGATTCGATCTCCATGTTGGACAAAAAGATTCCTGCTGTTTGACAGTGGAAAGGTCTCCCTCGGAAGGTGATGGCCTCTCCTTCCTTGGAGATTTTTAGGCAGAGGCTGGCTGGCCATCTGTCATGAATGCTTTCATTGAGATTCTTGCCTTGAAGCCGGTTGGGCTGGATGCCCTTTGTGGGTGCCTTCCAACCCTACCATTCTGCTTCTGCTCATCCCAAATTTTGGCACTAATTCCTGTCTCACCTCTTAGGTTTCAGAAAATGGAATGACGAGCTCTGCAGCCGTAAGAACAGCTATGTCTGCAAGTACGAGGCTGAGATGTCTGCCGCGGAAAATGGCTGCGAGTGAGCAGCAGAGGCGGGGGCCTCCTCTGTTCTCCGCTGCCCTGGTGGGCTTCCTTCTCTGCTGTTTGGCCTCTCCTGTGCCAGGCAGAAAAAAGCTCTTCCTTTCCCATCCTTTCCGGCTGCCACAGTGTGGCAGCAATAAAGTATCTGAAGCAAGCAGCTTTCTCTGTGCCTGTCCCTCCATCGCACCTTGAAAGCGCACGCCAACGATTCAGTGAGTGTGCATTGCTCTGGCACCGAAATTTGTGGGTGCCCAGCCCCTTCAATGGGAAATTTGGTGCTCTGGCACCTATGCCACACTCTAACAAAACTGGCTCTCTTGGATTTGTGACCGATGCTTTTTCATTTCTTCAAAATCCCATCTGAAAGATCTTCACCCCTTTTTTGTCCTCCCCTCCCCAAAACCCACATCCCTCCTCCTTTGCATCTTTAAACTGGATCACTGCTTAGTGCAGCAGCTGTCCAGATGTGAGCAGAGGATTGCAGTGCCACCCCCTCCTCCTGCCTTTTGCTGAAACAACCAAACCATGGAATGATTTGTTAGAGGGGTTTTTTCTTCTGGTGGCAGATGACAGAACCACGAGACCGGTGTAAAACACTCAAACAAAGGTTTTATTGCAGCTATACAAAAACAGCAAACACAAAGCACGTGGGTGTTCTCTCTCTGCAGGCAAAATTCAAACTGCAACTTCTTTTCTTTTATACACATCACCAGCTGTGTCTAATCAGCCTAGAAAACCACACCCAGAACTCACAGAAAAGGTTCTTAAAGTTACAAAGTTTTCTGTTTCTTTGCAGAATGACTCCTAACAAACTGGGGTGTTTAAAACTGCAGTTAAACTTCATCATCAGGAAGCTGCAGTGCAGGCAACAGCAGGAAGGAAAGCAGGATGGTGTATAAATGCCTTGATACCTTTATTTATTGCATTTCTATCCCATCCCATCCCCCCACGTTGCTCAAGGTGGTGACAATGGTTCTCCCTTTCCACCCTTAACCCACACAACAGCCTTATGAAATAGACTTAAGCTGAGGGGCAGTGACTGGCTCAAGGGACTTCCTTTGCTGCTGTGTTTCAATTGGGGCTTTAAAGCTCTGTGTCCAAGCAGGGTTTTTTGTCCTGGCTCTTTCCTCTGGGGAAACCCTCATTTTACCGCTGAATTGGTGGGAACAGTTGCCTCCAATTCAGTGGTCAAATGCAGATTTTGCCCAGGAAAGAGCAGGGGCAGAAAGAAAACTGTTTGGACCTGGAGCTTTCAAGCATGCACCTGCGGCTGGAAAACAAGGTTTGGCTGCATCTACAGTGAGCACCATGGCTTCAGGAATCCCTTTCATGTGCTGCAGGTAGGCCTGCCTTAGCCAATAGAGCATTGCAGCACCCTAGATCTGCAGCTGAAAAACAGAAGCAGATCACAGCAGGCCTGGCTTAGCCCATAGAGCAGGCACGGACTAATCAGCACGGACTAAGTCTGGACTAATCTGGTCTACTGGTCAGTTTAATCAGGCCCCTGTTGCTGTTTATTTCCTGGGGTAAAAGCCACCAAAAGCACAACTACTTCAATCCTAAAAAAGGCTCTGCAACTTTGGTCAGCCCTCACGCATGTTCACTGCATCAAATTTGGCCCTCTTTGAAGAAAGTTTGCAATAGAGCCTTGCAGCTTCCAGGGAACAGCCTGGATCTGCAGCTAAAATAAGAGAAGCAGATCACAGCAAGTGACACAAATAATTCACCTTACAGCCTCCCAAGCATGATTCAGGAGAGCTGTTGCTTTGGGTTGCGAAAAGCAGCACACCAACACTCACCTGTTGATCCATTCATTCGTGGTTTTATTCATTTTGAGAACTTTGATTTTTTAATTTTGTTAAAAAGTGTCACCAACAAGCTGTTTGCAGCATTAAGTCCCCATTCAACTTCCTATTCAAGCAGGTTGAGAAACTCGAGGAAATGGTGGCGAGGCAATGAGATGAATTTTGCGCACGTGATCCATTATGGGCGATGTTAGAAGAAGAAAATCAAATGGGGAGAAGATGCATTAGTTTGTTACCAGCAAAGGACGGATCATGGGCTCTGAGATCTGGCAGGGGCAGCCCACCCACCATGCCCACGGGCACCCCTGGCATTGCCACCCGAGCCTGGCAGTCCTTATCAGCCCTCGGCTGAGCTAGGGGCCACTTCCATTTGGCTCCCGGGTGGTGCCGGAACTTGCCTTTGCAGCGGCTTCAGCAACCTCGACTCAATCTGTGGTGGGGCTGTGCGAATCGTGACCCACGGCCTTCGAATCGAGACCCACGGCCTGTAAATCTGCCCATGCCAAGCTGGGGCCCTTGTCCTCAGATGCAATCTTCCCAACCGCATGGACGTTAGGCCCCAGATTGGGCCCCGGGAGGGAGTCGAGTTGCCCGGTCCCGTGGGCCTTGTTCCAGGAGCCATGTCCGATATAACGGGACTGGGACCCCCTCCTTTGGGCCACCGTGTGGGATGGGAGTTGGCTCTGGGGGTGGACCGAGACATGGGAAGGGTCTGGGGGGTGGTGCTGGGGGGTGGCCAAGGTCTGGTTGTGGGGTAGACCACAGGAGGCGTCTGAGGGGTGGTCTCAGGGGGTGGCAAAGGTCTGGTCGTGTACCAGGATGCTGGAGGAGCCTGGGTGGTGGTGGTGGGGGGTGGCCATGGTCCGGTGGTGGGCCAGACCGCAGGAGGGGTCTGGGGGGTGGTCGTGGGGGGTGGCCAAGGTCTGGTGGTGGACCAGACCACAGGAGGGGTCTGGGGGGTGGTCGTGGGGGGTGGCCAAGGTCTGGTGGTGGGCCAGACCACAGGAGGGGTCTGGGGGGTGGTCGTGGGGGGTGGCCAAGGTCTGGTGGTGGGCCAGACCACAGGAGGGGTCTGGGGGGTAGTGTTGGGGGGTGGCCATGGTCTGGTGGTGGGCCAGACCACAGGAGGGGTCTGGGGGGTAGTGTTGGGGGGTGGCCATGGTCTGGTGGTGGGCCAGACCACAGGAGGGGTCTGGGGGGTGGTCGTGGGGGGTGGCCAAGGTCTGGTGGTGGGCCAGACCACAGGAGGGGTCTGGGGAATGGCCTTGGGGGGTGGCCATGGTCTGGTGGTGGGCCAGACCACAGGAGGGGTCTGGGGGGTAATGTTGGGGGGTGGCCATGGTCTGGTGGTGGGCCAGACCACAGGACGGGTCTGGGGGGTGGTCGTGGGGGGTGGCCATGGTCTGGTGGTGGGCCAGACCACAGGAGGGTTCTGAGGGGTGGCATTGGGGGGTGGCCAAAGTCTGGTGGTGGACCAGACCACAGGAGGGATCTGAGGGCTGGCGTTGGGGGGTGGCCAAGGCCTGGGATATGGCACATTCCCATTTTGTCGCATTTGGAGCTGTGGCCTTGGAGGGGGGTGTGGCAGTCGCATAAGCTGGGGCTGTGCCATTGGCGGTGGGTGGTTGGGTAGTGAAAGGTCCTCATTGGTCATCTTCCTGATCCAGTCGCGGTAGAACTGTGTGGAGGTGTAGACCCCCGGCCTTTTTCCCTGGCCGCAGACAGACGGTCCCCAGCTGGCGATTCCAACCACCCAGTAGCGTTCGGACCTCTGCTCCCGGCACATGAGGGGGCCGCCTCTGTCGCCCTGCAAGTGGGAGAGAAAAGGCTCCTGTGAGGATTTGGTCTCTGAGGGGCCTTCTCCTTCTCTCATGGCTGCTGCCTGAGATGCTGGAGGATGAATCACAGAGTAGTTTTGCATGTTCAGAGCAAGGGCTCTGCTGCTCCAGGAGCACTAGAGAGTTTTGCCCCCAAGCCAAACCCATAGCCTTGATTTTGTTGTAGCTTCACCACCTTGCAAGAAGCTACGCCTCCTTCCAAGGTTCCAGCGCAGATGTTCTCCTCGAGGATCCTATTGGACCACCAGTCCGGGCTGCTGCATGTTGCCATGGGGATGAGGTCAACAGTACCCTCCTGCAGGATGTCGGGAAATTTTCTCGCTGATAGAAGAAAGGGAAAGTGGGGGGAGGGGGAGGCTCAGTTCAGATTTCACTCCCCACCCCACCTGCACCCCCAGGACTAAAGGAGAGAGACATGAAGGCAGGTGCAGCAGAAACACCCCCCTAAAACTTAGTTGATGGACTGGGGGTGAGATCAGAGACAAGGGTATGCCAGGCTGCAGAGTAGGGTGAATTGCAAGTTTCTGGGGGCTCTTAAAGGTAAAGGGGACCCCTGACCATTAGGTCCAGTCATAACTGACTCCGGGGTTGCTGCGCTCATCTCGCTTTATTGGCCAAAGGAGCCGGTGTACAGCTTCCGGGTCATGTGGCCAGCATGACTAAGCTGCTTCTGGCGAAGCAGCGCAGTGCACGGAAACGCCATTTACCTTCCCGCCGGAGCAATACCTATTTATCTACTTGCACTTTGACGTGCTTTCGAACTGCTAGCTTGGCAGGAGCAGGGACCGAGCAACAGGGAACTCACCCTTGCACGGGGATTCGAACCGCCGACCTTCTGATCGGCAAGTCCTAGGCTCTGTGGTTTAACCCACAGCACCACCTGTGTCACCTGGGGGCCCTTAGAGACCCCCAAACTCCCCGTTTCCTCCTGAAACCACATCCCTCCCTCCCTATCTCTCCATCTGTCCTAGTATTGCGTACACTGAGCGACAGCAGAGGTAGACAGGAGTTTCCACCAGCCCTATCCAGAGATTGAAACTCAATCTTCTGCGTGCAAAGCCATCGTTACTGAGCTGAGTTCTGGGGGCAAGCATCTATGTCTGGAGAAGGGTGATCTGCCCAGAAGCCGTGAAGTGGAATGGCTCTCAAAACCAACCATCTCCATCCTTTTCTGCCCTGTGAACACGCGCACACCTGCCTCACCTCTAAGACTCAGGGCTTCTGATGTACACAGCCCAACTGTAACTACCAACTTAGAATCCTAGAGTGGGAAGGGACCCCCAATGGGCATCCAGCACAACCCCGTACAACGCAGGAGTTGAACTTTCCACCTTGACTACCATCGCTATAATGTTTCTTTGGTGAAATTGATCGGCAGGGAAGGTGTAGTCTGCAAATTTACTTTAGGCACACAGCCAGGCCGCTCCTTCTGGGGGCCTGGTTTCCCTGCAGATCTCACTTTTCGGGTCTATAATTCCAAAACCGCTGACATAGCAGTGCTTGAGCAAGGAAACCACCACGCTGTCATCCGGCAAGCAGGCTGGCTGAATATAGTCCGTGCAGTTGACTGGCTCGTTCAGCTCCACCAAGGAAATGTCGTTGTGCACTTTCCTGTAGGTATCGTTCAAGAAGTGCTCAAAGAGTTCGTGGTTCACCAGCCTCTTGATCCAGCGCCTCTGGGCATCGGGGCCAGGGTTGGAGATGCGGTTGGCGCCAATCGACAGGCTGATATTTGGTATTTCTCTGCAACAAAGAATATGCACAGAGTGGGGACTGTGTTCCCGGTGGATTTGGAAAACCAGATGCAAACAACTTGCTTATTGGTGGTCCCTCATCAAACTGGGGCGATGTTATTAGTGGAGCGATGAAGAGTTGCTTTGCTGAAGGGGTGGAGGGACTTTGCATGACTTTGCTAAAGGGGTGGAGGGAAATCTTTGGAAATTACATTTGGGGTGTTGGTTTTGGTTCCTATCATGTTTCTAATCTTCTCCGTGTCATTTTTTTTTAAAGTCCTCGTAAAAATTTGTCATTGTTTTAGTGTAAATTGCTCTTAACATACACATTTTTGCAGAGCAATTTGCCCCCAAACCAATTGTTTGTGTACATTGTTTTCATGAAATATTGCATAAATATTGCATTTTAAAGGGCGCTTTACCCCAATGCATGCATTCTTAAACACATTTCTATTCATTACTCATTGCTCTCCTTTTTTTTAGTGTAATAAATTTGACTTTTCATCTACCTCTGCTGTTTTCGTTAAACTCTGGAGCGGCAAATTCTGGAGCAAAATTTCACAAAAGAACTCCAGAAAGGCTTGTCCGGTTTGCAGATCTGTGGGCCTGCGTGCGAACTGAAAACTTCAGTAACACTACATAGTCGAAAGAACCTATAGGATGAGTCTCAGAAACATGAATCAAAGAGTAGGGGGCCAGCTTAGTCCCAGTGTCTTTTTTTCAAGTTTTGCAGGAGCACCGCTGGACCAGGCATGTCCAACTTTAAGTAGGTTTTGATCTGCTATCCAGTATCAAAACTGGCAGTGATCAACCACCCTCCGAAGTCATTTAAGTTTATGAAACAAGCAAGCAAGCAAACAAACAAAGAAACAAACAAATGGATCTCTATTTCACAAATATAGTAGTTATGTTTTGATATTATCATGACAGACCCAAATAGTTACAGTGGTACCTCGGGTTAAGAACTTAATTCATTCTGTAGGTCCGTTCTTAACCTGAAACTAGTCTTAACCTGAGGTACCACTTTAACTAATGGAGTCTCCCACTGCCACATGATTTCTGTTCTCATCCTGAAGCAAAGTTCTTAACCCAAGGTACTATTTCTGGGTTAATGGAGACTGTAACCTGAAGCGTCTGTAATCTGAAGTGTCTGTAACCCAAGGTACCACTGTACTAGATGGACAAGTAACTAAACAAGTGAGAAAAGTCTAACTATATTTTTATATTAGTTTTCAGAGATCTGAGGAGACAGATGGAGTGCACAAGGATTCAAGCCCTTTCTCTCTGAGGAGACTATCACAGGGCTTCTCTCTCTCCCTCCCCCAAAGCACAGAGCGGGTGGTGGGGAAGGAAAGCAAGCTGGCTTTGGAGGAAGAAGGCTCGGGAGGAGGAGGAGGAGGAGGAGGAGGAGGAGGAGGACGACGAGGAGGAGGAGGAGAATCTCAGGCTTGCATGAGATTGGCGGCAGAGAAAAGATTTTCTTTCTCAGCCCACAATCGACCAAGATCAGAACCGCAATTGATGAAGGCTGTTCCTGGGCTTCCGAATCCTAAAAAACTTCAATCCTAAAAAAAGGTCGGCCCTCAAGGCCCTTCACTTCATCAACTCTGGCCCTTTTTGGATACCACTGGAGGCTGGCTCTGAGTTTTGACGCCCTGCGATGCTGACAGCAGCCACCCCTCTGAAGGCAGAAGGTGGGACTCTGCTCCCATGAGATGCCCCTGACCTGGGTGCCAGGTTTGCAGACCCCGTGACAACACTCCTTGAGAACCCTTTGCTTACTTTGCTTTCTGAAAACAGTGGGCTGCGCTGAGGACCCATCGAGGGCTGATCAGGGAGCCTCCACAGAAACTGAAGTATCCCCTAAAAGTTTTTATTTGAAAGCTGACCATCCAGGGCCATGTTCCGGGGGAAGCGTTGCTGCTGCCCACAACCCGGAGGAGGTTATGGCTGCCTGCCATGGGACGTCTTCCGCAGACTCCACTGGAAAGCAAGAAACAGATTGCCATCTACAGAGTATCAGAGCCATTGCATATATACCACCTCCCCCCAGTTTGCCCCTCCTCTTGGCCATCTTGGGAAGAGAGGCATGAAACTGGAGGTGTCCAGCTGCACTTCTGGATGCCTCCCAAATGCCCATCACTCCCAGGGAGGAGGGAACTTTTTCTAGCCCAGGGGCCACATTGTCTTCTGAGGGCCACATCTCAGTGGTGGTTGGGGCCAGAGGCAAAAATGGACTGTTCAGCAAATCCAAATTAGTAAGCTATTTTCTACCTCTCTCTCCTTCCATCCCTCTATCCTCTTTCAAGAATTCCCCCCCCTTTTGTCTGTCCTCTTGAGTGGTCCCCCATTCCGCTTCCTTGTGTGACCCAGATGGATTCTAGTATTCTGAGAGAGGGAGGAACATGCCCTCTGAGAACAGACTCTGTCTTTGCATGCTAGTTTTGACCCACCCCAATGAAAGGGAGTGAGAGCAGCCATGGGGTCAGTTGTGCCCCCCTCCTCTTCAAGACCACATCCAGGAGTTCGAGGGTGGGATTCCCTCTCCTGCCTCCTCACCATGTCTGGCCTCTCTCTCCACTTACTCGCAGTTGCTTTCCTTGGCATGGGATGGGCGGAAAGCAGCGAGGGCCAGAACAGGGAGGAGCCACCACTCCATCCTTCTGCTGGCTCCAGGTGTTGTTGCTTCCTCCATGTTTTCCTGGAATCCATGACATCACAAAATGGAAGATCTGTCGGATCAGCAGGTGGACAGTCTGACATCATCACAAGTTCTCTTCTCTTCTCTTCTCTTCTCTTCTCTTCTCTTCTCTTGGCACCATGCTCAAAAGCCTATGTTCTAGAGTCAAGTTGTGTGTGCAAAGGGCTCCTTTCTGTTCCATGTGCCCCTTTCTCCCTGCATTACCCATGCACACTCAAACTGTATACAACAGCGGACCCTCCCAGGGACCCTATTTTCCAAGGATAGTCCTGGATTTACGGGATCTGACCCAGGTTCTGATTTGATCCTGGAATGTCCCGCTTTTTCTTAGGATGTCCCTATTTTCATCAGAGAAATGTTGGAAGGTAAGGAGTTATGTGACCCCCCTGGGGCAAGGAGATAACTACACAACTTTTTGAAGACATATCTCTGATTTTTCCATCATGTGACTCAAGCGAGAGTCAAAATGGGACATCCTGGAATCCAATCAGAAGCTGGAATGAGGTTGAGGGGTACGCGCTGTAAGAACAGGATGCAGGACCAGATGGGCCTCATCCAGCCGCTAAAACAAGTCTGCATTTGGCTCTATTGGCAAACCACAGCTGGACACAGAAGAGGGACTAATCAAGGCTAAATTTCCAGATTAAGAATAAATTTCCAGAAAACTTGGTTGCCATCTGTCACTGATTGCGGGGGGTTGGACTAGATGACCCCTGGGAATCCCTTCCAATTCTACCGCTCTATGATTCTGTTGCCCAGTGCCAATGTGACTTAGGCCCATTAATTTCAGTAGCTTTCGTCTGAGTAGGACTAGCACTGGGGGGGGGGGGGACAGCAGTTCTTCTTACATTTGTGCTGTATGGGAACCTTGGTTTCCAGGAAGAGACATGCATAGATGGATGGTTTGTGGGAGATTTAAATGTGACACCCCCTAACTGGGTATAGACGCCAAGGGTTTGCAAAAAAAGTTGAAAGAGAAACCTCGCTGCAATTGCATCAGATCTTTTAAACCGCTCAAAGAAAAGGGACACAAAGAACAAATGGCATAAAATTCAACCTCCAACTTCTGTTTTTAATTTTATTATATCTTAGTTCCATCATTACTAGATTATGGTCTAATATCGATTTCCCCTTCTTTTCCCCTTTTGGCTGAAAGGGGTTTCCTTGTCCTAGGAGCTTTGCAGTTCTTTGCAATGTGCCCTTCCTTTTTGCAATTGAAGCAAACCACTTTCTTGGGCATTTCTCTGGACTTTGTAAATTGCCTAGATGCATAATTACTGTCCTTGCTTCTAGCATTTCTTACTGGAGACTCAGCTCTCTCTCTGCATTCCTCCCTGAAATGACTGGTCAGGTCTTTAAAAGTTAGACCTTCTCTGTGGTCCATTATGCTAAAAAATGAATCAATCTTTGGTCCTAGGGATGATAGCAAAAATGATATCTTTGTATCTTCATCAAAAGGCTTAGGAATAAGATCAATCCTTTGAATAATCTCAGTAAACTTGTTGATGTGCTCTGTGAGTTCTTCTTTTGAATTCATCCTCAGTCTGGTTAATTTACACATCAAGGTTCTGTAGGAGTTCTTGGTAGATTCTTGATACATGCGCTCAATATTACTTAAGATTTGAGATACATCATCTTGACTGTTTATTAATAGATGCTCATCACAAAGTCCACTCGAAATTATGTGTCTGGCTTCACTGTTCTTGTCTTTCCAAGCTCTTATCTTGGCTAAATCTTCCTCAGTTGCTCCTGTAGGCTGAGGGTTCTCTACAGCAGTGTTCCCCAACCTTGGGCCTCCAGCTGTTTTTGGACTACAACTCCCATCATCCCTAGCTAGCAAGACCAGTGGTCAGGGATGATGGGAATTGTAGTTCAAAAACAGCTGGAGGCCCAAGGTTGGGAAACACTGCTCTACAGCATCCAAAACGTATTTTTAATCTAGAAATGCTATTAAGCGCTTCTTCCAGTGCACAAAATTGTATTCATTTCGCACAGGCATTCCTAGTTTTGCATCACTATCAAAAGCTGCTCTAAGCCATCTTAGAATTCAAAAATGAGAAAAATATTCAAATATTTGTCAAAATTTTAAAATCAAAATCTCAGAAATCTCAAAATACAAAACAAATCTTCACTGCCTTGGGTCACTGTGAACTCTGAGGGAGGGGTTGCTTAATCCCCACTGCACAATGGAACAAAGGACCATGTGCTTACCAGGAAGTTCTCTCAGAAAAATATTACTCAACTCAAAATCACAACCCAACGCAATCCTTCAAAAATACACAAAAACATGTAATGCTGGGGCCACTAACCCTTTGTGGGAATGTTCAGGGATGCAGGAGAGGATATATTGTCTGATTATATCCTTATCCAACTTGTGTTAACAAGTTCCACAATTTCAGCAGAGTAACATTCCCCTCTTTTAAATTTTGCAGCGGATGCGTTTTGCTCAGGCTCGCTAAAGCCTCTATAATAACTGTTCTGGTATTTTCCTCTTATTCCCTCATAAAAGATAAGACACGACACAGTCTTCTATAAAAGTATAAAAAGAGTTTACTCACATTCTGTTCACAGTCGGATCCCAGAAGGCAGACTTAGCTTAATGAAGTAACATACACTTGGAATCTATCTCATAAGGAGACAGTCCCTTTGTCCTCTCTTGGCTGGAAGCCTAGAGGGCATCTTTGGCTTAGTAGATGTTGTGTCTTCAATGCATGTGGTGAAAGAGAGAGAGTTGGCTGCCCTGTCCTGTGCTTTTGTTGTTACCTGCACAGGTGAGGTCATGCCCACCTCTAGTCACATGCAGAGGAAGTCTGTCCCAGCCCAGAAGGAAACAGGAAGTTGACCTGCTGGCTGGACAAACGTTCCTCCCCATGTGCAAACATGTCCACTCTAGGAATGTTGTACTTGACTGCTCTTGTGTTTTACATCCCACAGAGCTGTGGCGATCCACAGGTGAGAAGCCTGCAGAGAGGTGTGCATTGCGCTCTGCTGGCAGGGAATCCACACTCTATACCACACTCTAACAACACTGGCTCTCTTGGATTTGTGACCAATGCTTTTTTATTTCTTCAAAATCCCATCTGAAAGATCTTCACCCTTTTCCTGTCCTGCCTTCCCCCAAACCCACATCCTTTCTGCTTTGCATCTTTAAACTGGATCACTGCTTAGTGCAGCAGCTGTCCAGAGGTGAGCAGAGGATTGCAATGCCATCTTCCTCCTGCTGCCTTTTGCTGGAACAACCAAAACATGGAATAATTGGGATGTTTAAAACTGCAGAATTTTATCATCAGGAAGCTGCAATGCAGGCACTAGCAGGAAGCAAAGTGGGATGGGGTATAAATGCCTTGATACCTTTATTTATTGTGTTTCTGTTATGTACTGAGTTGAATAGGATCCAAAAGGCAGTAGTCTGATTGGTCCTAGAATAGGATTCAGAATGCAGTAGTCTGATTGGTCCTAGAACAATAGGTTCCAGAATGCAGCAGTCTGATTGGTCCACAGGAGCCACCCAATCCAGCTCCAGGTGGAAGTGAATCCGCAACCTGATTGGCCTACAGGAGAATCCCAGAATTAGCCAATCAGGTGGGGCCCATTGTGTAAATAATGTATATAAAGCAGACATTCTGGGGAACTTCCATTCCTCCTCACCACTATAAGCTGAATAAAGAGCATGAAATCCACTCTCGACTCCGAGTATATTTCAGTTTCTATCCCACTCCCCCCCCCCCATGTTGTTCAAGGTGGTGACAATGGTTCTTCCTTTCCACCCTTAACCCACACAACAGCTTTATGAGCTGAGGGGCAGTGACTGGCTCAAGGGACTTCCTTTGCTGCTGCGTTTCGGTCAGGGATTTTAAGCTCTGTGTCTAAGCAGGGTTTGGGGTTTTTTTGTCTTGGCTCTTTCCTCCGGGAAAACTCTCATTTTACCATTGAATTGGTGGGAACAATTGCCTCCAATTCAGTGATAAAATGCAGATTTTTCCCGAGAAAGAGCTGGGGCAGAAAGAAGAAGAACAAAAGAAGAGTTTGGATTTGATATCCCGCTTTATCACTACCTGAAGGAGTCTCAAAGCGGCCAACATTCTCCATTCCCTTCCTGCCCCACAACACTCTGTGAGGTGAGTGGGGCTGAGAGACTTCAAAGAAGTGTGACTAGCCCAGGTCACCCAGCAGCTGCAGGTGGAGGAGTGGAGACGCGAACCCGGTTCACCAGATTACGAGTCCACCGCTCTTAACCACTACACCACACTGGCTCAGAAAGAAAACTGTTTGGACCTGGAGCTTTCAAGCATGCACCTGTGACTGGAAAACAAGATTTGGCTGCATCTCCAGGGAGCACCATGGCTTCAGGAATCCCTTTCATGTGGTGCAGGTAGGCCTGACTTAGGCAATAGAGCAGGCACGTGCAATGTCCGGCCTAATCCATTCCACCGGTCAGTTTAATCAGGCCCCTGTTGCTGTTTATTTCCTGGGGTAAAAGCCCCCAAAAGCACAACTACTTCAATCCTAAAAAAGGCTCTGCAACTTTGGTCAGCCCTCACGCATGTTCACTGCATCAAATTTGGCCCTCTTTGAAGAAAGTTTGCAATAGAGCCTTGCAGCTTCCAGGGAACAGCCTGGATCTGCAGCTAAAATAAGAGAAGCAGATCACAGCAAGTGACACAAATAATTCACCTTACAGCCTCCCAAGCATGATTCAGGAGAGCTGTTGCTTTGGGTTGCGAAAAGCAGCACACCAACACTCACCTGTTGATCCATTCATTTGTGGTTTTATTCATTTTGAGAACTTTGATTTTTTTTATTTTGTTAAAAAGTGTCACCAACAAGTTGTTTGCAGCATTAAGTCCCCATTCAACTTCATACTCAAGCCAGGTTGAGAAACTCCGAGGAAATGGTGGCGAGGCAATGAGATGAATTTTGCGCACGTGATCCATTATGGGCGATGTTAGAAGAAGAAAATCAAATGGGGAGAAGATGCATTTAGTTTGTTACCAGCAAAGGACGGGTCATGGGCTCTGAGATCTGACAGGGGCAGCCCACCCACCATGCCCACGGGCACCCTGGCATTGCCACCCTAGCCTGGCAGTCCTTATCAGCCCTCGGCTGAGCTAGGGGCCACTTCCAATATGCTCCCGGGTGGCGCCGGAACTTGCCATTGCAGCGGCTTCAGCAACCTGGACTCAATCCCTTGTGCGGGTGTGCGAATTGTGACCCACGGCCTGTAAATCTGCCCATGCCAATGCTGCAAGTTGGCCCTTGTCCTCGGATGCCACCTTATCGGCTTCATGGACCATGGAGGAGGCGTTAGGCCCCAGATTGGGCGCTGGGGGGGAGTCGAGGCGCCCAGTCCCGTGGGCCTCGTTCCGGGAGGCATGTACCATATAATGCGCCTGGGACCCCCTCCTTGGGTCCACCGTGTGGGATGGGAGTTGGGTCTGGGAGTGGACCAGGACATGGGATGGGTCTGGGGGGTGGTCTTGGGGGGTCCCCAAGGTCTGGTGGTGGGCCAGGTCTGGGGAGTGGTCTTGTGGGGTGGTGAAGGTCTGGTCGTGGGCCAGACCACAGGATGGGTCTGGGGAGTGGTCTTGTGGGGTGGTGAAGGTCTGGTCGTGGGCCAGACCACAGGAGGGGTCTGGGGAGTGGTCTTGTGGGGTGGTGAAGGTCTGGTCGTGGGCCAGACCACAGGATGGGTCTGGGAGGTGGTCTTGGGGGGTGGCCAAGGTCTGGTGGTGGGCCAGACCATAGGAGTGGTATGGGGAGTGGTCTTGGGGGGTGGCCAAGGTCTGGTGACCCCGTCTGCTTTAGGGGGCCTGGGATATGGCACATTCCCATTTTGTCCCGGTTGGGGCTGTGGCGTTGGAGGTGGGCGTGGACGTGGCGTAGGCCGGGGCTGTGCCATTAGCGGTGGTTTTTTGGGTGGGGAAAAGTCCTCGTTGGTCATCTTCCTGATCCAGTCGATGTAGAACTGCGTGGAGGCGTAGACCCCCGGCTTCTTTTTCTGGCCGCAGAATGGTGGTCCCCAGCTGGTGATTCCAATCACCCAGTAGCGTTCAGACCTCTGCTCCCGGCACATGAGGGGGCCACCGCTGTCGCCCTGCAAGCAGGAGAGAAAAGGCTCCTGTGAGGAGGAGCGTCCTGACAGCCCGATGGCTCAGAAGCGGAGCTTTGTAAGAGGAAAGGTTTGTGAAGATGTCATATGAAAACTCCGGCTGGAAGCATCACAGAGATGCATCCCTGCACCCTGGACCATCCATTGAGCCGATGGTTGGCCTAGATTAACTTCCAAGGAAGCTCATCTAATCTAAGGGAAGGCTGTAGCTCAGAAACAGAGCCCCTGCTCTGCATCTTGAGGGTCATAGAATCGCAGAGATGGAAGGGTCCCTGAGAATCCTCTAGTCCAACTCTTTGCAGTTGTCCCATACGGGGATCGAACCAGCAACCCTGGATTTCTTAGCACCACGCTCGAGCCAACCAGGACAAAGTAGGGCTTTTTGTGTCTGCTGAAAACCGAACTGAGGTCAGCTGTTTGGAGTGCAGCTATGCTCATCACTGGAACACCACCGTCCGTCTCTTGCGGCATCTTCAGAAATGTAGCAACTATTGGTGACACCCTTCCACTGTGGGATTTTCTCTTTTGGCAAATATCTAACATAAAGTTGAGCTGACCTTTTTGGTGATTTGGGCATTAAAGGACTCATATCCACCAGCGAGGCAACGGCCCCTACTTGGGTTGTGACTCCTTCTGAGTCCAGATGCTAAGGGTGGTGACCTCTTGAGTAGAGCTTGGAGGGATGCTGAGGGCAAAGGGGATCATCTTCATCTGCCCTGTGTCTGTTAAGGAAGACCCCTGAACTCCAAGGAGGGCATTCAAGTTTATGCGAATGCCTTATGCCAAGTTTTCCACTGGTAAATCTTGCCCTGCATTTTCTGCTCAGGCCAGTTGCAGCTCTCCAAGGATTTGTCCTTGGAGTGGCCTTCCCCTTCTCTCACAGCTACTGCCTGAGATGCTGGAAGCTGAATTGCAGGTAAGTTTTGCATGTTCAGAGCAAGAGCTCTGCTGTTCCAGGAGCATGAGAAGGTTCCACCCCCAAACCAAACCCATAGCCTTGATTTTGTCATAGCTTCACCCACCTGGCACATAGTAGTGCCTGTTTCCAAATTTTCAGCGCAGATGTTCTCCTCGAGAATATAGTGGTACCACCAGTCCGGGCTGCTGCAAGTCGCCCTGGGGATGATGTCAACAGACCCCTCCTGCATGATGTCGGGCATTTTTTTCGCTGAGAGCAGAAAGGGAAAGTGGGGGGAGGGGGAGGCTCAGTTCAGATTTCACTCCCCACCCCACCTGCACCCCCAGGACTAAAGGAGAGAGACATGAAGGCAGGTGCAGCAATATCACCCCCTAACCCCCCCTAATCTCTGAGGGTGAGATCAGAGACAAGGGTATGTCAGGCTGCAGAGTAGGGTTAGCTCCAGGTTTCTGGGGGGTCCTGGAGACCCCAAGACTCCATTTCCACCTGAAACCACATCCCTCCTCCCCCTTTAGAACAAAACACGTTGGGACCAATATGGCAAATCCCCTGGGGTCTCAAGAAAATGCAGTATTTCGTGTTTCACTCGTTCCTCTATTGTTTCCAGAGTAAATCCCAGGGAATTTGTTGGGGTTCACTTGTGATGGGTTAACCTGTCAACTGCTGTTTTCCTCATTATTTTTCTATTTTTAGTTTGGATCTCCCTGTTCATGCATCGGTTTCTGAATTTTTTAAAAAAACTCACCAGGCATTTGGATACTAATTTCTCCTAAGAGAAACCTTTCTGCAAAGCCATTTCCCCTAATATAATGCATTTTTGTACATTATTTTCACAAATACATAAGTTTTTAATGCATCCCAAAACTCTCTGTTTCCTCCTGAAACCACATCCCTCCCTCCCTATCTCTCCATCTGTCCTAGTATTGCATACACTGAGCGACAGCAGAGGTAGACAGGAGTTTCCACCAGCCCTACCCAGAGATTGAAACTCAATCTTCTGCATGCAAAGCCATCATTACTAAGCTGAGTTTTGGGGGCAAGCATCTATGTCTGGAGAAGGCAATCTGCCCAGAAGCCGTGAAGTGGAATGGCTCTCAAAACCAACCACCTCCATCCTGAGTGAGTGCCTGGAGGCGGTTGGAGGATGGATGGCGGCTAATTGGATTGAGGTTGAATCCTGACAAGACAGAAGTACTGTTTTTGGGGGATGGGGGCGGGCAGGTGTGGAGGTCTCCCTGGTCCTGAATGGGGTAACTGTTTCCCTCAAGGACCAGGTGCGCAGCCTGGAAGTTATTTTGGACTCACAGCTGTCCATGGAGGCGCAGGTCAATTCTGTATCCAGGGCAGCTGTCTACCAACTCCACCTGGTACGCAGGCTGAGACCCTCCCTGCCCACAGACTGTCTGCCAGAGTGGTGCATGCTCTAGTTATCTCCCGCTTGGACTACTGCAATGTGCTCTACGTGGAGCTACCTTTGAAGCTGACCCGGAAACTACAACTAATCCAACTAATCTGTGAAATGGAATGGCTCTCAAAACAAACACAGCCCAACCATAACTACCAACTTAGAATCCTAGAGTGGGAAGGGACTAACCCCCTGCAATGCAGGAATCAAGATTCATGACCACAAATGCAGCCACTGTAATTTCCACCCTGACTACCATTGCTATTACATTTCTTTGGCGAAACTAATGGGCAGCGAAGGTGTGGTCCGCAAATTTACTTTAGGCACACAGCCAGGCCACTCCTTCTGGGAGCCTGGTTTCCCTGCAGATCTCACTTGTCGGGTCCATGATGCCAAAACCGCTGATATAGCAGTGCCCGAGCTTGGAAACCGCCACGCTTTCATCTGGCAAGCAGGCTGGCTGAATGTAGTCCGTGCAGTTGACTGGCTCGTTCAGCTCCACCAAGGAAATGTCGTTGTGTATTTTGCTGTAGGTTTTGTTCCAGAAGCGCACGTATTGCTTGTGGTTCAGCAGCCTCTTGATCGAGCGCCTCTGGGCATCGGGGCCGGGGTCGGAGATGCGGTTGGCACCAATCGACAGAGTGATGTTTGGTATTTCCCTGGAACAAAGAATACACACAGGGTGGGGATTGTGCTCCTGAACAAAATGAAGGTCAGCTGAAGTTGGCTGGATGTTGGAGTACAGGGAGCACAGCTGGGTCTGAAGGAGAGAGGGAAGCAGGCAGGCCTCACTGCCCTTTGCCTCATCCCCCTCCCCCAATTTGGTTCTGAGCTGCACATCTCCCTTCTCGCATAATGCCACCACGTGGATCTGGAAAACCAGATGTGAACAGCTTACTCATCGGTGGTCCCTCATCAAACTGGGGCAAAGTTTTAAGTAAAGTGATGAAGCGATGAAGAGTTGCTTTGATCCATGGGGTGGAGTGAAATCTTTGGAAATTACATTTGGGGTGTTGGTTTTGGTTCCTATCATGTTTCTAATCTTCTCCACGTCATTTTTTAAAAAAGTTCTCGTAAAAATTCATCATTGTTTTAGTGTAAATTGCACTTAATGTACACATTTTTGCAGAGCAATTTGCCCCCAAACAAATTTTTTTTGTACACTCTTTTCATGAAATATTGCATTTTACAGGATGCTTTACCCCAATGCATGCATTCTTACACACATTGCTATTCATTAATTCTGTTTAAAACCTCTAGTAAATATGCCAATTGCTCTCCTTTTTTTTTAATGTAATAAATTTGATTTTTCATCTACCTCCGCTGTTTTCATTAAACCCTGGAGAGGCAAATTCTGGAGCAAAAGTTTCTCAAAAGAACTCCAAAAGGCTTGTCCAGTTTGCAGATTTATGGGCCTGCGTATGAACTGAAAACTTCAGTAACACTTCATAGTCGAAATAGCCTATAGGATGAGTCTCAGAAACATGAATCAAAGAGTAGGGGGCCAGCTGAGTCCTAGTGTCCTTCTTTCAAGTTTTGCAGGAGAACTGCTGGACCAGGCATGTCCAACTTCAAGTCGGTTGTGATCTACTATCCATAATCAAAAACTGCCGGGGATCTACCACCCTCCAAAGTCAATTAAGTTGATGAAATAAATAAGCAAGCAAGCAAGCAAACAAACAAACAAATTGATCCCTATTTCAGATCAGTCCTGCCATTGATGAGGGTTGTTCCTGGGCTTCTGAATTCTAAAAAAAAAGAGCTCAACAACTAACTTTGGGTTAAAATCATGAAACAGTCCAACAACTTCAATCCTAAAAAAAGGTCAACAACTTCTTTGGATAGCACTGGAGGATGGTTCTTTGACACACTATGATGCTGACAGCAGCCACCCCTCTGAAGGCAGAAGGTGGGACTCTGCTTCCATGAGATGCCCCCGCCCTGGGTGCCAGGTTTGCAGACCCCGTGACAACACTCCTTGGGAACCCTTTGCTTACTTTGGTTCTTGAAAGCAGTGGGCCGCACTGAGGACCCATCGAGGGCTGATCAGGGAGCCTCCACAAATACTGAAGTATCCCGTATAAGTAAGTATTTGGAAGCTGACCGTCCAGGGCCACGTTCCGGGGAGAACGTTGCTGCCGCCCACAACCCGGAGGAGGTTATGGCTGCCTGCCAGGGGACGCCTTCCGCAGACTCCACTGGAAAGCAAGACACAGATTGCCATCTACAGAAGATCAGAGACATTGCATATATACCACCTCTCCCCAGTTTGCCCCAAATACTGGTCAGTCCCCTCCTCTTGGCCATCTTGGGAAGAGAGGGATGAAATTGGATATGCCCAGCTGCACCTCTGGATGCCTCCCAAATGCCCATCGCTCCCAGGCTTTTAAGACAGAGGGAACTTTTTCTAGCCCAGGGGCCACATTGTCTTCTGAGGGCCACATCTCAGTGGTGGGTGGGGCCAGAGGCAAAAATGGACTGTTCAGCAAATCCAAATTAGTAAGCTATTTTCTACCTCTCTCTCCCACCCTCCCTCTGTCATCCTTCTAGAAAAGAAATATTTCATTTTGTTTGTCCCCCTGACTGGTCCCCCATTCCGCTTCCTTGGGTGACCCAGATGGATTCTAGTATTCTGAGAGAGGGAGGAACATGCCCTCTGAGAACAGACTCTGTCTTTACATGCTAGTTTTGACCCACCACAATGAAAGGGAGTGAGAGCAGCCATGGGTCAGCCATGGGTCAGCCATGGTCCTCTTCAAGACCACATCCAGAAGGAGTTGGTGGTTGGGATTCCCCCTCCTGCCTCCTCACCATGTCTGGCCTCTCCCCCCACTTACTCGCAGGTGCTTTCCTCAGCATGGGTGGGGCGGAAAGCAGCGAGGGTCAGAACAGGGAGGAGCCACCACCCCATCCTTCTGCCGGCTCTAGGTGTTGCTGCTTCCTCCATGTTTCCCTGGAATCCATGACATCACAAAACGGAAGATCTGTCAGATCAGCAGGTGGAGAGTCTGACATCATCACAAGTTCTCTTCTCTTCTCTTCTCTTCTCTTCTCTTCTCTTCTCTTCTCTTCTCTGAGAAGTGTTTATGTGCCCAGAAGCATGGAAAGAGTAAGGCTTGCACCCGACTTTCTGCCCCATGGAGTGGGCATCCTGTCATGCTGATCCCTGCAGGCGTTGGCCAACTGCAACATCCATTCTTTGCAGCTCAGGGTGCCCTTCCTTGTGCCTATGAGAGTGCCAGAGTGCCAAGGCAAGGCACCCATTATAGTCCTAGAAAGTGAATTCTTTATTTAAAGTATGGAGGAAGTACCAAAACTTACTAGAACCAAAGACCCCATGGTGGGCTGCACCATTAGAGATGATTTTGATAAAAAAGAAAAATATGGAATAAATGGGGTAACTTTTTTTTTTTAATAAAAAGAAAAGAAAACAAGGACAGTTAAAACTGAACTCATACACAGCTTCCTGTTTCCGGCGGTAGGAAATGGCTGACTCCCATACAATTGGATCCCAGCCGTGTCAGTAATTCAGGGCTGATATGGGGGTCATTAGCCCTCGCAGACTCCCCAGGGTGTGGGAGGACTGTCTCACAGACCCACAGATTGTCCGAGATTGTCAGCTTGCATCAAGGTGCAAGCTGCAGGACACTGAGTCCCAGAGCATGACATGGCTGGCACTCTCCGATGTCATTCTCATAGCCGGAAATACCTGTTTGATAAAATTATTGGATTTGGACAATAAACAGACATAGTCTGTACCGAAGACGACTAAGGAAAAACCTGCAGAACTATACAGTCCCTGGTGTTTAAGTTTAAGCTTGGACTTCAAATAAATTCTCATCATGGCATGTGGATTACGGAGGTGTTTGGTATGTCTTTTGTTTCTTCTTAACATCTACAATTGGTTTTCTATGCTAAGCCTCATTAAGAAACCTAATTTTTTTAAAAAAAGAGTACAGATTGACTTCTATTTATAATTAAGTACTCAACTGCACAGCTTTACTTAGACTTGAAAGACTTAATAAAGATAAAAGAAGAAACAAGATGGCACTTGTTAATATGACGCAGCATGGAAAAATGAGAATTCCTCCCTTTTTCGAGGGAAGCAGGAAATATTTGCTGGCTGCCTTTGTAATGACTTGAGATAACAATTTGGGACAACATATAGTGCAGCTGTTTGCAGAAGTTTTTCATTATGAGAGAGAGAGAAGGCTGAATGGATGTCTGGCAGCCCCCCCTCTAAGGCCTGGAGGGGGGATTGTGTGGTCTCCGAGAGGCTGAATGATCGCCAAATACTTATATCTGTGGAATACAGTTCATTTACAATACAATATTGCAAACAGTATGCTCAGCAATTTACAGTAAGAACCTAACAATGTGGAAGTTACTATGTTATTAAATCTCAAATGAAAAGCTTGGACAACAGCCCGGATTGGAATGATTTAACAACTTGGGAGTTGCTGCGTCATTAAACTTCAGATGATAGACTTGGACAACAGCCCGGATTGGAAGATTGGAATGGAGTCAGGGAAAGCTGCGCTGGCAAATAGACAGTTGAAAAAATACATATACACAAATAAAGCTGTGTTCGACGGACGAAAGGATATATGGTTTTTACATGACTGAGAATTGCAGAGCCAGGGATGGAGAACGTTAAAGCCTTAAGATTGGGATGTGGAAAATATGAAAACAATGAGAGGAGGCAGGACTGAAGATTTGGAGATATGCTTCAGAGGTCCAGACTATGGGGAGCCCGGAAAAATTAATAATCAAAATTTGGATTACAATTTGGTCTTTTTTATTTTTGTTTTTTGTTTTTAATTGGATTATGATGTGGACATGTTGATTGGCTGTTTTTATTGGAAAATCAATAAAAATGATTTTTTAAGAAACAGAAATCATATAAAGAAATCAAACAGTATTGTTACTAACTGGTTACAATACCACCTACTTAATGATCAATTTCACTCAGATAAGAAAATTGGATTTCAAAAAGAAGAGTCAAAATTCCAGATAGAACTACTGCAACCCCCCCCCCCAATTGTCAAAAAATGTATAATTTGCTACTGGAATGGGAACTTAAAGATGAAGAGATAAAAGAGGTTATGATTAAGTGGGGACAGGATTTTGGATATGCGATACAGATTGATCAATGGGAAAGGCTCTGGAAATATGACATTAATTCTACCATCTGTTATACTATTAAAGAAAATATAATGAAGATGCTCTACAGGTGGTACATGACTCCTGCCAAATCAGCAAACATTTATAAATTACCATTGAATGTATGTTGGAGGTGTAAGTTATCAAAGGGAACATTATATCCTGTTTGGTGGGAATGTGTTAAAATTAACAAGTTTTGGGGAAATATTTATGAGGAGTTAAAAAAAAAAGGTTTAAAATAACCTTTGAAAAAAGACCGGAAGCATTCCTCTTAGGAATAGTGACAAGTGATATCCCCAAGGACAAGAAAAGAATCTTTCTATACACAACAGCTGTTGGGAATCTGTGTACGTGCAGCTACTCACACAGAGTCAATTAAGGTTTGGTAGATAGCCAGAAGGTCATGTGAAGGAGTAAGTCTGCCTGGTGATAACAGAGACATGGAGACAGCTCCCTGATTGGTCAAGCTCTCTCAAGAGAGTGATAATTAATGGCCTACTAACTGGAATGTGTTAGTTCAGTGTTCAGAGGTTCAGAGTTCTGTGTCAGTGTAGGAGTTGAGAGTCGTGTCAGAGAGAGCTAGCAAAAGATCCGTGTTCTGTTCCTGTAAATAGTCCACTGTATATAATAAACACCTAACTACAAGTTCCTGGTTCCTGCTTCGTCTATCCTGTCTGCAGCCAAGTCGCCAATTGCTTCCGTGGATTCTGCGTTTACTCTGCTAGGTCTGGCTAAGGTCCTCCAACTAGTCAGAAAGTTGTGAAACACCAAGAGGTTTTGCCAATAACAGCTGTTGCCAGGATATTTGTTGCCAGAAACTAGAAAGGAGAGGAAGTACCATCAGTGGCAGATTGGCAATTTAAATTTTCTGAATTTATTGAACTAGCAAGAATGACGGCAGCAATTAGATTACAATCTAATCAAAAACTTAAGAAAGAATGGAAATGCGTAGATAAATATACGGTCAGAACATCGAAACTGAAAGGGAAAATTCCGGGTTGTGAAGTTACTCAACACCCCAGCTCGTCGGGCAGAGCCCACAGGTGCTCCTGGTCAGAAAGGAAGGAGATTCCAGCCACAAACCGGAGCGAAATTGCCGTCAGTAGACAGAGATATTTATTTGTTGCGCAACAGGTTCAAACGTCAGTAAGAACCCTGAGCATGGGGTGACATTCACTTTTAAAACTTCCCACGGTTCCCCATATGACATTGCATACAGTGTCACTAAAACATCATTTTTACGTCAATAAAATGTCAAAAGGTGAAGGGTTATATATGATTAACATAAACAGACATAACAAAAAAAATTCCTTCCAGTAGCACCTTAAAGACCAACTAAGTTAGTTCTTGGTATGAGCTTTCGTGTGCATGCACACTTCTTCAGATACACTGAAACAGAAGTTGCCAGATCCTTCTATATAGTGAGAAGGTGGGGAGGGGTATTACTCAGAAGGGTGGTGGGAATGGGTGATTGGCAGATAGCTGTGATGAGCCTGTTGACGACTCTTAACGACTGCAATAGGTCTTACAGGAAAAAGCAAGGGGTGAGAAGGTGAAAAATGGCTTTGTCATGTATAATGAGATAAGAATCCAATGTCTTTGTTCAGACCAGGTCTCTCCATGGTTTTAAGTTTGGTAATGAGTTGCAATTCAGCAGCTTCTCTTTCCAGTCTATTTCTGAAATTCCTTTGTAGTAAAACAGCTAGTAAGATCTCAAAGATCTCAATCAACCCTGTCTGAAGTTGGCAGAGTCTGGACAGTTCAAGTCCAGAACCAAACATTTGGACATACGTTTCCAAAATGTGTGTCAGAGTGTCCAGACAGGCTTGGTGAAACTGAAGCCAGCAAGCCAGCAGAATATGGCAGATGGGTTTACTAAACATTTGAGCTTCCAGAGACACAGTGAGTTCTGTGCAGGGTTGCTACTGGAGTAAGTGGTATGCTTATGTGCCCCCAGCGGTGCAGGACGAGAGGGGTGTGAGGAGATCCAGAGCTTACAGGGTTAAACAGCTCAGAGTCTGCATCCTGCCCACTGGGGTGTGTTTGTCTCCAATTGGGGATCTGTTCTTTGTTCTGTGTTCAGTCTACTTTTGGTTTTGACTGAGACGAAGGGAGACATGATGCCGTGTCCGGAGATTCTGATTTATTGCTGCTGTACATAAAGCTTCTTAGATTAGAGGAGAAGCTGCATACAGACTCTTTTTTCCTGCATGCTCGCACACAAGAGCAGACGCTGTGTTTACTCTGCTACAAGTCTGGCAAACTGAGTGGCAGCAGAAGCGCACTGGACTCATTTCCTATCTCACAGACCCTACCTGCCTATTGCTTTAGGATCCAAGCTCAGAACATAACAATACCTTTATTTATTGCATTTCTATCCCACTCCTGCCCCCCATGTTGCTCATGGTGGCAGACATGATTCTCCCTTTCCACCCTTAACCCACAAAACAGCCTTTTGAAGTAGGCTTAAGCTGAGGGGCAGTGACTGGCTCAAGGGCATTCAGGCCACCTCCTGACTTCCTTTGGCGATGCGTTACGGTCGGGCTTTAAAGCTCCGTGTCCAAGCAGGGTTTTTTGTTTTTTTGTCCTGGTTCTCCCTCATTTTATTGCTGAATTGGTGGAAACAATTGCCTCCAATTCAGTGGTAAAATGCAGATTTTGCCTGGGAAAGAGCTGGGAGAGAAACAAAACTGTTTGGACCTGGAGCTTTCAAGCATGCACCTGTGGCTGGAAAATGAGGTTTGGCTGCAACTCCAGGGAGCACCATGACTTCAGGAATCCCTTTCACCTGGTGCAGGTAGGCCTGCCTTAGCCAACAGAGCATTGCAGCACCCTGGGAACAGCCTGGATCTGCAGCTGAAATATCAGAAGTAGATCACAGCAAGTGACACAAATAATTCACCTTACAGCCTCCCAAGCATGATTCAGGAGAGCTGTTGCTTTGGGTTGCAAAAAGCAGCACACCAACACTCACCTGTTTATCCATTCATTTGTGGTTTTATTCATTTTGAGAACTTTGATATTTTGATTTTGTTAAAAAGTGTCACCAACAAGCTGTTTGCAGCATTAAGTCCCCATTTGGATGCAACTTCATATTCAAGCCAGGACCAGCAAAGGACGGGTTGTGGGCTCTGAGATCTGGCAGGGGCAGCCCACCCACCTTGCCCATGGGCACCCCTGGCATTGCCACCCAAGCCTAGCAGTCCTCATCAGCCCTCGACTGCTACTCTTCCAGCGGCTGAGCTAGGGACCATTTCCATTGTAAGAAACTTGGCTCCCAGGTGTCTCCTGCGCCTGGAACTCAATCCATGGTGGGGGTGTTTGAATCATGACCCACGGCCTGTAAATCTGCGCGTGCAAAGCTGGGGCCCTTGTCCTCAGACGCCACCTTACTGGCCGCCTATACCGTGTACGGCGGGAGTTGGGTCTGTTCGTATACCAGAGCGCAGGACCACGCTGAGGGCGGGTCTTGGGGGGTGGCCAAGGCCTGTTCGTGTACCAGGCTGCTGTAGGGGGCCTGGGATATAGCAAATTCCCATTTTGTCCCGGTTGGGGCTGTGGCGTTGGAGGTGGGTGTGGCTGTGGCGCAGCCTGGGGCTCTGCCATTAGCGGTGTGTGGCTGGGTAGGGAAAAGTCCTCCTTGGTCGTCTTCCTGATCCAGTCGAGGTAGAACTGTGTGGAGGTGTAGACCCCCGGCTTCTTTTCCTGGCCGCAGAAGGACGGTCCCCAGCTGGTGATTCCAACCAACCAGTAGCGTTCAGACCTCTGTTCCCGGCACATGAGGGGGCCACCGCTGTCGCCCTGCAAGCCGGAGAGAAAAGGCTCCTGTGAGGAGGAGCGTGCTGACAGCCAGATGGTTCAGAAGTGTAGCTTTGTAAGAGGAAAGGTTTGTGAAGATGTCATATGAAAACTCCGGCTGTGGTGTTGGACCTGTAACAGCACTTTCGCTTGTGCAAATAATCTGTTGCTGTTGGCAGGATGAAGCAATGTGTAATGACTGGCGCTTTGGAAGGTGTTGGGAGCTGCAAAATCAAAGAGCTGGAAGCATCACAGAGTTGCATCCTGCACCCTGTTGGTTGGCCTAGGTGAACTTCCAAGGAAGCTCATCTAATCTAAGGGAAGGCTGTAGCTCAGAAACAGAGCCTCTGAATATTGAGGGTCATAGAATCGCAGAGATGGAAGGGTCCCTGAGAATCATTTAGTCCAGGGGTCAGCAACCTTTTTCAGCCATGGGCTGGTCCACCGTCCCTCAGACCATGTGGTGGGCCAGACTATATTAAAATAAAAATGAACGAATTCCTATGCCCCACAAATAACCCAGAGGTGCATTTTAAATAAAACACACATTCTACTCATGTAAAAACATGCTGATTGCCAGACCGTCCGTGGGCTGAATTGAGAAGGTGCTTGGGCCGCATCCGGCCCTCGGGCCTTAGGTTGCCTACCCCTGCTCTAGTCCAACTCTTTGGAGCTGTCCCATATGGGGATCGAACCAGCAACCTTAGATTTCTCAGCACCACATCAAACCAACCAGGAAAAAGAAGGGCTTTTTGTGTCTGCCGAAAACCAAACCGAGGTCAGCTGTTTGGAGTGCAGCTATGCTCACCACTAAAACACCACCGTCAGTCTCTTGCGGCATCTCCAGAAATGTGGCCACTTTTGGTGACACCCTTCCACTGTGGGATCTTCTCTTTTGGCAAATATCTTGTCGGGATCTCCGCTCGGCCAAGCTGATAAAGCTCATTTTCCTCCCAACGAATAATTAACGACCTGAGCCTTTGAGGAGGCGTCAGGCACATTTGCATCCAGCAGAGATGCCAGCAGCATACGGAAGTGATGAGATTTATGGCTACATGCTGTGCTTTATTACTAAGCTACGCAGAGAGCAAAGAAAAATACATCCTCTCTCTGTGAGAGCAGAGAGCAACTCCAACAAAGGAACAAAGGAACAGGAAACCACTAACGTCACATCCCGTCTCCCGTGACACGTCCAACAGCCTGGACTGTCTCTGGAATGTAAACAGAGCCTTGTGACTCTAAGCAGCTGCACAGTGGCAAACAGAAACTAACATATCTAACGTAAAATTGAGCTGACCTTTTTGGTGGTTTGGGCATTAAAGGACTCACATCCACCAGTGACAGGGACGCGGGTGGCGCTGTGGGTAAAACCTCAGTGCCTAGGACTTGCCGATCGTCAGGTCAGCGGTTCGAATCCCCACGGCGGGGTGCGCTCCCGTCGCTCGGTCCCAGTGCCTGCCAACCTAGCAGTTCGAAAGCACCCTCGGTTGCAAGTAGATAAATAGGGACCGCTTACTAGCGGGAAGGTATACGGCGTTTCCGTGTGCTGCGCTGGCTCGCCAGATGCAGCTTGTCATGCTGGCCACGTGACCCGGAAGTGTCTGCGGACAGCGCTGGCTCCCGGCCTATAGAGTGAGAAGAGCGCACAACCCTAGAGTCTGTCAAGACTGGCCCGTACGGGCAGCGGTACCTTCACCTTTACCTTTTTATCCACCAGTGAGGCAATGGCCCCTACTTGGGTTGTGACGCCTTCTGAGTCCAGATGCTAAGGGTGGCGACCTCTTGAGCAGAGCTTGGAGGGATGCTGAGGGCAAAGAGGTTATGCCAAGTTTTCCTCTGGTGAATCTCGCCCTGCATTTTCTGCTCTGGCCAGATGCAGCATTCCAAGGATTTGTCCCTGGAGTGGCCTTCTCCTTCTCTCACGGCTACTGCCTGTGATGCTGGAGGCTGAATTGCAGGGAAGTTTTGCATGTTCAGAGCAAGTGCTCTGCTGTTCCAGGAGCACCGGAAGGTTTCGCTCCCAAGCCAAACCCGTAGCCTTGATTTTGTCAGAGCTTCACCCACCTTGCAAGTAGCTACGCCTCCTTCCAAGCGTCCAGCGCAGATGTTCTCCTCGAGGATCAGCTTGGACCACCAGACTGGGCTGCTGCAAGTCGCCGTGGGGATGATGTCAACAGAACCTTCCAGCATGATATCGGGCTTTTCCCCCGCTGAGAGCAGAAAGGGAAAGTGGGGGGAGGGGGAGTCTCAGTTCAGATTTCACTCCCCACCCAACTTGCACTCCCAGGACTAATGGAGAGATCCATTATTGCATTAGCAGCAATATCACCCCCCCTAAAACATAGTTGATGGACTGGGGGTAAGATCAGAGACAAGGGTATGTCAGGCTGCAGTGTAGGGTGAGCTCCTGGTTTCTAGGGGCCCTTAGAGACCCCAAAACTCTCCGTTTCCTCCTGAAACCACATGCCTCCCTCCCTATCTCTCCATCTGTCCTAGTATTGCATACACTGAGTGACAGCAGCGTTAGACAGGAGTTTCCACCAGCCCTACCCAGAGATTGAAACTCAATCTTCTGCATGCAAAGCCATCATTACTAAGCTGAGTTTTGGGGGCAAGCATCTATGTGTGGAGAAGGCGATCTGCCCAGAAGCCGTGAAGTGGAATGGCTCTCAAAACCAACCATCTCCATCCTTTTCTGCCCTGTGAAACACGCGCACACCTGCCTCACCTCTAAGACTCAGGGCTTCTGATGTACACAGCCCAACTGTAACTACCAACTTAGAATCCTAGAGTGGGAAGGGACCCTAAGGGTCATCCAGCCCAACCCCTTGCAATGCAGGAATCGAAATTCTAGACTGCGATTGTGGCCACTATAATTTACACCCTGACTACCATCGCTATTATGTTTCTTTGGCGAAACTGATCTGCAGGGAAGGTGTGGTCTGCAAATTTACTTTAGGCACACAGCCAGGCCACTCCTTCTGGGGGCCTGGTTTCCCTGCAGATCTCACTTTTCGGGTCCATGGTTCCAAAACCGCTGACATAGCAGTGCTTGAGCAAGGAAACCACCACGCTGTCATCCGGCAAGCAGGCTGGCTGAATATAGTCCGTGCAGTTGACTGGCTCATTCAGCTCCACCAAGGAAATGTCGTTGTGTATTTTGTTGCCGGAATCACGCCTGTAGAGCTTGTGGTTCACCAGCCTCTTGATCGAGCGCTTCTGGGCATCGGGGCCGGGGCTGGAGATGCGGTTGGCACCAATCGACAGTCTTATCCATGGTATGTCCCTGGAACAAAGAATACGCACAGGGTGGGGGGCTGTGCTCCTGAACAAAATGAAGGTCAGCCGAAGTTGGCTGGATGTTGGAGTACAGGGAGCACAGCTGGGTCTGAGGAGAGAGGGGAGCAGGCAGGCCTCACCGCCCTTTGCCTCATTCCCCTCCCCCAATTTGATTCTGAGCTGCACATCTCCCTTCTCGCATAATGCCACCAGGTGGATCTGGAAAACCAAACACAAACAACTTACTCATTGGTGGTCTCTCATAAAACTGGGGTGACGTTATGAGTGCAGCGATGAAGAGTTGGTTTGATCCATGACTTTGCTGAAGGGGTGGAGTGAAATCTTTGGAAATTACATTTGGGGTGTTGGTTTTGGTTCCTACCATGTTTCTAATCTTCTCTGCATCATTTTTTTTTTAAAGTCCTCATAAAAATTCATCATTGTTTTACTGTAAATTTCTCTTAATGTACACATTTTTGCAGAGCAATTTGCCCCCAAACCAATTGTTTGTGTACATTGTTTTCATGAAATATTGCATTTTACAGGACGCTTTACCCCAACGCATGCATTCTTACAAACATTGCTATTCATTAATTCTGTTTAAAACCTCTAGTAAATATGCCAATTACTCTCCTTTTTTAAAGTGTAATAAATTTGACTTTTCATCTACCTCTGCTGTTTTCGTTAAACTCTGGAGTGGCAAATTCTGGAGCAAATGTTTCTCAAAAGAACTCCAGAAAGGCCTGTCCAGTTTGCAGATTTGTGGGCCTGAAACTGAAAACTTCAGTAACACTTCATAGTTGAAAGAACCTATAGGATGAGTCCCGGAAACTGAATCAAAGAGTAGGGGGCCAGCTTAGTCCCAGTGTCCTTTCAAGTTTTGCAGGAGAACCGCTGGACCAGGCATGTCCAACTTCAAGTCGGTTGTGATCTACTAAAAGGTAAAGGTACCCCTGCCCGTACGGGCCAGTCTTGACAGACTCTGGGGTTGTGCGCTCATCTCACTCTATAGGCCGGGAGCCAGCGCTGTCCGGAGACACTTCCGGGTCACGTGGCCAGCGTGACAAAGCTGCATCTGGTGAGCCAGTGCAGCACACGGAAATGCCGTTTACCTTCCCGCCAGTAAGCGGTCCCTATTTATCTACTTGCACCTGGGGGTGCTTTCGAACTGCTAGGTTGGCAGGCGCTGGGACCGAGCAACGGGAGCGCACCCCGCCGCGGGGATTCGAACTGCTGACCTTTCAATTGGCAAGCCCTAGGCACTGAGGCTTTTACCCACAGCGCCACCCGCGTCCCTCCACTATCCACTATCCACTATCAAAAACTATCCACTATCCACTATCAAAAACTGGCAGTGATTTACCACCCTCCGAAGTCATTTAAGTTTATGAAATAAATAAATAAATGGATCTCTATTTCACAAATGCAGTAGTTATGTTTGGATAATGACAGACCCAAATAGTTACCAGATGGACAAGTAACTAAACAAGTGAGAAAAGTCAAACTACCGTATGTTTCGCTCTATAAGACGCATCTTTTCCCCTTCAAAATTTAATGGGAAATGTGTGTGCGTCTTATGGAGCGAATGCAGGCTCCTTGGCTTCAGTGATAGCAACGTGAAGCCTCCGAAGCGCAGAGGGAGTGCTCCTGCCACGCTCCGGAGGCTTCACGTTGCTTTCGCTGAAGCCGCCTGAAGTCTCCGGAGTGCAGTGGAAACTCCTGCTGCGCTCCGAAGGCTTCGGGTTGCCTTCACTGAAGCCTGGAGAGCGAGAGGGGTCGGTGCGCACCAATCCTGCTTGCTGTCCAGGCTTCGCTTTGCTGGAGAGGCGCTGCAAAGTTTTCCCTCTCTGCGCAGCGCCCCTTCAGCGAAGCAGGAGGAGAAATGGCTCTGTGGCTCTGTTTCTCCTGCCGCTTCGCTAAAGGGGCGTTGAGCAGAGAGGGGGAGGATCTTTTCCCCCTGTTCTCCCCCTCTAAAACAAGGTGCGTCCTATGGTCCGGTGCGTCCTATAGAGTGAAAAATAAAGAAATGTTTTTACATTACTTTACATGGATCAGAGGAGATAGTAGAAGCACACAGGGCTTTTCTCTCTCCCCGCTCCCAAAGCAGCCCTTTCTCCCCCACCCCCAAAGCGCAGAGTGGTTGGTGGGGAAGGGAGGCAAGTTGCCTTTGGAGGAAGAAGGCTCGGCTGGAGAAGGAGGAGCTCAGGCTTGCATGAGAATGGTGGCAGCAGCAACAGCTGCTGCTTTGTTCGAGGCTGCTTTGTTTCAGCCCACGATCGACCAAGATCAGTCAATTGCGATTGACCTGTTGGACATGCCTGCAATAGACTATCTGGACCTTGAGTTCTGATCCAGCAGGGCTTTTCCTGGGCTTCCGATTCCATTGTCCTAAGAGGATGACTCTGAGTTTTGACGCCCTGCGATGCTGACAGCAGCCACCCGTCTGAAGGCAGAAGGTGGGACTCTGCTCCCATGAGATGCCCCCGCCCTGGGTGCCAGGTTTGCAGACCCCGTGACAACACTTCTTGGGAACCCTTTGCTTACTTTGGTTTCTGAAAACAGTGGGCTGCACTGAGGACCCATCGAGGGCTGATCAGGGAGCCTCCACAGAAACTGACGTATCCTTTCCGTGTAATGACTTGGAAGCTGACCATCCAGGGCCACGTTCCGGGGAGAACGTTGCTGCCGCCCACAATCCGGAGGAGGGTATGGGTGCCCGCCATGGGACGCCTTCCGCAGACCCCACTGGAAAGCAAGACACAGATTGCCATCTACAGAAGATCAGAGCCATTGCATATATACCACCTCCCCCCAGTTTGCCCCAAATACTGGACAGTCCCCTCCTCTTGGCCATCTTGGGAAGAGAGGGATGAAACTGGATATGCCCAGCTACACTTCTGGATGCCTCCCTAATGCCCATCACTCCCAGGCTTTTAAGACAGAGGAGGGAACTTTTTTCAGCCCAGGGGCCATATTGTCTTCTGAGGGCCACATCTCAGTGGTGGGTGGGGCCAGAGGCAAGAATGGACTGTTCAGCAAATCCAAATTAGTAAGGTATTTTCTACCTCTCCCTCCCTCCCTCCCTCCCTCTGTCCTCCTTCTAGAAAAGAAATATTTCCTTTTGTCTGTCCCCCTGACTGGTCCCCCATTCCGCTTCCTTGTGTGACCCAGATGGATTCTAGTATTCTGAGAGAGGGAGGAACATGCCCTCTGAGAACAGACTCTGTCTTTGCATGCTAGTTTTGACCCACCACAATGAAAGGGAGTGAGAGCAGCCATGGGTCAGCCATGGGTCAGCCATGGTCCTCTTCAAGACCACATCCAGAAGGAGTTGGTGGATGGGATTCCCTCTCCTGCCTCCTCACCATGTCCTTCCTCTCTCCCCACTTACTCGCAGGTGGTTTCCTCGGCATGAGTGGGGCGGAAAGCAGTGAGGGCCAGAACAGGGAGGAGCCACCACCCCATCCTTCTGCCGGCTCCAGGTGTTGCTGCTTCCTCCATGTTTCCCTGGAATCCATGACATCACAAAACAGAAGATCTGTCAGATCAGCAGGTGGAGAGTCTGACATCATCACAAGTTCTTCTCTTCTCTTCTCTTCTCTTCTCTTCTCTTGAAGAACCCTTCCGTTTGAGAGAAATGTTTATGTGCCCAGAAGCATGGAAAGAGTAAGGCTTGCACCCGACTTTCTGCCCCATGGAGTGGGCATCCTGTCATGTGTATCCCTGCAGGTGTTGGCCAACTGCAACATCCATTCTTTGCAGCACAGGGTACCCTTCCTTGTGCCTATGAGAGTGCCAGAGTGCCAAGGCAAGGCACCCATTATAGTCCTAGAAAGAGAAGCACTGGCACTGTGCTCTAAAGCCTATGTTCTAGAGACAAGTTGTGTGTGCAAAGGGCTCCTTTCTGTTCCATGTGCCCCTTTCGCCCTGCATTACCCATGCACACTCAAATTGTGTACAACAGCGGACCCTTTTGGACTCCCGTTTTCCAAGGACAGCCCTGGATTTACAGGATCTGACCCAGGTTTTGATTTGATCCCGGAATGTCCCACTTTTCCTTAGGATGTCCCTTTTTTCATCAGAGAAAGGTAAGGAGTTATGGGACACACACACCCCGGGCCAAAGAGATAAGCAACTATACAATTTTAGAAGACATAGCTGTGATTTGTCTGTTGAAAATAGCTTCTAGGCGCAATTTCCAAAAATTGGGACATCCTGGGATCCAAAGAGAAGCTGGAAGGGCTTTTGTAATTCTGGGACGTTCTGCTCAAGGTGTGACGGTTGAGGGGTATGCGCTGTGAGAACAGGATGCTGGCCCAGATGGGCCATGGGCCGGATCCAGCAGCCTCTTCTTAGTTTCTTATGTCTGTTCACCAGTAAACTCCACTGAGGTCAAAGGGGTTACACCAAAGAAACTCCTTGCCTGCTTCATCTACCCAGTGCAACAGGTCAAGGGGATGGGGTGGGGGGAAAGACCCATTGCTTATCTTTGTTGCTGAAGGCTGGTCCTGAATCCTATAAGCCAGTGGGCAGGCGTGGGATCCCTTGACCAGGGATACGTGGGCCTTCTGTGGGCCTCATCCAGCTCCTAAAACAAGTCTGCATTTGGCTCTATTGGCAAACCGCAGCTGGACACTGAAGGGGGACTAATCAAGAATAAATTTCCAGAAAACTTGGTTGCCATCTGTCACAGATGCTTTAGCTGAGATCCCTGCACTGCAGGAGGTTGGACTAGATGACCCCTGGGGGTCCCTTCCAACTCTACCGCTCTATGATTCTGTTGCCCAGTGCCAACGTGACTTAGGCCCATTAATTTCAGCAGCTTTCCTCTGAATAGGACTAGCACTGGGGGGAACAGCAGCCCTTCTTACATTTGTGCTGTATGGGAACCTTGGTTTCCAGGAAGAGACATGCAGAGATGGTTTTCTTAGATCATAGAGTGGGAAATTTAAATGTAACACCCCCTAAGTGGGTATAGACGCCAAGGGTTTGCAAAAAAAGTTGAAAGAGAAACCTTGCTGCAATTGCATCAGATCTTTTAAACCACTCAAAGAAAGGGGACACAAAGAACAAACGGCAAAGAATGGTCCTGGATTGGGTCTTTTTTCAACAAATCTGGGTCCGGCGAGAGCACAAAACCTATTGGGTCCAGCGATGGCACAAAACCCATTGGTGCCCACTGCCCAAAGTCCAAAAAGCCTCATCAATTTGCCTTCATTCACATATCTTCATAGGTACATGATACATATCAATGGCGTCCTGGCTGCTTTGACTTTATGCCATGCTCCCCTCATGGCGGCAGCTGCCCGGGCAGCAGAACTGGTGGCTGAGCTTGAGGCCTGGGGTTAATGTACCCCTGATCCCAGCTGTAAAAATCCCCATAGCCTGGAGGTGCTGCCCCCTGGTTTGGCTTGGCACTAGGCCTGGCCTGGCCTTGGGGCCTTCCCTTCTTGGGGTGCCACCTTGTGTGTCTCAGCCGCCCAGATGGTGGTGTAGGACCCTGCTGGGTGGGCCTGGTGCAGGGAGCTGCGTGCAGTTTTGTGGGCCTGGGCCAAGGCCTGCCAGTGGGCATGGGCAAAGCCCTACGGTCCTGCTTTGGGCTGGGTGTGGTTGCATCTGATGCCTGGCTCTGTGCCAGGAGTGGTTGGCGGCTGGGCGCAGAGAGCATCTCCCGGGTGGTCCTTTCAATCCAGTGGAGGTAGTGCTGCGTGGAGATGTAGATGCCCGGCCGCTTTGCCTGGCCGCAGATGGGCGCCCCCAAGCTGGCGACGCCAATCACCCAGTAGCGCTCAGACCTTGCTTCCCGGCACATGAGCGGGGCACCAACGTCGGTCTGTGTGTGGGGAGAACAAAGGATGGAGGGAGGTGGTCAGCAGGTGGGCAGATGGGCATTCAGGGGAAAGGAAGCCCTAAGGAGCAGCCAGCCACTTTTGGAGAAGGACAGTGCCACCCAAACCCAGCTGCTGGTTCCTCAGCGTAGCTCAATAGAGAGCTGTGGGTCTGTAGAAGCTGGACTAGGAATATGGAAAAATGCTGGGTCAGATCCAGTTCTCCCTTCTCCTCTCCAGCAGTAGCCCTGGAAGGCTTTGGCCCTTGCCTACCTCACAGGGGCTGTTGCCTCCTCCTTCCTCGTATCCAGCACACAGGATCTCGTCGGCCACCTTCCGCTTCCACCAGCTCTTGCTGCCGCAGGTTTGTAGGGAAAGGAGTTTCACCTTTGATTCTTGCAGGATGCCAGATATTTTATGCTCTGTGAGTGGAAGGCAGGAAGAAGCGTTCAGTTGCATCCAGGAATTAAATGAGAGATATTTACGGAGAATGTTGATTTATGACCCTTCGATCAATGCCACGTAGCAAAGGCAGCTGTCGAGATGACTGCCCTCCAAGCCCTCACAGACATAGCCTGGGGATTAGGCAACAATATTTATTTTGCTGTCTCTCAGGCTAACCTAGCTAACAGGGCTGGTCCTGATGATGAAAAGGGGTGGAGACCTATGTCTGCCACCTTGAGCTCCTTGTAGAAAACTTGGGATATAAACCTCAGCAGTAAATAAATTCAGGTAGGTAGCCATGTTGGTCTGACACAGCTGAAATAAATATTTTTTTATTGGTTATTAGAGACCAACTAAGATTGTTCTGAGTATAAGGTCTTCCTCCCAGGAACACTTCAATCTCCCAGGACATTCAGTACCTCACAGAGTGTTTGTTGTGGGGGAGGAAGGGAAAGGAGATTGTTAGCCGCTTTGAGACTCCTGAAGGGGAGTGAAAGGCGGGATATCAAATCCAAACTCTTCTTCTTCTTCTCCCAGAGCTTGAGAAAGAGAACTGTCATTGTCTGGGAGGAAGACCTTTCATTGCCTACAGACAGCCACCCAATCTTAAACAACTCCTCACCCACAACAATACAGCAACCAGACTTAACATGGACACTGGTACCAGAGCCTGCAATAAACCCAAATGCCAACTTTGCTGCCACAGACATCCAGACAACACCATCACTGGACCCAACAACATCAAATATACCATTTTAGGCTTATTTAATTGCTCATCTTCTAACATTGTGTCTGCCATCAAGTGCCAGCAGTGCCCTTCAGCTCTCTATCTTGGACAAACAGGCCAAACCCTACGCCAAATGATAAATGGACATAAATCTGACATCAGGAATCACAAGACAGAGAAGCCAGTAGGAGAACACTTCAATCTTCCAGGACATTCAGTACAGGATCTCAAAGCAGCTGTCTTATTACAAAAGAATTTCAGAAATAGACTTGAAAGAGAAGTTGCTGAATTACAACTTATTACTAAACTGAAAACTATGGAGAGACCTGGTCTGACTAGATATAGTGGATTCTTATTTCATTATACATGCTAAAGCTATTTTTGGTCATCTGCATATTTACGGGACCACCTCTCCTGGTCTGCCCCGCAGAGGACCTTAAGGTCCATGAATAACCATAGTTTAGAGGTCCCGGGCCCTAAGGAAGTCAGACTATCTTCCACCAGGGCCAGGGCCTTCTCAGTGCAAGCAAGGCAGCAAGGAGGGAAGAGAAGGTAGCAGAAGCTCCCCCCATGAGCAGCAGTGTTTTTCCCAAATACGTGAAGGGACATATGGTCTTGTTATACGGTGTTTTCCTGTCATGGGCTGGGTGGAGGATGGTAAGACTTTGGGATTTGAACACAGCTCCTGAAAGAAGGAAATGGGCATTCCAATCCTAGAATCCTAGAATTGGAAGGGTCCCGGGTCATCTAGTCCAACCCCCTGCAATGCGGGGATAGAAGGCCACCCAACCTCGGCAAGGAAGGAGAGTCCACCACCTTCTGTGACCAGACATTTGTTCACAACCATTCTTGCGATTCTTGTGTGTTTGTGACACTTGGCATTGAAGGCATGGGACATATTTGCACTCTGATCTCCCAGGGTGGGGTCAGTCCTCGCACGGGGCTGCTTTCGTGGGGAGGTCCTGGGGCTCTCACTTTCCTCACCCATGTCGCCCCAGCCACTGATATAGCAATGAGTGAGCATCGAAAGTACCACGCTGTCGTCAGGCAAACAGGCCGGCTGGACGTAGTCGCTGCAGCGGACCGGCTCCACCAGCTCCACCACGGAGAGGCCGTAGCGAAGCGACTCGTCGTCCTCATAGAGTTTGTAGTCCACCACCCTCTTTATCCGGCGCTGCTGGGCATCGGGACCAGGCTGTGAGAGCTTGGTGATGCCAACCACCACCTTAAAGACTTTTCTCAATCTGGAAGGGAAGAATAGGTTCATAGCTGGTGGGACAAGGTTCTTGGACCGCACAAAGGTTACCCAAAGAGGTCTGGATGCTCCCGTGAAAGGCCTAGAGCTCAGCTGATGGAGGAATAAGATGGAGAGGCAAGTCAGAGCCAAGGAGTTTGGTCCAGCTGTCTGGTCAGGGACCCTTTTCACATCTTTTGTGACCCAGGTGGGAAGGGGCATCGGATTAAAGGGGCTAGAAAGGGGAAAGGGAGGGGTTTGTAAAAGGGTAGAAGGAACCAGCTCATTGTCTGGCAAGGTCATCTCCTGGGTCACTCTAAGGGCTGCATAAATGCCATACATTTAAAGCACATGATGGCTCTGCTCTGCCTCCACGGTTGGAGGCTGCAATCCTTCTGAAAACCATTTGCTGGAAGCTGAAGGAGGAGAGAGGACTCTTCCTGGTTGGATCGCACTTTTAGCAGCCCTAAAGACAAGATTCTTGCTTTCAGAATGTCAAAACTGAGACAGATCCCCCAAGGACTGATCTAGCAGTGGCTTTCACCCATCACAACTGTCAGGGGCTCAGGGGCAGAGCCACGGGGGAAAGAGGCGTTGGAGAGCGAAGGAGAGGAATCTGAGGGGAGCTTAGGAGGATATGACAGTGACTTGAGAGATTCCATGAGTCTCTCCAGCGAATCAGAAGATTCTCAGAAAGAGGCACCCAGGGTCAGGGCAAGGGGGGCCAGCGGTGAGTCCCCAAGCGGCAGCTGGAGATCAGGGCCAGCTTCCCTGCCAGAGCGTAGCGGGGGAGAAGAAGCCCACAGATCAGAACCGGCGTCCACTCCAGCAGGGAGAGAGAGAGAGTCAGAACTGACCACGCCTCCGTCGGAGAGTGGAGGGGCGGAGCGGAGGTCAGTTCCAGCCAGCCCCTCCGAAGGAGGAAGCAGTGACAGGAGCAGTGTAGCCGTTAGGAGGAAAGTGGCCGGCTGGGCGCGCGCGCCAAGTTCAAATGTGCAGGCGCGCGGGTCAGCAGAAAATCCGGATTGGGAGCCAGGTCCCAAAGCCCGCCGGAGAAAGGGGGAGGAGTCAGAGGAATCCGCCTCCGAAGAGTCCAGGAGGGGTGGAACCCAGGGGGCAGGAGGACCCAGAGGAGAAAAGAGCAGAGGAGGAGGTGGAGCAAAGCTCGGGTGTTAAACTGGTGTAGGGGAGGGGAAGAATCAGACGGAGCTTCAACGGTCTAAGGTTACAGACGTAGGGATGCGCGCCACGGATGTAAAACCAACAATGAACTTTAATAAAGACTTTTGTATATAAAGAGACACTGGCGTTGGTCCTTTGTGAGCTGGGACCTGAGGCACCCCTGACAACAACTAAAGAGACCTTCATGCTCCATGTTGGGCAAAGGCAGAAGATGGGACTCTGCTTCCATGAGATGCCCCCAGGCTGCCTGCTTTGTAGACCCTGCCATGTTCTCCTACCCGAGGAGCAGCTGCTCCTTTGGCTTACGTCTTGATCTTCAAGCAGTGGGCTGCACTGAGGACCCAGCGAGAGCTGATGAGCGAACCTCCGCAGAAATGGACCCAGTGCCCAGCTTGGCTTGGGTACTGGAAGCTGACTTGCCAGGGCCATGTTCCTGGCAGGACGTCAGTGCCACTCATGGCCTTCCTCAAGTACTGACTGACCGCCAGCGGACGTCTTCCACAGGCTCCCCTGGAAAGGAACGTTTTCATTAGTTTTCAGCCGCACATGTGTTGCTGCTGCTGTAGAACCGAAAGGTGTTTGGAGGCTCCATCCCTCGAGGAATTTACTTCCTTTCTTATGCTTTTCACACTATGTGCTACCTGCTTGTTTTGATGCCCAATAGATAGTTGCTGAAGGACCTGTGTGTTGTATTCTTTTAAAATGCAATGCCAGCAAACCGTGGTGCTTAGTGCCACATGGAAGACAGAGCAAGCTTATTTTCTGTTGCTCCAAAGGGAAGACCTGAACCAATGGATTCAAACTCCTAGAAAGGAGATTCTGACTATACACTGGGGAGAGCTTTCTTGAGAGCTGCTCAAGAGTAGAAGTGATAAGCTCAGAAGGTGATGGACTCTCCTTCCTTTGTAAACAGAGGTCGGATAGCCTCTGCCCGGAATTCTTTAGCTGTGATTCCTACATTACAAGGGCTTGGATTAGATCAGTGGCATAGCATGGGTTGCCATCACCCGGGGTCACACAGAGGGGGTGGGCGGGCAGGAAACAGACAGAGTGCACATGTGCATACAACTATAAGGCGTCCGTGTCACCCAAGAGATCACAGCTGGAGAGATAAGAAGAGTCATTCTGGAGAGATCTCTTCCTGCTTCACATGGAGAAGTCATTTTCAGCTGAGCCCAGTGACAAAAGCACACAGCTGTACTGAAGCATCACCGAGTGTTGAAATGTTGTGCCCTTAACAAATTTTGCATCCAGGGCAGCTGCCCCTGTGCCTGCCCCCCCCCATGCTACACCATTTGGGGTACTTTCTAACTCCACAGTTTTATGATTGTACAGTGGTGCCCCGCAAGACGAACACCTCGCAAGACGGAAAACCCGCTAGACGAAAGGGTTTTCCGTTTTGGAGGCGCTTCGCAAAATGAATTTCCCTATGGGCTTTCTTCGCAAGACGAAAGCCCATAGGGAAATCTCCGGGACAGCGGGGAAGCGCAGCGCGTCTTCCCCACTGTCCTCGGACCTCCTCCGAAGGCTGGCGGCGGGGCAGAGAGACCTCCTCCCGCCGCCAGCCTTCGTTTCTCCGCTATCCCGGATGGCTTTTGAAGGCAGGCGGGGGGGAGCAAAGACTTTCGCCCCCCCGCCGGCCTTCAGAAGAGGTCCAGGACCTCTTCTGAAGGCCGGTGGGGGGCAAAAGTCTTTGCTCCCCCCTGCCTGCCTTCCTGGGGGCTTTTAAATTGCCCCGGGACAGCGGAGAAGTCCTCCGCTGTCCTGGGGTTTTTTAAAATGCTGGCGGGCAGCAGCGGAGGCTTCGCTGCCGCCCACCAGCATTTTAAGATCGCCCCGGGACAGCGGAGAAGTCTCCGCTGTCCCGGGGTTTTTTAAAATGCTGGGGGTGGGAAGAAAAGCCCTTGTCCCCCCCCCCAGCCTTCAGAAGAGGTCGGGGGACAGACTGTCCCCGGACCTGGTCTGAAGTCGGTTTCCATAGGAACGCATTGATTGATTTTCAATGCATTCCTATGGGAAACCGTGCTTCGCAAGACGAAAAACTCGCAAGAAGAAAAAACTTGCGGAACGAATTAATTTCGTCTTGCGAGGCACCACTGTATAATATACCTGTTTAGTCTAGAATAAACCTGTGGGAGATTTCACTTTGCCTAGTGACCTGGGCAACTCACAGTTGATCTAAATGCCAGGGATCTGAAAACACTTCTGTCAAAGGCAAAAGATGCCAAGCACCTGTGCCCTCTCCAAGAACAGGGTTTGACTTTCCTTAGTAGATGTCAGGACACTGAGTGGACCGCAGGGGATATAGATTGGGGAGGAAAATGCCACTCGGGCTCAGTTGTGCCTCCATTGTCATGGAGGCCACATCCAGAGGGAGATGCCTCTGTGCTACCTCCTTGCTACATTGGTCCATTTTGGCACTTACTTGCAGGTAGGGTCTCCGGCATGGGTGGGCCGGAAATCAGCCAGGGCCAGAATGAGGAGAAGCCACCTGCTCATCCTTCTGCCAGCTCCGGGAGCTGCTTCCTCCACCATGTTTTCCTGGAATCCATGACGTCACAAACCAGGTGTGCCCAGGTTCTGACATCACACAGCTGGCTTTGGCAAAGGTGCAAGAACGGAAGAAGTGGTTTGAAACTCAGCACTTAGTGAGCAGGAAGAGAAAGTGAAGGAAGCAGCAATGGACAGCTGGAATCAAAGAATTGTCAAGCCAGAAGGGACCCCAAGGACCATCTAGTCCAACCCCTTGCAATACAGGGTTAGGGAAGAGAGAGGATGATTTGTGGCATCAGGGAAACCTGGGCAGAAAGCCGAGAACTACCTGGAAGTCACGAGGAGGACTTCACCTAAGTTGTGTGTATTTGTGCATGGAGGCAATTTGTGTATGGAGGCAGGGAGCATGGCTTAGCAGAATTTATTTTACTAAAACGTTTTTACACCACCCTCCCTTAGAAATCCCAAGGTCGTTAACAAAATATCGCAATGGCGTCAATGCAACAATCCCAGAAAAATTCAAAATATCCATAGCAGAAGGCAGCTGTCTACAGAGCCTGTAAACTCAATGGCCAATTGTGGAGAGAGGAAGTTAGGAAGGGTTTGGACATTAGTTCAGGGGTCGGTGGGTGGGGAACCTTCTTTGTCCGGAGTGACCACATTCCCTTCCAAATAATCTTGCCCATGGTGGGCGGGTCCAGGGCAAAAGTTGGTGGAGCAACAATTCTAAAGCTTGCCTTGGATTCTACACACCAGCCCCATCTACCGGTCAAGTGAGGGGCAATATCAGAGTCCAAGGATACCTTCCATCCAGGTGAAAGCACCAAGGTTGTTGGGAAGCAGGGCTGACATGGAGCATGGTCTATGGGGACCAGGTGTGGCTGGGAGCAAGTGAGGGCCAGTGAGTAAGGCTTGGAGCACCCCATTTGGCCCCCTGCCTGAGATTCCCCACTCCTGCTTTACTTATAGCAGTGTTGGCCAATTTGGCTCTCTCCGGTTGCTTTGGGTTGCTGCTCCCATCACCGTCAATTGATACAGCCTTGCCAGCTGAGACTCATGGGATTTGTAGTCCTAAGCAGCTGGAGAGCACGAGGCTGGTCAAGCCTAAGTACGAGCATGCGAGTTTTCTTTATGTTGTTGGTTGCGAGTTGTTTCATTGCCTCTTCACCCCAACATTCTGATCCTGTTGTCCCTAGAATAAGTCTCTGGGCTCGTCCATGCTTCTTCCACTTGCTAGAAAGCACAGGCTTGGGCAGTTTCCCAACTTGTCCAATGTTTTCCAGGCACAGGTCCAAGTAGCTTTGCCTTTGTCCCGCCGCTTTCTCCCAGAAAACCTACTCTTTAGTGCTAAATCTGCAGAAACCCAATTGCCGTTTGCTGTGGTGGAGCAAGTTTTCCCATCAGAAAGTGGCAGGGAAGTGGAAATGCGCATGAGCCCCCAGTCATGTTTTTGGAGACAAAAAAAAGTCCAGGAATGCAGGATTTTCTAGCCAGAATGGATGTTGTTTAGGTTAAAATGCCATCTCCCCTCCCTAAGGTAATATTTAGAAAACGATATTGGTTGGTAGCAGTGCCATCTGTTTGTTTGACAAGGTTTAGGGACACACCCCCTCCAAACCCTAGGAATGAACAAAGTCTAAGATTTTGATTAACTGGGATATGGATTAAAGCACAAGCTGCAGGGCTGTGCCAGACAGCGAATTTCTGGGCTGGCTTTGTCAGTTTGCGTTTTGTAGAGCAGAAAGTATTGATCTGATGTGTAGAGATCTTTGCTTGTGTGGCGAGTCCCCCCCCCCCCCCAGTGGAAATAATGACACATGACACAATTATTAAGGTTAATGGGCTAATTAAGGCCACAACTTTTATTGGTTACTGGTGATAAGCGGTATTGGCTTAGGCATTGGTCCTAACAGACTACATCCGACTTCAGCCCGTCCGTTAGAAGTCCGGGAAGGGTTAACCACCAGTAGGGGGAGTCCTGCTGATGCACATCAACTAGGAACTCCCCCGGGGTCACCGTTAGGGGTCGCGTCTTAGGCCCTCACCTCCCTAGGCTTCGAACAGGGTCACGCCTCCTGGAATCCTTTACCAGACTTCCCTTCAAAATGTGGGGCAGGTGATGGCGCAACCTCCCCTCTTCCATCTACAGAATAATACCAATGCCTAACTGCCAATACCAAGAAAGTTGTGACGATTTGCTACAAGGCAGGTGAAAACCAAGTGGCTGGTGCCAATTTGCCAAGTGGGAAAATTCCTACCAGGCCCCTCAATGGCGACCAACCAAGGTCCATAGCAAGGTCAAGGAACGAAAACCTTATAGGGCTGGAGGGTGGGAAAAGCAGGAACAGCCGGTAGGCGGCAAAGAGCAAGATCCCCGGCCGTGTCCTGCTTTAAATAAGGCAGGCCACACCCCCAAAGCCAGCCAATTGGCTGGCCGGGATGTGATGTGACCGGGACCGCCCCCACCCCCCGTCTTTCAGATACTGTATATCTGATCTTGCAATGAGAGAATGCAACCAAAGAGGAGATGTTGTAGACTGGCTGCATATGTCTTCGAAACACAGCAAAGAGCTAACATTTATAGATACACTTAATGACTTCCTAGAACAGTTAGTAATGGAATTGACCAGAAGAACATAAACTCTGAGTTTTATCTCAAGTGACAGCCAGGATCTGGTTAGAGATGAAAGTGTTGCTGAACTAATTGGGAAGAGTGACCACAGTGCTATCAAATTCAATTTATATATGTAATGGACAACTGCCAAGTAAGTTCATTGTAGTCACGTTTGACTTCAAAGAAAGGGACTTCCCAAAAATGAGGGAGCTGGTAGAAAGGAAGGTGAAAGGCAAAAACCCTGCAGAACACTTAGGGGTTATTCAAAACCACAATAAGGGGATCTCAACTATAATGTATATTGCCCTTCAGGAAAAAATACCACCTGGGCCAAGAGGATGCCAGCATGGCTAAAGAGCAGAGTCCAGGAATCAGGGAACGAGACAGAGGGCCTTCTCGGTAGTGGCACCCTCCCTATGGAACACCCTTCATATGTCAAGGAGATAAAGAACTATACAGCTTTTAGAACACATCTGAAGGCAGCCCTGTATTGGGAAGTGTTTAATGTTTGCTGCTTCATTATGTTTTATATATTCTGTAAGTTGCCCAGAGTGGTTCGGGAAACCCAGCCAGATTGGTGGGGTATAAATAATAAAATTATTATTGTTGTTACTATTATTATCCTCATTTTGGCATCCTACCCTGGTGCTTCTGTTAATATTAATAACATTTGTCTGTCTCAAAAAAGAGAGGAGGAGGAGCATAAAGCAGCGATGATGTTAGGCTGCCCACATGCTCTCTGGACAGAACCTGGATTCATGTGTTTTATGATGTCATGAATTCTAAGGAACGGTGGTGTGGTGGATCTTGTAGCCTTGGGAGCTGCCCGAAGGATGAGATGGTTGGTCCTCTCTGTTCTGGTCCTTGCTGCATTCCAGCCCACCCATAACGCAACCGTCAGCAATTGCGAGTAAGAGGCCATTGGGTTGATGGGTGGCATTTTGTAAGGAAAGACAAAATAGCGAAGAAGTTTTTTTCCTGGAAAAAGACACCAGGTGGTCTTCTGTCTGCCTGTCCATCTACCAGGGTTGCTCTCCTTCCATTTTGCCTTGAGGGTCTCATGAAATTTAGTGGCATTTCAGCCAACCCTCTGAAGTAGACCGATTGAAAGCAATGAACACAAACAAGTTAGGTCCATTACTTTTGGTGGATGTACTCTGAGTCAAGTCTTGTTGATTACCACCTATAGCCATGGCATCCGAACAGATCACCCAACATTACTATCATGAATTACATAAAACTGACAAGGCTGGATATTTTTTAAAAAAATAATAATAGTAGAATTCCCCCCCCCCCAAATATAAAATAAAATTTGTTGAACTATATAAAAGACCTGCAGAATACCAGATGATATCTGAGGAGCCCGTGTCAGTAAAAAAGGTAAAACGTGCGATCACAATATTCAAAGAGCTGCACAATCCACCCACGTCATGCACATGATCTGTTGAGGCTCTCTATCTTTTTCAGTGGCATCTGCGGAAGACGACCCATGGCAAGCAGCCATAAGTTGATGCGTATTATGGGCGGCAGCGATGTTCTTCCAGGGACCTGGCCCTGGATGGTCAGCATCCAGACAAAAGTACGAGGGAACATCTACTTTCCTAGCTGCGGAGGTTCGCTCATTGGCCCCCAATGGGTCCTCAGCGCAGTCCACTGCTTCCAAAAACCAAAGTAAGCAGAAGGGGACATCTGCTTAGCAGAAGGTCGTTCCTGGGGAGGGTTGTGGAATCTGCAAGCCCAGCACCCTGGGGGCATCTCAAGGAAGCAGAGTCCCTTCTTCTGCCTTCCAGGTGATACTTGGAGGAACTGCAGTTCACCTGAACACAGAGCCGTCCTCTTGGGACGGTGGAGTCTACAGCCCAGGAACTGCCCTACCTGATCAGGACTAAGGTCCAGCTAGTTCAGCATCCCATTGGGAACCTAGGAGGGCTGGGCACTCATAGGTGGAGCAAGGTGGGTGCGGCCCACCCTGAGTGTTATCCCTGAGGGGGGGTGACATCACCACACCGCCGCCCTGGGACACTCATCGCGGGCAGCGCACCCCCAGGACGCGCACCCCACAGGACGCTCACCTCACCCCCCCTCGGGATGCCATCCCCGTCCGGGTGCCAGAGCGGCTAGCTCCGCCACCTTGGGCACTTGGGCCAATCCGTCCTGAGACCTGTAGGCACAGATCCAAGAGGCTTATCCTTTCTCCCACTGCTTTCCCCAGGAAAACACACTGTTCATCACTGAATCAGAACAAATGTCAATTGAGTTTTCTATGAATGCATGTTTGCTCCGATTTAGATGTAACAGCAGGTTTCCCCAGGGAAAGCGGCCAGGCACAAAAACGAGGAAGGGCGTGGGACAGCCCCCTTGTGCTAAAATTGTGCTTTTAATGGGGGTGATATTTTAACTTGGGTGGGTGTTGTTTATTGTTCTTAAGTGTCCTGTGTTAACTGGTATTTTGTATTTGTCTTTTTTGTTTTTGTTTTATAAAGCTGATTAATATTCTACAGTTTTTTTTGTGGGAACGGAGTTATTGTTTTGTTATTTTTTGTTTTGACTATTTACTTGTGTTTTTACCTTGGATTTTTATCCTGTGAACCGCCCTGGGATCTTGTGATGAAGGCAATATACAAATGAAATCAAGTCGAATCAAATAAATAATAAAACCTCTCAGGCTTCAACCACGTCGCCTCTTACCCACATTTTCTCCAAACTAAAAAGTCCCAAGCCTTTTCTCATAGGCGAGTCTCTCCACACCCCTGATAATTTTGGTGGCCCTTTTCTGAACCTTTTCCAGCTCTGCAATAGGCTTTGGGAGGTGAGGCCAGCTTCACTGGATATCCAGGTGTTCCAGCCTCATGAGAGAGGGAGGGAGGATTTTTTCTCCATCCTTTCTCTGACATTCAGGGAATCCAAGAACAGCCTTCTAGAGGAGAAGCAACCTGCTCCGGTACCCAGAGCAGCGTGTGTCCCAGGGGACGTGACGTGCTGCCCGTGGGGGGGCGTGGCGTGCACCCTGGGGGTGTGGAACTCCACCCAGGGGCGTGGCATGCCACCCAGGGGTGTGGTGCACCATCCATGGGGGGCGTGGCACGTGTCCCAGGGGCATGGTGCATGTCCCGGGTGGTGCCGCCAATCGGGGGTTGGCATTTAGTCACCCTCCCTTTGGAATGTCACCCGGGGCGTCCCGCCCCCCCCCAAACCTCAGAACGCCCCTATAGCCTCCCACAAGCCATATATCCCTGTTCTTGGTCCCACCTGCAGAGACCAGTACAAGCTTGTCCTTGGCTCCAACCGGATCAAGAAGCTGGGCCCTGAGACTGAGCAGCGCTTCATTAAGAGGCTGGTGAAACATGAGAAGTACGACAACCAGCTGAATCAAGGAGAGGTGGTGTTCGCAGACATTGCCTTGCTGGAGATGGACGAGCCCGTCAACTGCAGCGACTACATCCAGCCAGCCTGCCTGCCTGACGAAAGAATGGAGGTATTGACGCTCGGCCATTGCTACGTCAGCGGCTGGGGCGGCCTGCTGCCAAAAGGTGAGAGCAACCTTGTAAAAAGGAGGAGGACTGGCTCCCCTGAAGTGTTTGAAATAAATTCATCGCCTGCACCTTCACTGCCAGCCGGCATTTCCCAGGGTGGTTTAGGACTTGTCTGCACTTCCGCTTATCCTGCTGTTTCCCCCCAGGGAAAACCTGCAATCGAGTTCTCCACAGATTGTTGTTTGCTCCTATTCAGCAGTCAAGAGTGGGTTTCCCTGGGGAAAGTAACAGGGCAAGCCCTTCCAGTGGGAGGAAAGTTAGTAAATAAAATGGAAATGACCATGGCAAAAATTATAGCTCTGAATGAATAAATGCTTCTGGTTGGGCTGCACAAGGTTCCTTCTTTGCAGGAGAGGTTTTCTTTCAGGGTGTTCCATCCCTGTTTCACATCCCCTCTCTCTTGCATGGATGAGTTTCCCTCCATTCTTGCCTGTAATTATTCTGCTTTAATAATATACTGGGCTCAGGATATATAATAATAATAATAATAATAATAATAATAATAATAATAATAATAATAATAATAATTTGCACCCCACCCAACTGGCTGGGCTTCCCCAGCCACTCTGGGTGGCTTCCAACAGGTTAAAAAATGTTAAAACAGCAGTCATTAAAAAAGTTAACTGAACAGGGCTGCCCTCAGATGTCTTCTAAATGTCAGATAGTTGTTTATTCTTTTGAAATCTGCTGGGAGGGCATTCCACAGGGTAGACACCACCACCAAGAAGGCCCTCTGCCTGGTTCCCTATAACTTGGCTACTTACAGTGAGGGAACTGCCAGAAGGCCCTCAGAGATGGACCTCAGTGTCTGGGCAGAACGATGGGGGTGGAGAAGCTCCTTCAGGTATAATAGGCCGAGGCCGTTTAGGGCTTTAAAGGTCAACACCAACACCAACTATTTCTGAAATCAAAACATGGTTAGCAGGGATTTTTCAGCCAGAACTCACTGGAACTCCATTCCAGCCCCTCTCAGGTGGGCGCCATTGCCATTATAAGAGACCAGGGAAGGCATTTGTGGTGAGTTCCGGCACCTAGTTTTCTAGAAAAACAGCACTGCTGGTCCATGGACTGAGAGCAGCTAGCTGTTAGGCAGGTCTTAAGGCTTGTCCACACGTCTGCTTTCTGGGAATGGCTCTGAGGGTTTTCCACCCCCTGGTCAGACGTCCAGCTGTCTATCTCCATTCCCACCCTGATGCTTTCTGCTCACAGATTCCACCCCTCCTGACATCATGCAAGAAGGGGCGACGACTATCTACACTAGAATCCAATGTGGGATGCGGTGGGGCAGGAGGATTCCTACACAGAACGTCTGTGCCGGACACGAAGAAGGAACCATTTCAATCTGCAGGGTAGGGTGAACCACGGTCAGGAGCCATGTGCTCACCTGATGAAGGGTAGCACTCTATGGTTCCACATCAGAGCTCTTTTGTGGCCAACCAATGCTCCAAGTTTCAACGCTTGGCAAGCTGAGCTGAGGCTGCTCTCCAAGGCTGTCTACACACCACACGGTCAAAGCACATTCAAAGTGCAGGACTCCCGCTGCCCCCCCCCCCCGCCACCGGGAAAAAAAAGAATCTTGAGGAACTGCAATTTGGGTGCCTGGAATCAGATATCCATGAGGAGTAAACTACACTTCCCACGATTCTTGTGGGGGAGGGAGTCACACACTTTAAATGTAGGATGTTGGTATATGTTTCAATCCATTTTCAGTTTGTAGCTGGTTTTATCTTCTGAATGTTTTCAAGAGTTATTGTTTCGTTCTCCTCGTGAACCGCCTTGAGGTTGCTGTTGTACAATCAAGCAGGGTATACGTTTAGAATTGTAGAGTTGGAAGGTACCTCGGGGCGGTCAACTAGTCCAACCCCCTGCAAGGCTGGAATTAGATGCAATTAATAATAATAAGACATGGGACGCGGGTGGCGCTGTGGGTAAAAGCCTCAGCACCTAGGGCTTACTGATCGAAAGGTCGGCGGTTCGAATCCCCGCAGCGGGGTGCGCTCCTGTTGCTCGGTCCCAGCGCCTGCCAACCTAGCAGTTCGAAAGCACCCCCGGGTGCAAGTAGATAAATAGGTACCGCTTTATAGCGGGAAGGTAAACGGCGTTTCCATGTGCTGCGCTGGCTCGCCAGATGCAGCTTTGTCACGCTGGCCATGTGACCCGGAAGTGTCTGTGGACAGCGCTGGCTCCCTGCCTCTTGAGTGAGATGGGCGCACAACCCTAGAGTCTGTCAAGACTGGCCCGTACGGGCAGGGGTACCTTTACCTTGAATAAGAATAAGAATAAGAATAAGAATAATTTATTCCCCGCCCAAAACCGGGCTCAGGACGGTTAACACCAGTAAAATTACAATGGAAACATAATAGGGGGGAAAAACAACAACCCAATTTAAAATACAGGTTAAAATGCAATTTAAAAAGCAGCCTCATTTTAAAAGTAGCCCATAAATCAAAACCGTAAGGGGAGGGAAGACATAACGGTCAGACTGAGTCCAAACCAAAGGCCAGGCAGAACAACTCTGTCTTGCAGGAAAGATGTCAAGTCCCGCAGGGCCTTAGTCTCTTGTGGCAGAGCCTTCCACCAAGTTGGGGCCAGTACTGAAAAGGCCCTGGCCCTAGTTGAGAGCAATCTAACCACCTTGCAACTTGGGACCTCCAAGGTGTTGTCATTTGTGGACCTTAAGGTCCTCCGCGGGGCATACCAGGAGAGGTGGTTCCGTAGGTGTGTGGGTCCTAGGCCACAAAGGGCTTTAAAGGTCAAAACCAGAACCTTAAACTTGACCCTGTACTCCACGGGGAATAAGTGAAACTGATGTGCTGTGCTGCCCCTGACAGGATGGCTGAGCCTTGTATCCTTACCCCATTTGCCTCTGCCTTGGTCTCCACAGCATCATGCCTGCACCTCATTCCACCACCTTCTTTCCCCCCTCCCAGGGTGACAGCGGAGGCCCCCTGATGTGCAGGGAAGAGAGGTCTGAGCGCTACTGGGTGATTGGAGTCGCCAGTTTCGGACCCGTGTACTGCGGCACAGCGAAGGTGCCAAGCGTCTTCATTTCCACGCAGTACTATCTGGACTGGATCCAAAGGACCTCTAAGCTGCAGCTCTCAGTTCCCACATACACCCCGCTGCTGGCGCAGACCCAGGCAACAACAACGCGCAAACCCAGGACTTTACCTACAGCGGCCAGGCCAAGACCCCACAGGCCTCCCTGGATGAGGCCCCCACAGTGGGGTGTGAGGCCTCCTCCCCAGGTGCAGACCACAAGGTCCTCCTTCCCTCCCTGGATGAGGGAGAACTATTTTTGGGGTAACCGGAGGCCTGGCCGCAGGACTAGGTACAGACCGCAGCAGTCCGGGCCCCGGATGGCACCTCGAAGTCAGTTCGCAGATCCACCAGGGTACTACCCTGGCTCCGAAGACTACTACGATCTGCTTGTGCCCTCAGGAGAGCAGGATTGAGAGGGGCAGCTGGGGCAGGGGGCAGGCATTATGAAGCAGAGGGGCCAGGCTAGAGCCCACCATGATAAGTATCGGATATTCTATAGAATAATAAAATGAAGATGGTTTGAGCAAGCTGCTTGGGATTTGGCAATGGGTCTTTGTGTCTTTCACACCATCATCTCACCAAATCTCAGAGAGATGTGTTGGGAAATGGCCAAATCCAGAGCCATATTCTCCTACTTATGTTCATAATTCCTCCAGATCTTTCTTTCCATTAAATGGAAGTGGTAGAAAAGGAAAAAGAAAACAAGAAAGAAGGGAAAGGAAGGATGAAGGATATTCCACGTTTAAGAATTCCACAATGTATTTTACAACAAATTAGAAACACTTTATATTTCACATTTTACAGTTTATACTCCAAAACTATTGCAGTTAATTTATTACCCCAAAAGAGTTTGCAATGTGGGATGCTCACCCAAAGGAAACATAGCTCAGCAAATGACCTGCTATAAAACCATTAAGACACTTTCCAGTCTCCCAGGCCTAATCAATCACCTACTCCTTTAAGATAGGACTACAGCTTATTTTACCACTGTTAGTAGGCAAATATAAACGTCCCCTGCATACCAGTAAAACCGCTGCCAGCTCCCAGCCCCTCTAGGTTCTCCATACTTCCCAATGCTGCATCTGCACCAACCACTGACAGCCATCTCCAGAATCAAGCCTCTTCCGGCTTCTTGGCACTGCAAGGCTGTTCCACAATAGCTACCCAGCTCATAAATCACCACGGCCGGCATCCACTCCAGCTGCTTCACCACTGCTGCCCAGGCACAGAGACTCTCCAGGTCCTCCTCACCCTCCAGCATTTTGGTGCAGCTACTGCTTTGCTCATTCACAGCAAACACTTTGGCACTGCGCAACCAGATCTCCTCAGCACTCTGCTCAGCCTCAGGAACTCATCGGCACATCAAAAGAACTTTCTGGGCCCATAACCTGTCAATAAATTCTACTCAATATTGATCCAGAGCAGAATTCTGACCTATAGTTAGCAGAGTAAAAACTTAAACACTTTGCAGGATTCCAAAAAAATAGACCAGAGGCAATTAATATTTCATCCAGCAGAGCTTTACTGCTATGGAAGGCAAATGAGCATCATGGTCACAAATCCAATACATTCACTGTCTATAAGAAATCCAGGTGCAGTAGACTTAACTTAAACTTTTAATAACTTATAATAAGTCTAAACCTTAACACTGTATACAGAACACCACACCAGAAGGAAGAGAGACAGAAAGAGAAAGTGAAACCTAGGCTCCTTCTGTCCTTCCTTTTATAGTCAGCATGACCTTGAAGAAGAGATAAAAAAACCTGTAAGCTTAAGCCAGCTGTACTCAACTTTTATGAAGGAATAACCCAAACATCATGAATCTTCTGAAGCTACCAAAACCCTCTTGAATTAAGTAGAATAGGAAAGATCTCTACACATCAGATCAATACTTTCTGCACTAAGAAATGCAAACTGACACCCCACCCCCAAATCCTAGGAATGAATAAAGGCTGGGATTTTGATTAATTGGGATATGGGTTAAAAGGACAATCTGCAGAGCTGTGCCAGACAGGAAATTTCTGGGCTGGGTTATGCAAACCAGCCTGGCTGACTTAGGGAACAGCAAACCTGTTAACATGACAAAAAGTGTCAATAGGCCATTGGAGAGAATCCTTTCACTTGGGGAGAGACCTGACCAAAGTGATGGTGTGTGTTTGAGGGGACAGGAAAAGGAAGATATTTGAGCAAGGTTTGTTGGGAAAGAGAAGAAGGGAGAAGAGCTGAGATCCATCTTGGGCAGGCTGGCAGACGGTTGCCTATGCTGCTGCCTCTGGAAATGTGTATGCCGTAAGATCTGGACTCCCTCCATGTAGACTAGAGGTGTGACCAGGTAAATAAATTATATTTCTTAAAGCTGCAACAGTCTCTGCCATGTCTTCAGTTCTCCAAAGGAGCACAGACACTGTGTGAGTGTCTGGGACCCTGTGTGAGTGTCTGGGACCCCGTGGGCTCTTGCTATCGCTTGGCAGAGAGAGTGTCAGGCATGGAGAATCCTCTCCTCCCCCAGTAGCACCAAAGGCAAGAAGAACAAGCATGTCCGTATTTATGGTTTTTATTCAGTCATCTGGTAGCAAGACAAAGAATCCATGTCTCCATGCAAAGGAGACGTTGCCTACTCTGAGCCCCCCTCTTCCGTCCCCAACAACATCCTGAGTACCTACAGAAAGTCCCAGGTGTCACACTCCTCTGCAATCTCTGTTCTTGAATTCAGAGGGACTGACAGGACCTTGGGGAGGGAGGATCTCCCAGACTCTTCAAGGAGGTCTCTGCTTGCTGCTCCTTCCCTCCTCCCTCCTCCTCTACAATCTTGTAACTAGGCAATTCTTCATTCAGCTGTAATTCGACCCTGTCCCCTTCTCATCTAGTGTCAGGAGCCCAGGCTGCAGTCTTGATAACACAGCATGCAAGTCATAGTCAGCTTGAAGATTTATTGCAATACAAACAATTAGCCTCGGATGTCTAACCAAGCATCTACATCTTACGAGTCAGTTGACCCTTCTGAGGAGTGCTTCCTGGTTCTGCAGAATATCCTGAACCTATGACCCTTACATTTCTGGGTTTATTTCCTGTGTAATACCTTTCCCATACGTCTACTCTTTGGGCTCAGGGGATTTATTGCCACCTCTTCCAGTGAGGAAATGCTACCCCTCCTGCTTTCTGAAGCTGCCTGTGCTTCTTGAGCGAGCTGACTTCTCTCCCTCCCACTCTCTGCCAATGCCTTATCTACATTCCATTCCATGTCAGGGGAAGGAGGACTGCTCCCAGCTGTCTGACTGCTTCCTAACTCATGCTGTGTATCTCTACTTGGGACAGTTGTGTTCATGACATCTAGAAACTGCTGGAGACAAAGGGTGAGGGTGAAGTTTCCCACTCTCCCTCCTCTTCCAAGAGAAGCCGAGCAGACTGAGGAGACACTCCCCAGCCTTCCTGTTTGGTCCAGTCCCTGACATCACACCCCTATCCAGAGCTTCCCTCCTCCCTTTCTTCCTCCCCCCACCCCTTCAGTATTGGTCTGTTGGTGTGGCTCCTATGAAACTCCCTTTGCAATTCCTGGGCATGAACATGTTCTGCATATTCCCACGAACTTTCTTCGGGCCCATAACCCTTCCATGCAATCAAGTATTGCAGTCTCTTTCATGTCATGTGTGAGTCTAGCATCTGCTCTACTTCAAACTCCTCCTCTCCCTTTACCAGAACAGGAAGTGGGAGTGCTTGCCTGAGAGTTGGTTAGACGTGTGCTGGCACTACTGGGGACAGCACAGATCTTTGGAATACAGTGTGTATCTTCATTGATACTGGCAATCTGAGTCTGCAAATCAAGTGTAGACAGACACCTTTATCTCACTACCTGGTTGTCTATGGGCATCTGCTGCTCTCTTATACAACTCCTTAGCATCGTCCAAGCATTTCCTTAGCAAACTTTGGATGGCTGTTAAGTCTTCTATGAAGTCCTCTGCTGTTGGTACTGACAGGGTGTTGGTCTGTCATGGGAAAGTACATGGATGGTATCTGTAACTGGCATAAAAGGGGGGTCTGCTGAGTTGAAGCATGAAGTGCATTGTGGTACGCAAACACTGCCAAGAGCAATTTGGATACCCAATCATCTTGCTGGTAGTTCACATAACACCGGAGGTCCTGGTTAACATGGCATGAGTCCTTTCCAACTCCCCATTAGTCTCTGGATGTCAGGCTGAGTGAGGGACACTTCTACCTTGAATAACTGCATGAGCTTCTTCCAGAACTGCAAGGTGATTTGGGTCCCCCAATCTGAACTCACTTTAAGGGGGAGCCCATGCGACTTAAATACATGGTCTACAAAGAGTTGGGCCTTCTCTTGTGTGGTGGGCAGTCCCTTACAGGGCATGAAGTGAGCCATCTTTGTGAACAAGTCTACCACCACCCAGATCACTGTCTTCTGCAGTGACTCTGGCAGATCAGTGATGTAGTCCATAGCTACGGCTTCCCATGGTCCTTGCGGTGTGGTTAGTGGTTGAAGCAATCCTGAAGGTGCTTCCCTGGGTCTTTTTACCCGCTGACAAACCTCACAGGCTTGGACGCATTCCTTGACCTCCTCCCTCAATCTTGGCCACCAGAATTGCTTCGTCACATGGTACAGCGTTTTGTGCTGCCCAAAGTGTCCCACTGTAGTGTTGTCATGGCATTGATGTAGGACCTTGGCTCAGAGATCTCCTTCTGGAACATAGCAAGCTCCCCCTCTATACAGTAGCCCATCCTTTTCCATGAACCCCTCAGCATCACCTGCATCTCCCCGCAGCACTAGTAACTTGCCCTTAGCAAAAGCATCCTCCTGTGTCTTCAACTGGAATTCGGAAACTTCGACAACTGACCCAGCTGCTAGCTGTAGCTGCCCTGGTTTCAAGATGTGCTGATACACTGGAACTGGCTCATCATCCTGGTACTCCAGCTTCCAGGAAATAGCACCCACCCTTTGATTCTGACTGCCAGACACATAAAGGTAAAGGTAAAGGTACCCCTGCCCATACGGGCCAGTCTTGCCAGACTCTAGGGTTGTGCGCTCATCTCACTCTATAGGCTGGGAGCCAGCGCTGTCCACAGACACTTCCGGGTCACGTGGCCAACATGACAAGCTGCATCTGGCGAGCCAGCGCAGCACACAGAACGCCGTTTACCTTCCCGCTGGTAAGCGGTCCCTATTTATCTACTTGCACCCGAAGGTGCTTTCGAACTGCTAGGTTGGCAGGCGCTGGGACCGAATGACGGGAGCGCACCCCGCTGCGGGGATTCGAACCGCCGACCTTTCGATCGGCAAGTCCTAGGCGCTGAGGCTTTAACCCACAGCACCACCCGCATCCCCAACTCCGCCAGACACATACTGTACTCTAAAGTCAAAGCTGGCAAAGAACTGTGCCCAGCGAATCTGCTGTTGATTGAGACGTCTCATTGTCTGCCCTTACTCCAGATTCAGATGGCCAGTGCGCACCTCCACCTTGTGTTGTGCCCCCTCAAGGAAATGCCTCCACACTTCAAGGGCTTCGCGGATAGTCAAAAGTTCCTTTTCCCAAATGGTGTAGTTCTGCTCGGAAGAAGTCAGCTTCCTAGAGTGGAAGGCACAAGGGTTTGGTTGCCATCTTGGCCCTCTTGCAGCACCCCCCCCCACTGCTTTGTCAGAGGCATCTGTCAGCAGCCAGTGAGGGTCAGCATGAACTAGGTACACCTCTGAGGAAAACATGGTTTTGAGCTGCTCAAACACCTGTTGTGCCTCAGCAGTCCACTGGAAGCACTTCTTGCCCCTCAAACAATCCGTGAGAGGTGCTGTGAGTCTTCAATAGACCGGAACGATCTTGCGGTAGTTGTTGGCGAACCTCAAGAATCTCTGCAGGTTTTTCTTCATCTTGGGTTCCTGCCATAACACTATGCTCTGCACCTTAGCTGGATCAATGTGTACCCCCTCTGCTGTGAGGCGGCAACGCAGGAAATCTACTGTAGAGACATGGAACTGGCATTTTTCTAACTTAGCATAAAGCCGGTGGAGGTGTTCTCTCAGCCTCTACAGCACCTCTGTCACATGTCTCATGTGCTGTTCCTCGCTTTCAGAGAAGTTAAAAAGATCATCAAGGTAAACAACCATGAACTTATCCACTGGGCCACTGAGGATGTGGTTGATGAAGGCTTGGAACGTTGCTGTCCCTAACTGAAGTCCAAAGGGCACGACCAGGTATTTGAAGCTGCCATACCTAGTGCAGAACATTGTTTTCCACTCGTCTCCCTCCCTCACACGGATCAGGTTATAAGCCCCCCTTAAGTCCAGCTTCGTGAAAAATTTCTCTGACCTCAGCCTTTCTAACAAATCCCCAATAGTTGGTAAAGGATAATGATTAGGAACCATTAGGGCATCAATCTTCCTATAGTCCACACATAATCTAAATACTGTAGTGTCCTTCTTCTTCACAAATAGCATTGAGGCACCACCTGGTGCCTTGGAAGGTCTGATGAAGCCCCTTACCAGATTCTTCTCTAAAAAACTCCCTCAAGGCTGTCATTTCTGTCTCGGACAGGCAGGCACCCGTCTTTGGTAACAATATTTTGGTATTTTTCTCCATATAGTGTTGTGAGTTGCCATGAGCAAAAGATGTGGGTTGGAGCAGGAGAAGATAGACAGGGCTTATTGTCAGAAGGGTGCAGCAGGACTTTTTTAAAAAATGGCTGTTTTCTCACTCTAATTAAAGTGGCAATTACTAAGAAATATTGTGTAACATTGGGGGAGGGTTTTTATTTTCACAGGAACATAATGCATTTTATACATTTTGGAATTCTTAAATGTAGAATATCCTTCATCCTTCCCTTCCCTTCTTTCTTGTTTTCTTTTCCATTTCCACCACTTTCATTTAATTATGAACATAAGTAAGAGAATATGGCTCTGGATTTGGCCATTTCCCAACACATCTCTCTGAGATTTGGTGAGATGATGGTGTGAAAGACACAAAGACCCATTGCCAAATCCCAAGCAGCTTGCTCAAACCATCTCCATTTTATTATTCTATAGAATATCCGATGCTTATCATGGTGGGCTCTAGCCTGGCCCCTCTGCTTCATAATGCCTGCCCCCTGCCCCAGCTGCCCCTCTCAATCCTGCTCTCCTGAGGGCACAAGCAGATCGTAGTAGTCTTCGGAGCCAGGGTAGTACCCTGGTGGATCTGCGAACAGGCTTTGAGGTGCCATCTGGGGCCAGGGCTGCTGATATCTATACCCTGGCCTGTGGTCAGGCCTTGGGCGCCTCCCATAGTTCTCCCTCATCCAGGGAGGGATGGAGGATGTTGTGGTCTTTACCCAGGGAGGAAGCCCCCCACTCCACAACGGGGGCCTCACCCAGGGAGGCCTGTGCTTTTTTGGCCTGGCTGTGGTAGGTGAAGTCCTGGGTTTGCGCGGTTTTGTGGCCTGCGCCAGCAGCGGGGTGGGTCTGGGAGCTGAGAGCTGCAGCTTAGAGTTCCTTTCCATCCAGCCTAGAAAGTACTGTGTGGAGATGAAGACGCTTGGCACCTTCTCTGTGCCACAGTACACGGGTCCGAAACTGGAGACTCCAATCACCCAGTAGCGCTCAGACCTCTCTTCCCTGCACATCAAGGGGCCTCCTCTGTCACCCTGGGAGGGAGGAAAGAAGGTGGTGGAATGAGGTGCAGGCATGATGCTGTGATGATCAAGGCAGAGGCTACTGAAAAGAGGCAAATAGGGTAAGGATACAAGGCTCAACCGTCCTGTCAGGAGGCAGCACAGTGCACTAATTTCATTTATTTATTTCATTTATTGCCACTGGGTGCCACCCCCTTCATCAAGTGAGCACAAAATCCTGACTTTGGCTCCTGACCGTGGTTCACCTACCTTGCAGATTGCAATCTTTCCTTCTTCGTGTCCGGCACAGATGTTCTGTGTAGGGATCTTCCTGCGCCACCAGTTCCCACATTTTTTTCTGCTGAAGATATTCATTGGCGCTTCCTGCATGATGTCAGGAGGATTGAAATCTGTGAGCAGAAAGTAGCGGGGTGGGAATGGAGATGACCAGGGGGTGCCCTGCCCATGAATCCTAACTGGGTCAGGGGAAGGAGAGAGGAAAGGGGGGAAACCCTCAGAGCCATGCCTAGAAAGCAGACGTGTGGACAAGCCTTAAGACCTGCCTAACAGCTAGCTGCTCTCAGTCCGTGGACCAGCAGTGCTATTTTTCTAGAAACGAGGTGCCAGAGCTCACCACAAACGCCTTCCTTGGTCTCTTATAATGGCAATGGCGCCCACCTGAGAGGTGCTGGAACAGAGTTCCAGTGAAAACAAAAAAAATTCCTTCCAGTAGCACCTTAAAGACCAACTAAGTTAGTTCTTGGTATGAGCTTTCGTGTGCATGCACACTTCTTCAGATACTCTGACTATGGCAGACCAACACGGCTACCTATCTGTAACTAGAGTTCCAGTGAGTTATGGCTGCAAAAATCCCTGCTAACCATGCTTTTATTTCATAAATAGATATCCTGAGCCTTCAACCATGAAGATTGCAAAAGTGATAAATACAGCAAAAGCAAAAACAAAAACAAAAAACCCGGTATATTTCTAAAACAAAATAATTACAGGCAAGAACGAGAAAAATCTCCTCCATGGAAAAGAAAGGGGAAGTGAAACAGGGATGGAACACCCTGAAAGAAAACCTCTCCTGCAAAGAAGGAACCTTGTGCAGCCCAACCAGAAGCATTTATTCATTCAGAGCTATAATTTTTGCCACGGTCATTTCCATTTTATTTATTAACTTTCCTCCCACTGGAAGGGCTTGTCCACACTTCCACTCATCCCCTGCCTAGAAAGCATGAGTCCAAGAGGTTTGTGCTCTCTAGGCCTGAGTCCGAGTGGTTTTCTGCTTGCCCTGTTACTTTCCCCAGGGAAACCCACTCTTGACTGCTGAATAGGAGCAAACAGCAATCTGTGGATAATTCGATTGCAGGTTTTCCCTGGGGGGAAACAGCAGGATAAGCGGAAGTGCAGACAAGTCCTAAACCACCCTGGGAAATGCCGGCTGGCAGTGAAGGTGCAGGCGATGAATTTATTTCAAACACTTCAGGGGAGCCAGTCCTCCTCCTTTTTACAAGGTTGCTCTCACTTTTTGGCAGCAGGCCGCCCCAGCCGCTGACGTAGCAATGGCCGAGCGTCAAAACCGGCAGGCTTTTGTCAGGCAGGCAGGCAGGCTGGATGTAGTCGCTGCAGTTGACGGGCTCGTCCATCTCCAACAAGGCAATGTCTCTATACACCACCTCTCCTTGCTTCAGCTTGTTGTCGTACCTCTCGTGTTTCACCAGCGTCCTGATGAAGCGCTGCTCAGTCTCAGGGCCCAGATTGGTGAGCCGGCTGGAGCCAAGGACAAGCTTGTACTGGTCTCTGCAGGTGGGACCAAGAACAGGGATATATGGCTTGTGGGAGGCTGCAGGAGCGTTCTGAGGTTGGGGGTGCCATTCCAAAGGGAGGGTGACAAAATGCCAACCCCTGATCAGTGGCACCCCTCGGGACATGCGCCACGCCTCCAGGACACATGCCACGCCCCCATGGGTGGTGCACCACGCCCCTGGGTGGCATGCCATGCCCCTGGGGGAGTGCCACACCCCCAGGATGTGGGCCACACCCCCCATGGGGAGCACGTCATGTCCCCTGGGATGCACACTGCTCTAGGTACCAGAGTAGGATGGGAGGCTGTTCTTGGACTCCCTGAATATCAGAGAAAGGATGGAGAAAAAATCCTCCCTCCCTCTCTCACAAGGGTGGAACACTTGGATATCCAGTGAAGCTGACCTCACCTCCAAAATGATATTGCAGGCCTGGAGAAGGTTCAGAAAAGGGCCACCACAATTATCAGGGGGTGTGGAGGGACTCCCCTAGGAGGAAAGGCTGCCACGCTTGGGACTTTTTAGTTTGGAGAAAATGTGGGGAAGAGGTGACATGGTTGAGGTTGCTGGAACTATGCATGGTGCGGAGAAAGTTGAAAGAGAAAAGTTTTCCTCCCTCTCCTGAAACGCCAGAAGTTGTGGACACCCCATGAAGATCAGGAGAAACTAAAGGACGTCCTGCATGCAGCACATAGCTAAGATGGGGAACTTGCCCCCACTAGAGGCAGCAATGGGGCACCAGTCTACATGGCTTTAAAAGACGATTGGGCAAATTCTCGGATAGTTATGCTCTTCCGTCATAGTCAGAGGTAGCAATGCTCTCTGAGGCTCCTGCCCACTTCTGTTTGTTCCGTTTGTTCCCTTTGATTCTATGATTCCCCGTGATTTCAAGACATGGGTCTGAGAGGTTATTTTTTTTTATTTGATTTGACTTTTTTTAAATTTGATTTGATCACAAGATCTCAGGGTGGTTCACAGGATAAAAATCCAAGGTAAAAACACAATAGTCAAAACAAAAAAATAACGAAACAATGACTCCATTCCTACAAACATATTTTTTAAAAAAACTGTAGAATATTAATCAGCTTTATAAAACAAAAACCAAAAAGACAAATACAAATTGACATGTAACACTTAAGAACAATAAACAATACCCACCCGAGTTAGAACAACACCCCCATTAAAAGCACAATTTTAGCACAAGGGGCTGGCCCACGTCCTGGGACCTCGTTCCTGTGCCTGGCCATTTTCCCTGGGGAAACCTGCCGTTTACATCTAAATCGGAGCAAACATGAATCTGCAGAAAACCCAATTGGTGTTTGTTCTGATTCAGTGATGAACAGTGTGTTTTCTTGGGGAAAGCAGTGGGAGAAAGGATAAGCCTCTCGGATCTGTGCCTACAGGTCACAGGACAAATGGAATTGTGGGTGAGCCCTATATTCCTATGAACCAAAAGGGGGCGGATCGGCCTGAGTACCCACAGTGGCGGAGCGAGCTGCTCTGGCACCCGGAGCGGAGTGCACCCAGGGGGCGGGGATAGCCACCCAGGGGGGTGGGGCTGGCATCCCAGGGGGGTGAGGTGAGCGTCCTGCGGGGTGCACTGCCCACCACGAGTGTCCCAGGGTGGTGGCATGGTGATGTCACCCCCCCCCTCAGGGATAACACTCAGGGTGGGCCACACCCACCGCACCCACCTTGCTCCACCTATGAGTGCCCACCCTCCTAGGTTCCCAATGGGATGCTGAACTAGCTGGACCTTAGGGCAGTTCCTGGGCTGTAGACTCCACCATCCCAAGAGGACGGCTTTGTGTTCAGGCGAACTGCAGTTCCTCCAAGTATCACCTGGAAGGCAGAAGAAGGGACTCTGCTTCCTTGAGATGCCCCCAGGCTGCTGGGCTTGCAGATTCCACAACCCTCCCCAGGAATGACCTTCTGCTAAGTAGACTTCCCTTTCTGCTTACTTTCCTTTTGGGAAGCAGTGACCTGCACTGAGGACCCATTGGGGGCCAATGAGCGAACCTCCGCAGGAATGGATGTAGACTTTCCCTTGTCCTTTTGTCTGGATGCTGACCGTCCAGGGCCACGTCCCTGGAAGAACATCACTGCTGCCCATAATACGCATCAACTTATGGCTGCTTGCCAAGGGTCGTCTTCCGCAGATGCCACTGAAAAAGATAGAGAGCGTCAACAGATCATGTGCATGACGTGGGTGGATTGTGCAGCTGGCATAAGAGACTTGGACATGCTTGACTTCCACACTTCTCCCCAAAATGCTTTCTTGCAGCAGACAAGCATCTCTTTCTTGACCTCCTTGGCAGAATGAGGTACAAAGCTGGAGACACCCAAGGGACCAGATCCCTGTGCACCAGAGATCCCATTCACTGCCCATGAGCTAAGTGAGCTTTGGACAACATGGTGCCCTCCAGGGCTGGCCACCTGCAAACACCCTTGCAGAAGACCAGGGCTGTTTATGTTAAGTAGAATTGCTTAATTCACACTGAGATGGAGAATGCTGAAAGGGTTTAACAGGAAGATTCCACTGAAGAGCAAGAAGAGCTATCCAAGCACCTCTATGGGTTGATAATTAACTGCTATTGATCTCTGCTAGCTAGCGCATGGGTGTTTAACCTTAGGTCACATGAGTAAGGTATTCAATGTGCAAATCACCATCTTGGGGAGTTGGTCTTTGGTCCTTTGTTCCCAGTCAGAGTGGGGGGAAGATAATGCAACTCTCCAAGAGATGCATAGCCTTAGGTAGGTGAATGCAGGCTAGAATGGGAGAGGGACACAGTTTTGATTTCTGGAAGAAGTAAAGTTATTTCTTATAAGATGCTGAGCCTGTGCTGGACATGCACAAGGTATTGTAAATTTCTGTCCTGTTTTGAATAAAGTTCTGCAAGTAAAGCGCTGAATCAAACATATGGGCCTGGACAATGTTTTATACCAAAAGTAGCCAGTTTTGTATGCATCCAGTTGCTTCAAGTGGCACAATATAAATACCGTATATGCAATAGTTTGTGTTTTAGGACCTTCCCCTTTGGACTGCTCTACAGTCCAATCTTTGATCAAGATTTTGGTTGCCTCCAAGATGACATAACCTTGGGAGATCTCTCTGGATGCCGTGGCTATAGGTGGTAAACACCACAATTAATTCACCAAAATTAATGTGTTCGTTGCTTTCAATGGGTCTACTCCAGAGGGTTGGATGAAATCTCAAATATCACAAGATCCTCAAAGGCAAAATGGAAGGAGAGCAACCCTGGTAGATGGAAAGGCAGACAGAAGACCAATAAAAAAACTTCTTCCCTCTTTTGTCTTTCCTTACAAAATGCCACCTTTGGCCTCTTACTCGCAGTTGCTGACAGTGGCGTTATGAGTGGGCTGGAATGTAGCAAGGACCAGAACAGAGAGGACCAACCATCTCATCCTTTGGGCAGCTCCCAAGGGCTACGGGGTCCACCACTGCCACCTTGTCTTAGAATTCATGACATCATAAAACATATGAATCCAGGTTCTGTCCAGAGAGCATGTGGGCAGCCTGACATAATTGCTGCTTTATGCTCCTCCTTCTCTCTCTTTTTTAATTAATATTAACAGAAGCACCAGGGCAAGATGCCCAAATGAGGATGCATCAATTTTTAAATATTCCTTCTTTTCAGCTTGCCCTTTTTTTTTTTGCAAAAGTTTGCATTCCTTTGTTTTCTCCTCAAGGAAGCCTTCCTGCCTCTAATAGCTTCCTAACAACAACAACAACTTTATTATTTATACCCCACCCATCTGGCTGGGTTTCCCCAGCCACTCCGGGCAACTTACAAAATATATAAAACATAATAAAGCAGCAAACATTAAAAGCTTCCCAATACAGGGCTGCCTTCAGATGTGTTCTAAAAGCTGTATAGTTCTTTATCTCCTTGACATATGAAGGGAGGGTGTTCCATAGGGAGGGTGCCACCACCGAGAAGGCCCTGTGCCTGGTTCCCTGCTTCCTGGACTATGCTCTTTAGCCATGCTGGCATCCTCTTGGCCCAGGTTGTATTTTTTCCTGAAGTGCAATATACATTATAGTTGAGATCCCCTTATTGTGATTTTGAATAACCCCTAAGTGGTCTGCAGGGTTTTTGTCTTTCACCTTCCTTTCTACCAGCTCCCTCATTTTTGGGAAGTCCCTTTCTTTGAAGTCAAAGGTGACTACAATGAACTTACTTTGCAATTGTCCAGTACATATATAAATTGAATTTGACAGCACTGTGGTCACTCTTCCCAATTAGTTCAGCAACACTTTCATCTCTAACCAGATCCTGGCTGTCACTTGAGATAAAACTCAGAGTTTATGTTCTTCTGGTCAATTCCATTACTGTTTTAGGACAGTCATTAAGTGTATCTATAAATGTTAGCTCTTTGCTGTGTTTAGAAGACATATGCAGCCAGTCTAGAACATCTTCTCTTTGATTGCATTTTCCACCTCAAGATCACTGTATATACAGTATATACAGTATCTGAAAGACCTTCATATCTTGAGGTTAGAAACGATGCTCAGAAACTGCCATTGAAATTCTACTTAGTATTTGGATGAATACTAACATTTATAGAGCAGGGATGTGGGTAGCGCTGTGGGTTAAACCACAGAGCCTAGGACTTGCCGATCAGAAGGTCAGTGGTTCGAATCCCCGCAACGGGGTGAGCTCCCGTTGCTCAGTCCCTGTTCCTGCCAACCTAGCAGTTTGAAAGCATGTCAAAGTGCAAGTAGATAAATAGGTACTGCTCCAGTGGGAAGGTAAACGGCGTTTCCGTGCGCTGCTCTGGTTCGCCAGAAGTGGCTTAGTCCTGCTGGCCACATGACCTGGAAGGAAGCTGTACGCCGGCTCCCTCGGCCAGTAAAGCGAGATGAGCGCCACAACCCCAGAGTCGGCCACGACTGGACCTAATAGTCAGGGGTCCCTTTACCTTTAGGGATCCAGAGCAGATTCCAATGTATAGTTAGCAGAGTAACAACTTTAACACGTTGCAGGATTTTTTATATATATATATATATATATATATATATATATATATATATAATATATATATATTTATATATATATATATATATATATATATATATATATATATTTTAAAGACCAGAGGCAATTGTATTTCACTCAGCAGAGCTTTACTGCTACTGAAGGCAAATTAGCATAATGTTCACAAATCCAATTGAATCAGGATTGGCACTGTCCATAAGAAATCCAGTTGCAGCAGACTTGATCTAAACTTATAATAACTTAAAATTCAAGGGCATGCAGTGTGTGCATGCACCTCTTTCTTGTTGTTGCTAAAAAGTGTGGCACTTGCGGTAATAACTTCATGGTGAGTACGTCTAGGTGTGGCATCTGAATATAGACTGCAATTTTAATCAAGACTTATATTGGCTTATATTTGATCAGGTTCCTAAAATTCTAAAAATAATGTTTCTTCCAAGGTAGAAAACCAGCAAGCGGCTCCAGCAAGCAGCTGGCAAGCAAAGGGCCCCTGGTTTATTGCGGTCATAGAAAGGCTGAGAAGCAGGTCACTGACCTTGCATGCTGTAGAATACAACTAAGTCGTAAAAGCTGGAATTACAGGCTGAAGACCAAGGTTACACAGACCCTACATAATTAGGGATGAGTAAACAGTAAAATAATACCATGGGCCTCTTTTAAACCTTGAGCTGTATTTTCTAAGGCCAGAGGCAAATGGGAGAAAAAACATCTAGCTGACAGAGAAAGAGAGGCTTTTTGGGAAGTCCTTTTAAAGCATCTAGCTGGGAAGTCTTTTTAAAGCTGTTTCTTCCTTAAACAGATAATGGGAAAAGCAGCTTGCTGAAGGGGGGGGGTGTAAACTGAAGAGCCTTCTTCTGAAACTGTTTTAAACTGAGTTCTTTTTTTTCCTTTCTCTCTCTACTTTAAAAAGGCCTTATTCCTTTTAAAAGGTTACCTATGATAATGTATGAAATATATTAGCTTAAATATATTGGCTTAAATGTAATTATGCAAAGGATTTAACAAATGCTAGAAGAGTTGTATTTATCTTGAAATTAAGTCAGCCACCAGTCCAGCCCCCTGCCAGACAAGAAGACGCCATCAAATGCTGTCCTGATATATTAGCTGTCAGATATTTGTTTAGAAACCTTCAAATGAAGGATATCTTTCAATATTGATGTGAAACTCAAGATCCTTGACATATTTTTAAGATAAAAATTTAAGATTAACCATTTGTTTTAGAAGGCAATAGGGCAAGAGGTGAGCTGGTAATTAAGATTCCATGTAAGATATATTATTACTTATTTGTCATTTATATATAGCTCTTTGTCTCCCATAAAAGGCAATAGGAAATGAGTGTATTTTTGTGATTGGTTATACTAATCAGCCAATAGGAAATCCAACCAGGCTGATTGGGACAGAGGCAGCCCAAGGAGGAGCAAAGGGGGCTGGATTAAGGGAATATAAGTGCTGGCCATAATGGCAGGAGGCAGGCCAGAGCTTGGTAATCATATACCACTGTGCCTCTCATTTATTTGTCTGACAAATAAATTATTATTTAATTTCTCTGTTGCTGCGTTGAATATTTCATTCCAGCTAAGCGTTAACCACAAGCAGGGTGCTACATTTTATGGTGCCGTGGACTCGGATCAGTGGTCTGCTGGAACGCAGCTCCTTCGCCTACTGAGCGGGGTACAAGACAGAGGATCACTCACTGCCTACTCAGCGCGCAATGGAAAAATTTTTTCCAGGGGAACGCAGCAGTCTCGTCTGTCTGATACCCTGCCCACCGACGGCGACGGACCGGGGGGGGACCAGAGAAATAAACAGGGAACCAGCTAAGGGTAAGTGCACTAAGGGGTTTTGGCCCTCCAATTAATTGGGAGGAAGAGAAGTCCTGATCAAACTTCTGCGTCTCAGTAAAGGGGAACTGAGTACGCTAGGTGGCTGGGTACATCAGATGGTGATCTGGTGTAGGGAAAGGGAAATTGGGAGGTAGTGTGTGGTTAAAGTATCTAGCGCATTGCATGTGTGAGAAAGTACAATGTGTAGCTGACCTAAGTGTGGAGTGAGTGCTACTTCGTTTCCCAGTAAGGTGTGTGTGTGAGTGACTGAGTGGATACTTCACAGGGCCATACAATGGGAGTTGGGGGTTCAAAGGGGGAAATACACCTCTTGAATGTATGTTAAATAATTTAAGAAAGCCTTCTCAGGGGCATATGGAGTCAAAATGATGCCAGAGCGCTTGAGAACGTTATGTGAACTAGAATGGCCAAAACAAAATATTGGATGGCCATCTCAAGGAACCTTTGATATAAATTTAGTAAGCAAACTTTGGTCTAACATCGCCAAAGAAACTGGAGGGTGCCCAGAACAATTTTCATATATAGATTCCTGGCTGAGCACATTAAATAAAAATCCTCCATGGATAAGGGAATGCAAAGTCCAACGATGCAAATTATTGGCTGTAAAAGCCGAAGCTAGGAAAGGAATCTTGCCAAATAAACTCAAACCCATTTTTGAGGGACCAGAGGAAGAGGTGCTTCCACCTCCACCCTATGCTCCACAATCGAAGGGAGCCTAATTCGAACCCTCCACCAGTTGTAACCCCAAGGCAAGAAAGTGGAATGAATAATGGGGCTGGAGTCACAGAACTTGATTCCTTGGTAGATTATGATAAATATCTTCAGGAGGCATTGGAGTCCTATAATGAAGCCCAAGCAGAAGTGGTTATTCCACCTGTGAGTCCCAGTAGAACTCCATCTACAGTCTCTTTTAGTGGAACAACTGATTGCCTACCCCAAACCCCTGTACATCTATTATTACAGAAGTTACAGGGAGACCCTAATCGGTCAGCAAACAATACAGCCAGGCGTATAGAGTTGCTAAAAGAACGCCTTGGGACAAATACCATCCCCTATGATTTGAGGCCCCTAGAGCAAAGCGAAGAGAAAGGTCACGTAGTAGCCCCTCTTAGAAGAGTATTTGATGCACTTGAGGAGCCTGTGCTGGTTAATGAGCAGGCCAGAGTGGGAAATATTTTTAATATTGACCGTCATCTCCAGGAAAACTTTCCCTTGGAAGATCCTAATTGGGATCCAAACAATGCAATTCACCTGGCCAGGTTTACCACCTACCGCCAGATGCTTGTGCAAGGTATCTGCAGGGCATGCCAGAAGCCCACTAATATGTCTAAAGTTTCAGGAGGGTAGATGTGTTACCCATAACACTGTTTCGTGTTCGGTGTGCACCCACAAAAGACTTAAGTTGTCACCTTTTGAGCTCCTGTATGGGAGGCCGCCCTCCTTTGTTCAGGATATTCCAACTGACCTCAAACAAATAGGAGACCATGCAACACAGGGACAAGTGCAATCTCTCTCCCGTGTTTTTGTCTCTCTCCCGTGTTTGTTTGTTGTTGTTGTTTTTATCTTAACAGGTGGGCCCTCGAGCACGCCGTGCAGCATTGCCTGCCGATTCATCAGTTCCAGGCTGGCATAGCATATGGGTGAAAGAGTGGAAACGTGATCCACTTGTACCTAAGTGGCGTGGACCTTACTCCGTCTTGCTCTCTACTCTAACAGCGGTGAAGGTAGCTGAGGTGACCCCCTGGATTCATCACTCCCGTTTGAAGAAGTCCGAAGGCAGTTGGACGTGCAAAGGTGACCCCTCTAATCCTCTTAAACTGACTCTCTCCAAAAACCCCTGTATCTAGCCCTACCGGGAACGGCTAGGTCACGGGCAACATTAGACGACCGGCCTGCTGCAGCCACAAACTTGGAAGCTGGCTGACCTGCGCACGCCTGAAGCTTGAGGAGCGTCTGAACCAGAGACTGTGAGCGGGAAGATTCTCTTATACAATTGATTGACTGCCCCCTTGTGGAACAATTATCAGAGATATTACACATTGGGGATCCTTGGGATATATGTTTTGGTCTTGGTGGTTCCCCATTTCTGTCACTGGGGAATTATATGGGGACTAATAGTTTTATGCTATCACAATAAGGTAATCTTTTGTGGAAGGAATGCATATGCTAGACATCAACATGATTTTATTATTAATCCTGATCCCTTGGGAAGGGAAGGGTCCTTGAATCTGACCAAATTTGCTAAATATGGATTCAGCCATGACCACAATATGTGGGTAGGCTTAGCTGCGATGGTAGGCAATGTGGCAAATAGGACCAATTGCTGATTGCTCTCTTGGGCCAGATGATTTAGAGGGAGGTGTGCCCTTATTACCGATACCATTAGATGCCATTGGTATGGTAAGCGAAATGCCACACCAAACAGAAATACAGAATTTCCCCGGATGGAACTCAACTAAATCATTATGAGTTATACCTGTACAAGGGGAATTCTGTGTACATAAATCATCAGATGCAGCTGATTCTCCCATGGTAGGCTCTTCTCATTGCCACTATACTTGGGATTATATTAAGAATACCTGGGCACATGGTACTACCTATCGAACTCGGAATGCCTTGCCCTGTGCACCTCCTTTTATTCATGCATGGAAAGTGGTATGGAACATAACTGTGACAGAAAAAGGCAATCTAACATACTGCACTGTGAACTCTATACCCCTTTTGATATTTTGCCTTATGCACTCCACATACCAAAAACCTCAGACCCGATGGTTGTGGTGGATATGTGGAGAATGGGCATACAAGAAACTCCCTTCCAAATGGAGTGGGACTTGTTTCCTGGGATGGGTATTACCACCAATGTGGATTTGCCCACTAGTTCAGCCAAGTGAACACGAAGAAATGCTGATATTTCTCGTATAGCAGGAGGAAGTACCCAAAGTTGGAGCGGTACTGATGATTGGCCGCCAGAGCGCATAATAGCCTATTATGATCCTGCCTCCTGGAATCCTGGTGAGCTCATACAAGGGGCACGGGATCCTATTTATAATCTAAACAGAATAATTCGATTGCAAGCAGTAGTGGAACTTGTAACCAATGCAACGGCCCGGAGTTTGAGACTTATTGCACAACAGTTGGATGAAAGTAGAGCCCCATTTTGCAGCTGAAAATGGGAATGGATTATGTACTTGCCAGGCAGGGAGGCCTGTGTGGAGTCTTGAACTTGACAGGGAATGCCTGTTGCTTTAACATTTCAGATAATGGTTTTATGTATGGTGCCATGTATCATCTCATGTTTTAGGAGTACAATTAGCCAGATGATTTCAAATGAAACTTTACCTCATATCATGGCACTATATAGAGCCTTACCTCAGGAATATGATGTAGATCAAGCTATCAAGGACGCTTGGTAACCAGGTCCTTGAGCTTGAAAGGGGGGAATGTGGCATCTGAATATAGACTGCAATTTTAATCAAGACTTATATTGGCTTATATTTGATCAGGTTCCTAAAATTCTAAAAATAATGTTTCTTCCAAGGTAGAAAACCAGCAAGCGGCTCCAGCAAGCAGCTGGCAAGCAAAGGGCCCCTGGTTTATTGCGGTCATAGAAAGGCTGAGAAGCAGGTCACTGACCTTGCATGCTGTAGAATACAACTAAGTCGTAAAAGCTGGAATTACAGGCTGAAGACCAAGGTTACACAGACCCTACATAATTAGGGATGAGTAAACAGTAAAATAATACCATGGGCCTCTTTTAAACCTTGAGCTGTATTTTCTAAGGCCAGAGGCAAATGGGAGAAAAAACATCTAGCTGACAGAGAAAGAGAGGCTTTTTGGGAAGTCCTTTTAAAGCATCTAGCTGGGAAGTCTTTTTAAAGCTGTTTCTTCCTTAAACAGATAATGGGAAAAGCAGCTTGCTGAAGGGGGGGGGTGTAAACTGAAGAGCCTTCTTCTGAAACTGTTTTAAACTGAGTTCTTTTTTTTCCTTTCTCTCTCTACTTTAAAAAGGCCTTATTCCTTTTAAAAGGTTACCTATGATAATGTATGAAATATATTAGCTTAAATATATTGGCTTAAATGTAATTATGCAAAGGATTTAACAAATGCTAGAAGAGTTGTATTTATCTTGAAATTAAGTCAGCCACCAGTCCAGCCCCCTGCCAGACAAGAAGACGCCATCAAATGCTGTCCTGATATATTAGCTGTCAGATATTTGTTTAGAAACCTTCAAATGAAGGATATCTTTCAATATTGATGTGAAACTCAAGATCCTTGACATATTTTTAAGATAAAAATTTAAGATTAACCATTTGTTTTAGAAGGCAATAGGGCAAGAGGTGAGCTGGTAATTAAGATTCCATGTAAGATATATTATTACTTATTTGTCATTTATATATAGCTCTTTGTCTCCCATAAAAGGCAATAGGAAATGAGTGTATTTTTGTGATTGGTTATACTAATCAGCCAATAGGAAATCCAACCAGGCTGATGGGACAGAGGCAGCCCAAGGAGGAGCAAAGGGGGCTGGATTAAGGGAATATAAGTGCTGGCCATAATGGCAGGAGGCAGGCCAGAGCTTGGTAATCATATACCACTGTGCCTCTCATTTATTTGTCTGACAAATAAATTATTATTTAATTTCTCTGTTGCTGCGTTGAATATTTCATTCCAGCTAAGCGTTAACCACAAGCAGGGTGCTACATAGGAAAAAAGCACTGGTTGGAAAGGTCATTTAGTCCAACCTCCAGCAATGCAGCCATCTCAACTAAACCACCCAAGAGAGATGACAGAAAACCTCCTGCTCAATCATCTTGGCTCAGAAGCTTCTCGTATTGCCATAGTGTTGCCCGCCACCCCACAACCCTCGAACTCCCCATATATGACCGAGTGCAACCTCACCAACATATACATTAGAGGAAATTCACACTAAAATGCTGCATGTGTCGTCGTTCCCCCCCCCCACAATGAAGAATTCTCAAACTGATATGGACATGCGGAGAATGGAACGTGAGACTGCGAAAATGAGGGAATGAAATGGACAGCTCCTCCCACTCATAATCTCGTACCAAGCAACAGAATAAGCAGGGAGAGCCGGCTGAGAAAGCACCAATTTATTGCAGATGTGCCCTGCACGTTACAGAACAGCTGCTGAGAGACAGCTGGACCCACAAGGTCTTCCCACGAAGGCTTCCGTGTGGATGCACAAGGGCACTGAAATGTCTGGGGTGCATTTGGGAACCCCTTGCCCCTCTAGTGAGCCCCAGGGGGGCAGAGTCCAGGCAGCAGTGTTGGGTCCTCTGGAGCAGATTGATCTCAGAAGCGAGCTTTGCCCCTACATGCAAATCTTGCCTGTTTCCTGCCCCATCCCTCCAGCAATTTCTGTGGCTTGCCAAAAAAGCGCATATATGTGTGTGTGTGTGTCTGTATCTCTATGTACTTAAAAGATAACAATTTTGTCCCTGGGAGACGGCTTGCGAGGTCTGATTTCATGTGCAGTAAGGGAAGGGGACTGGTGCTGACGGCTGCAGCAGCTTGTACAGGGTTAGTTTGAAAAGGGCAGGGCAGGGAGGGCAGGGCAGCTGAGTGGCCAGGGGCCGGGATGGACTGTCCGGCTACTTGACTGGCCTGTTCTTCCTAATGTTCCAGTAGTAAGTGCCCACCCAAGAAGGCTTACCAAAGGTCCACTTCTGAGTGAGCCTGGTCCTGGGGGAGGCTTAGTCACCTGTATGTTCCACGAAGGGTATTCCTGCACAGTGTATGGTGGGTAGGTTCTGGGGGGCGGCCTAGTCAGCACCCACATATTCCACGCTGGCCGGGTCGGAGCCACGGTCCACGTCTGGGTCCAGCCGTAGGCCCCCCAGGGCGGCTGGGTTTGCACGGGCTGCAGGGGGGGCTCAGTCTCGGCTGGCGGTTGCTGCCAAAGGGGAGGGGGGGTTGTCACGACCGGCTGGGTGTAAGCCCAGTTCTCAAACTGCTGGATTTCATTGGGGGACGCAGGCCGCTGCCTGGTGGTTTTCTTCCAAGGGTTGGCAAAGGTCTCAAGCGGCATTTGGATGTAGGGGCCCGTGGGCCACCACACCTGGGACGTTGAGCTCTGTGTCGGGGGTGGGGGCGGGACCATCGTTGTAGGTTTCCCCACAAAGCCGCCCTGGAAGAAGTCCTCCTTGGTTGACCACTTTATCCAGTCAAGGAAGTGCTGTGTGGACGTGTAGATGCCCGGCTTCTGTGCCTTGGCACAGCCCGTCCCCCAGCTGGTGACTCCGATGACCCAGAAGCGCTCGGACCTCATTTCCCGGCACATGAGGGGGCCTCCGCTGTCACCCTGAGGCAGGAGGAAAAGATGGGAGACAAGTGAAGAGGGTGCAGCTGCACTCAGGAGAACTGGGTTGCACATCTGCCGGCAGCAGCACCAAGGAGCTCTCATGACGACCACAAAGGATGGAGGCATCCCTCATCTCACATGCAAGAGAGATGGGGTCACACGAAAAGCAGGGCTTCTGCAGATGGGCAGAGAATATCGCACTGGGGTTGTTTCACTCAGGCTTTGCCTCAGCTCTATTTTAGTGGGGAGGTGAAATTCTGGGAAGGGCAGAGCAAAAGAGTGCCATACAACCGCCGGAAGCCACCTTACACTAAATCAGCCTGTTGCTCCAATTAGCTCAGAACTGTCTACGTTGATTGGCAGCACCTCTCCAGGTCTGAGGGCTCATTCACTCTTCCTTTCTGCCCCGCTCTTTCCAGGCGCTCTTTCCATGTTTTAAAGCCTTGAATCTGAGGGAGGATCTACACTCATGGTTTCAAATGTTAAGGAAGGGTTAAGGAATGACTCTGAAAATGTATATGGACACATGATGTCCCGCTTTTAACATTCATAATGTGTTATTAAGGTGTGGCACCAAAGGACACAGCAGAACAACCAGCAGCAGGAAGACTGCATTTTGATGAAAAAGACCAAGGTAAAAAAACCACCACTTTAATTAACAAGAATGCCTTGTGGCATTTTAGAATGACATATCTAATAACGTTCTAATAACGTTAAACAGGTCAGTGTAGATCCAGCCTAGGTGTCTTTTTTGCCCCATGAAAACCTGCTCTTTCGCACTCTATTGAAGCAAATGTCAATTTGGGTTTTCCAAGGATTGTGTTTGCTTTCGCTGAGCTTTCCAGAATGGGGCTTTGGAGCAAAAAATAAACAAAAGGGGGTGATCAGACACAGAGCTTTAAAGCACAGACCTGTGCCTGGAAAGAGCCGAGGAAAGGTAATTGTGGATAAGTCCCCAGGCAGAAAAGCTGGTTGGAGATGCCCAAACCTGGGACCTTCTGCATGTAATGGAGATTCGGTGGACCAATGTTCTGACTTGGGATAAGGCAGCTTCCTATGTTCCCAATGCCAAAAAGATGAATAATCTGGGAGCAAGAGGACTCTGTGGTGGGACAGGCAAACCTTGAAGGATGGGGAATTCTGAGGGACAGCCAAGCACATCTTCTGGAGCAGGCGAGAGAGAGCCCCGAATGATATCATTTGCCTGCCTTGCCCTCCTTGCTGAGAGCTGCAGTGTGGCGTAGTGGTCAGACTAGGACCTGGGAGAAACCTGGGTTCAAATCCCCACTCAGCCAGGAAGCTCACTGGGTGAGCTTAGGGGGCCATCACTGCCTCTCAGCCCAAGCTACCTCGTGGGGTTGTCATGGGGATTAAATGAGGAGGGAGAGAACCACGTCTGACACCTGGATCTCCTTGGAGGGAAAGGCAGGAAGATAATAACATAGGCTGTCTGAATATGGGATGGAAAGCGGATTTCCCTGGATGGGGCAGAGTTAGGCCATTCCTCCAAGAGGAGGGGGCTTCCCTCGTACTGCCCCTCCCCCCCCCGGCTTGCCTCCCTCCCTGGAGAAGCAGCCTCTGGCTTTGCATCACTGCATACCTGGCAGCTGTCGATGCCTCCTTGCTCGTGCCCAGCGCAGATGTTGTTGAGGTGGATGCGCTTATTGTACCAGCCAGTGCTGTTGCAGATGTGGGAAGGGATGAGGTTGACTTTGGCCTCTTGCAGGACGTCCGAGGTCACGCCTGGCTCTGCAAGCAGGAAGTCTCGCTTTAGCATCTCGCCTCGGGACGCAACCTGGCTTCCAAGTCAAAACAACTGATCCGGGAACTCTCTGAACCAGCTCTCACCAACCTGGTGTCCTCCAGGTGGTTTTGGGCTATGATTCCCATTGGCCCCTCTTATCAGCTGGGAGGTCCTACAGCCTCTGGAGAAGCAATATCTGCTTCCCAGTCCTGCCATCTTTGGCCATCTGGCTGCACTCCTTGGTAGGTAGGAATATAGCCACCCACCCACCCTACCCGGTCCAGGAGCTGGGTGAACCACAACATTACTTTTAGTTTAGGGACTCCTAGTACATCCAAGAGGTGGCTGGTCTCCAGTTATGTATGCATAGGGTAGCAGATGTGGTGTCCTCCCACCAGGCATTGCCAGGCAACGCTTCCCCTGTGAGACCCTCTTTGATGTGCATCCCATCCCCGGACTCTCACTTGACACATCTGTTACTCCCCAGCCGCTGACATAGCAATGCGTCAGAGACATCACATCCACGTCCATGTCAGGCAAGCAGGCCGGCTGGATGTAGTCGCTGCAGTTGAACGGCGCGCTCATCTCCATCAAGGCGATGTCGTTGAGGTTTATCCGTTGGATATACTGCGGGTGTACGATCAGGTCCTTGATGGTGCGCGCCTGGGCGTTGGGGCCAGGGTCAGAAAGCTGGTTGGCTCCCATCACCAGCTTCCATTGATCGAGAAACCTGTAGCAGAGAAAGATGGAAAACTGGACCACCAAGGGGGAAGAAAGAGGTTCTCTTTGTACCGTGTGCCATTCATCTATGATTTTGGGGAGAGATTCAGGAACCCCATGAAAAGTGGTTAGACTGAATGGTATTGCAGGTGTCTCTGGGTTTCCAAGGATGGTGTGAGGGACGGACTATTTTAAATTGTTGTTTGTTTGTTGTTGTTGTTGCTGCTGCTGCTGCTGCTATTCTCTTATTTATTAAGTTTCTATGCCACCCTTCACCGGTGGACGACAGGGCAGTTTACAATATAAAAACACAGAAATACATAACAAACGAAACAATACCCACCACAGTTTAAAAGGCTATAAATGGTTTAATTAGCCAGAGGCCTGAGAGAAGGGGAACGTTTTTGCCTGGTGCCTAAAGATATGTGATGATGGCGCCAGGCGAGCCTCCCTGGGGAGAGCATCCCACAAGTGGGGAGCCACCACAGAAAAGGCCCTGTTCTCGTATTGCCACCCTCTAGGTCATGGGTAGGCAAACTAAGGCCTGGAGGCCAGATCTGGCCCAATCGCCTTCTCAATCTGGCCCACGGATGGTCCAGGAATCAGTGTGTTTTTACATGAGTAGAATGTGTGCTTTTATTTAAAATGCATCTCTGGGTTATTTGTGGGGCATAGAAATTCATTCAATTTCCCCCAAAAATATAGTCCAGCCCCCCCCCAAGGTCCGAGGGACAGTGGACTGACCCTCTGCTGAAAAGGTTTGCTGACCCCTGCTCTAGGTAGCTGGGGAAATATTCATATAATAACGTCATATATAATTGTTATATAATATAATATATATGCTATATATTATCTCAGTCGGTAGAGCATGAGACTCGTAATCTCAGCATCGTGGTTTTGAGGATGAACAATTCCTGCATTGTAGGGGGTGGACTAGATCAGTGTTTCCCAACCTTGGGCCTCCAGCTGTTTTTAGACTACAACTCCCATCATCCCTAGCTAGCAAGACCAGTGGTCAGGGATGATGGGAATTGTAGTTCAAAAACAGCTGGAGGCCCAAGGTTGGGAAACACTGGACTAGATGACTCTTGTGGTCCCTTCCAACTCTACAGTTCTATGATTCTGTGATTTGAACAAGGAAATTCCTGGCTGCCTACAGCACTGTTCAGGGCATTTTATGGAGAGAGATAAGTACCATGAGGGTGGCACCCAAATAATAATGCCAGCAATGGCCATTGCTTTTGCTGTTATTATTGTTATTAGCTTCTGTACAAGCAGCGCATGTAGGGCAACCGTGCTTTCAGGGTGGCAAGCAGAATAGATCATAAGCAATCATTGCAATGCACCATACCCTGTGGAATTAATGATACAAAACAGTTCATAAAATCACAGGGTTCAGACTAGGCTTAGGTACCCCATAGACTTAAACTAGGTTAATGCTAATTTCACCTCCCCTGGGACCTGTGAGAGGTGACAAAATCTGTATCATGCCAGCACTTGCCACTCTGGTGCCATCCAAATATTTTGGGCTACAACTATCCTGAAACACCCATTAATTCCTGGCTGAGGAAGGACATAAACTTGGGGCTTTCTGGCACACACCTCACTGTACCAATTTTAAATGCTGATCTTTAAGAACTTCGTAGCTAGAAACTATTACCTGAGTTTCTTTTTTCCTCCTTCCTCCCAAGCCCCTTTCCTTTTGTGCCATGCCTTTCAGATATGAAGGAGGGAGCCACCATCACGCCACTTGTTGCCTCACTGACTCCCTTTTTTTGGCTGTGGTGAGGGGCAAAAATCTTTTAAAGGATGTAATGAGCTATAATGATCTCTGGTAGGCAAGCAGCCTGATAAGCAACAATGTCTCTCCGACATTATGTAGGTTTATTTACAAGAAAAACACATCCAGAGCACGGCTTCCCACCTGTTCTTATTAATAGTAGTTGATCAGTCTGAATCACCGTCCCTCTCCCAACAGGAAGGACGCCAAAATCCTGCCTTTCTTTTCCTTCCCTTCCGTTGTTCTCTGAGCCCCTCCAGTCTTCTAGTACGGGGACTTCTAGTACTGCCTCCTCCCCACTCCCAGATGACGCAGCCTCAGACTCTGGCTTATCTGCTGGCTGCCTGGCAACGCTCTGGCCACCTTCCAACTCTCCCTCTTCTTGAGAGCAAACAGCTTCTTCCCTGGGAAGGAGGGGGGCTGAACTGCCCTTCCTGGACTCTGACAGCCAGTTCTCATTTGCAGAGTCGGCCTCTTACTCTCTTAGCTCAATTTCTGAGGCCGACTCTTCCGCTGCGCTCTGGGGGGCCATGTTCCTGACATGAGCTCCACAGCTCAGCCAGCATTGCATCTGCCAGGCTGAATGATCTGCAGGGCCAGCACATCTGGAGACTCTACAGCAAAGTCCCCCACCCCTTGCCGCATGCAGCTGCCCCCGGTACTCTGCTCACCTTCTGTCTAAGAAGCAATGCGCTGCAGTGAGGACCCAGCGAGAGCTGATGAGGGAGCCTCCGCAGGTGTGCCTGTAGCCCTGGCTGGATGGGACCTGGATGCTGACAAGCCAGGGCCATGTCCCGGGGAGAGCCTGCGTGCCTCCGATAATCCGAACTGAGCCACCATGGCTGGGCGCCAAGGGACGTCTCCCGCAGACTCCACTGGAAAGGGACACAAAGCGCGGGCAGCCCACACATGCCATGTGTGACAGGTGAGAGGCACACGAGACTTAGGAAAGCAGAGCTGCCCTCCCCGAAAGGTCCACTTTCTGCCACAGGAACCTGTCCAAGCCAAGCCTTCGTCAGAGGCCCTTTCCCAAGCAACCCCACCTTGAGATGTGAGGCAGGCGACTTTGTGGGGAAAGGACTTCTCTGTGATGGCACCCAAGTTGTTGTTGACATCGGTCTTTCTCAAGAGACAATGGGGTGTACCTGCGTTAGCAGGACTGAAGTGACCTCTCTGGGATCAAGCCTGGGCAATGTGCCCCTCTCGGCCTCGTTGATGTGTGTCAGAGAACTGCCATTGGCTCAGGGGCGAGAGGGGGAAAGGTGGATGGATTACAGAGAGCCCCCAAAGATTGTGGGAAGCAGCACTTCATCGGCAGAGGAAGGAAGCCATGCCTCTAGTGGAGAGGAGATGCAGGGCTCGGAAGATGCAAGGCAGTTCCAGGACACCTTGCCTGAGCAAAGCGGGGAGGAGGGAGGTCCCCCTTTACCCAAGCCCTCCCTGCGCAGTAGGTTTTCACGCAGAGAGGGGAGGTGTCGGATGGGGGTCAAGAGACTACTCTGCTGGGGAAAGTTTAAGGACCGCCCACTCTCAGATTCTGCTAGTGACTGAGCCAGACATGGAATTGAGGCTTTCTGCACTGTAAATGTTTTTGCACCAATAATAAAGCCTTTGAAAAGACCAGTGGGGACTTGCCTGTTTGCTCTCGAGCAACCACATCAATAGGCATAACAATGTGGTCCAAAGGAGAGCAGAGCAAGAGGTTTGGCACCTGTTGGGCTGCAGGAGTTGCTGGAAGGAGGCATACAAGATGCCACCCAACCACCTTAGGGATTCCACTCCAGATTTGTATAGGGTTTACTCCTGAGCCTTTTGGTTTAGGACCAGAGTTTTTCTTCTTCTCTATGGGTTCCCTTCCCAGGTGGATGAGCAGTATGTTTCTGAGCACAATTCAAAGTGTTGGTGCTGACCTTTAAAGCCCTAAATGGCCTCAGCCCAGTATACCTGAAGGAGAGTTTCCACCCCCATCGTCCAGGCTGGACACTGAGGTCCAGTGCTGAGGGCCTTCTGGCGGTTCCTTCACTGCGAGAAGCCAAGTTCCAGGGAACCAGGCAGAAGGCCTTCTTGGTAGTGGCGCCTGCCCTGTGGAACGCCCTCCCACCAGATGTCAAAGTGAACAAAAACTACCTAACTTTTAGAAGACATCTGAAGGCAGCCCTGTTTGGGGAAGCATTTAATGTTTAATAGGTTATTGTATTTTAGTGTGCTGTTGGAAGCCACCCTGAGTGGCTGGGAAAATCCAGCCAGAAGGGTGGGGTATAAATAGTAAATTATCATCATCATCATCATCACCACCACCACAACCTGCCCCTCACTTCCCTCTCCAGCATGTGCAGAAACTGCTTTCTTGACCGTTGGACCCACTCTTGGTTTCTTCTGCTCCATCTGCTGGAATCTGTCTTCACATGCAGGGGAAGCCCCTAACTCACCCAAGTTGTAAGAACGTGGCAACATAAGATGAGCCTGCAGGATCAGGCCAATGGCCCTTCCAGTCCAGCATCATGTTCTCACGGTGGCCGGCCAAACGCCCATGGGAAACCAGAAAGCAGGATTCAGTTATGGATCTCCCTCCCTAGATGTGTTTGCCTGGTGCCCTGCAGCCCATGTCTAATCACACCTACTCAGTAGCAAGTCCCATTGAGTTCAATGGGGCTTACTTCCAAGTAAGTGTGGTTAGGATTGCAGGCATGTTCTTGGTTGGAACACAGCTGAAAGGCACAGGGGTTGGCAGAAAAACAGGAAGGATGTCAGAAAAGGGATTCACTTCATTTAAAATGATCTAAATGTCTGACGCAGGTGGCGTTTTGGGTTAAACCACAGAGCCTAGGACCTGCTGATCAGAAGGTCAGCGGTTCGAATCCCCACGACGGGGTGAGCTCCCGTTGCTCGGTCCCTGCTCCTGCCAACCTAGCAGTTCGAAAGCACGTCAAAGTGCAAGTAGTTAAATAGGTACCACTCTGGCGGGAAGGTAAACGGCGTTTCTGTGCGCTGCTCTGGTTCGCCAGAAGCGGCTTAGTCCTGCTGGCCACATGACCCGGAAGCTGTACGCCGGCTCCCTCAGCCAATAAAGCGAGATGAGCGCCGCAACCCCAGAGTCGGCCACAACTGGACCTAACGGTCAGGGGTCCCTTTACCTTTACCTTTAAATGTCTTACTTAGGGCTCATTCACACTTCTGTTTGCCCTGCTCCTTTCCCCCAGGGAAACCCATGGGGGTAAATGGCAACTCACAAAAAAGACGATTGCCGATTGCTCTGGGCTAATCCACACTTCTGCTTCTGCCATGCTTAGAAAACATGGGGCTAAGAGGCTTTCCTCTTGTCACACTGCTTTTTCCTAGGGAAAGGTGCTCTTGAGCACACAGTCGGAGGGGAGTGATGTTGAGTATAATTGTTTAATTAAATTGTTTAATTAAATTTCCATTAAAATGGAAAATAACTCTGTATGCGTGCTGCTAAATGCAGAGCATGGAAACTTCCACTGCAGCTAAACAAAGGAGTTGCAGAGAACCCAACAGGTTGATAATTAACTTTGAATGTATCTCTGCTACTCTTCACAAGGTGTTTAACCTTTAGGTCCCACGGGGTGTATTCAATTAGTATTCACTTGCAAACCTACATTTTGTGGGAGTTGGGTCCTTGTTTTCTCTCAATCACCTTGGAAGAAAAGACGTGAGGAGGTGATTCTCTCTAGGAAAGCACAACCTCCAGCTGTAATGGGGGCTGTGGGAGAGACAGGGCTTTATTTTCCTCTCTGGAAGAAGTAATTTTATATTTCCAAGGTGCTGTGCCTGTGCTTGGGCTGTGATATCATGCAACTATTGTAACTTACTTTGTTTTTGTGTGTGTTTTGGAACAAGTTCTGTTAGTAAAGCTTATGAATCATATTTTTGGACTGGGCAATTTTTAGTCGAAGAAGAGTCAATTTTATTCATCCAATTACGTTCCTATGTGCAATACAAATAACTGCAATAAGAGTGATTCAGATTCCACCCTGGTTGCCATTTGTTTCAATCTATCACTAAAGAGTGGGTTTTCCATGGGAAAGGATTGGGGGAAGAGGAAGACTGCTTGGACCCCTAGATTTTAGGCACGGAGAAAGTGGAAGTGTGGGTGAACCCTAAATTTATGGAGCTCCAGGAAAGACCAGCCAGGGACAGAAGCAGGGGAGAAAGTATCTGCAGCAGCTGCAATATGTGTGACCTGATACGAAAGCCAAAAGCAGGGGTTGGTGTCCACCACAACGGATGCCTGTCTGAGCAGGAGGGCTGGGCTGGGGCTTTCATCTCCCTCCCACCTTCCCACTGGATTCTGATGCCACTTACCTGCAAAGTTCACCTAGAGCATGTTCAGAGAAGAATACGGAAAGGACCAAAAGAGGAAGAGGAAGCCACTTCATCCTACATGTCTCGACAGGTGGCAGCTTCCGCCGCCTGTTCCCTTTGCTCATGTGACATCACAAACCATGCGCTTCTGGAGCCCCGGCCAATCAGCACAAGGCAAGTATGACATCACTCTGGAAGAGCCTGCCGTTCTCTATCAGCGGAATGGATGAGGGTCTCCCATGGAAGTTCTGTGAGGGGCCGGCCTGAGGCAGGGTTGGCTGGGCAACGCAGCAGAACAACCCCTGGCTCTCCTCTTGCGCCATAGCCATTGTAACCCAAGAGTATTGTCCTCAAGAAGGGATGGGGCTCAGGAGCAGAAGACTCTAGGTTCAATCCCCACTGCCATCTCCAGATGTGGAGAGCTGCTGCCAGTCGGTGCAGACAATACTAAACTAGGTGGACCGTTGTTCCAACTAACTATAAGGCAGTTCTGTATGTGCCACATGTTGTTGTTGTTTAGTCGTTTAGTTGTGTCCGCCTCTTCATGACCCCCTGGACCAGAGCACGCCAGGCACTCCTGTCTTCCACTGCTTCCCGCAGTTTGGTCAAACTCATGCTGGTCTCTTCGAGAACACTGTCCAACCATCTCATCCTCTGTTGTCCCATTCTCCTTGTGCCCTCCATCTTTCCCAACATCAGGGTCTTTTCCAGGGAGTCTTCTCTTCTCATGAGGTGGCCAAAGTATTGGAGCCTCAGCTTCATGATCTGTCCTTCCAGTGAGCACTCAGGGCTAATTACCTTAAGAATGGATGCGTTTGATCTTCTTGCAGTCCATGGGACTCTCAAGAGTCTCCTCCAGCACCAGAATTCAAAAGCATCAATTCTTTGGCAATCAGCCTTCCTTATGGTCCAGCTCTCACTTCCATACATCACTACTGGGATGTATGGAATGTACTTCCATACATCACAGCCTGGGAGTCTGTTCAAATCATTGGTTGGGCAGGGGGTGGGAATCCTCATCCAACAGGGGTGGTTTCTGGCATTTGAAATCATTTTTATTGGTTTTCCATGGGTCTCCTGTGGCCAAAGCCAATGAGGGCAACTCTAGACCATCTGCAAAGCCTAGCAAGTTTGCACATAGCCTTTTGTCTGCTCATGTGATGGGCAAGAGGTGTAGCAACACTTATCTCATTGTCACCCCATTTGCTGCAGTCTCCAGTCTCTGCTACTCCTTTTGAAATCTGGAGGTAGTTAGAGGATGGATGGCGGCTAACAGATTGAGGCTGAATCCTGACAAGATAGAAGTACTGTTTTGGGGAAACAGGGAACAGGCTGGTGTGGGGGACTCCCTGGTCCTGAATGGGGCAACTGTGCCCCTGAAGGACCAGGTGCACAGCCTGGGAGTCATTTTGGACTCACAGCTGTCCATGGAGGCACAGGTCAATTCTGCATCCAGGGCAGCTGTCTACCAGTTCCATCTGGTGTGCAGGCTGAGACCCTCCCTGCCCACAGACTGTCTCGCCAGAGTGGTGCATGCTGTGGTTATCTCCCACTTGGACTACTGCCATGCACTCTACGTGGAGCTACCTTTCAAGGTGACCTGGAAACTGCAACTAATCCAGAATGTGGCAGGATCTAATCCAGGATCACAACTAATCCAGGATCACAGGAAGTGGCGGCCGGGACCATATAACACCGGTCCTGAAAGACGTACAGTGGCTCCCAGTACGTTTCTGAACACAATTCAAAGTGTTGGTGCTTATCTTTAAAGCCCTAAATGACCTCGGTCCAGTATATCTGAAGGAGCATCTCCATACCCATCGCTCAGCCTGGACACTGAGGTCCAGCTCCGAGGGCCTTCTGGCAGTTCCCTCACTGTGAGAAGCAAAGCTACAGGGAACCAGGCAGAGGGCCTTCTCGGAACGCCCTCCCATCAGATGTCAAGGAGATAAAAAACTACCTAACTTTTAGAAGACATCTGAAGGCAGCCCTGTTTAGGGAAGTTTTTAATGTTTGATGTTTTATTGTGTTTTTAATATTCTGTTGGGAGCTGCTCAGAGTGGCTGGGGAAACCCAGCCAGATGGGTGGACTATAAATAATAAATTATTATTATTAATTATCATCATCATCCTTAAGACATGAGATTCTAGCCCTGTCCTGCCAGCCCATGGCACGGGTTATGGGGTCACACGGCATTTTGCTTCTGCCAGGAGTACTCCTTTCTCTGGCACAGCCTCTGGTGAGACATCAGGGCCAAGTCCAAGGAACATCTTGTTGCAGTGCTTCTGTCAAAAACATGGAACTCTCTGAGGCCTCATCCACACTTTGGCCTGTCCTGTGTTTTCAAGGTCCAGGTCCAAGAGGTTTTCATTTGCCCTGCTCTTTGCCTGGGAAAACCCACTATTGAATCGGAACAAACGCCACTCCACAGAAAACCCAATTTGCGTATGTCAGGGGCTCAGGAGCAGAGGCACAGGAAAGGGAGGAAATAGAGAGCGAGGGGGAGGAATCCGAAGGAAATGTTAGCGATGACAGCGGTCCGAGGTCTCTGAGTCTTTCCAGCGAATCGGAAGATTCACAGAAAGGGGCTCCCATGGTCAGAGCAAGGGGGGTGCCTAGGGGGACACCCCAGGAAGAAGGGGCCAGAGGGGACTCAGAGAGCAGCAGTTGGAAATCAGGACCAGCTTCCCCACCAGAGCGCAGTAAGGGGGAGGAGTCCCAGGTATCGGGACCAGGAGGCTCACCGCCAGCGGGAGGAGAGGAGTCAGGATTGACCACGCCTCCATCGGAGAGCGAGGAAACGGTCAAGAGGAAGGTGGAAGGCTGGGCGCGCGCGCCAAGTTCAAATGTACAGGAGGGCGGCGCAGTTGGCAGCCCGGATAGGGAGCCAGGTCCCAAAGCCCGCCAAAAGGAGGGGGAGGAGTCAGGGGGGTCAGCGTCAGCATCAGAAGAGTCCAGAAAGGAGGAGACCCCGGGGGGCAGAAGGACCCAGAGGAGAAAGGAGAGACGGAAGAGGTGGAGTAAGGTTAGAGTCTTAAGCTGGTGTACAGGGGGTGGAGACTCAGATGGAGCTTTGCCGGTCTAGCCTCTAAGACATAGAGCTGGGGCGCTGCGGCTTGGAAATGGAAACTGTACTTCAATAAAGACTTTTGTACATTACTACCGGCTAGCGTGGGTCCTCTGTGAGCTGGGACCTGGAGCCAGCTCTGACAGCGTTTATTCTGATTCAGCAGTAAACAATGGGTTTTTCCCAGCGAAAGCAGCAAGACAAGCAGAATTGTGGGCAAGATCTCAGACTATCAGATTGTTGGTTGATTTAATGTGGGTTTTATTTTATCTTGTGTTTCCTCCGTTTTTAAGCTGCTTTAGAAACCCATGTAGAAAAGGAGGGCATAAATTAAATAAACTGAGCTGAGCCAAACATGACTCTGGTGTGTTCTTTCCATGTCTGAACTATTGGTCAAAAGAGACTGCAGCACCCCACACCCCACCCCAAAATGTTCATTATGTTGTACCCGCGTTCTGTGCAAGACGAAAAAGTGGATGGAATTCCTTGTTTTGTGTTCTACCCTCTAGATTTTATAATCAACAGCAGAGTAATTAAAACCAAACATTCCTAAATACTACCAGAAAAGAACATGCCACAGAGAAAGAGAAAGGCTTGTGGTACCAAAATTGTGCAATACGGGTTTGTCTATTTTGAAATTAAATTTTGTAAAATATTGCAGTGAGTTGTGTCAATCATCCTGCTCCATGAAGTAGAAATTGTATACCTGTTTTTCAACTGGTAGGAGTTGAAGCATCTGAGTTTGTCACAAAAGAGAGGAAAAGTTTTGGGATGCCTTGTCAAGAATGAGCCAGCTCCAAGCAAAGGTTTGCAGCCAACTGCAGAAAGCAGCCAGTAACAGACAGGCTTAGATGTTAGGCAGGGGAGAGCTGGCAGCTGCAGACTTCGGCTCTTCCTGACCTTGACAGGCAGGATGATAAGGCAGTAGTTGAGAGAAGGCTAGAATACAGCCAAAGCTCGCAGGAAGCACAAATAGGCACGAATAGACTCAGAGATAGCCTCTCAGAAAAGGAAGAGGTTGGAGCTGATCCACTAAGTCAGAAGAGTCAGCGAATGGGAGGGCTGCTAGATAGGAAGCAAAACAAGAGACGTAAAGTTCCTAAGTTCAATGTCTTCTGTTGACACCAGAAGGAGTCTTCAGAAGAGTCACCTTGAGTAATAATGCTGGAGGCTTTGTTAGAGCCATCCGGAGCTGTTTGTTTTTGCAATAAATCCTCATTTTTAATTATCTATGCTTACTGTGTTATCAAGCTGGGAACTTGGACTCCTGATATGTCTGTAATTGTGGCTGCTCTCATAAATAAGTATGTTATTTCACAAGACCTGTATGTGGTCAAGTCATTTTGGAATAATGGCCTAGAAATATCATAAATACTTATAGATAAATGGAAAGATGTGTTGGGAAACTGTGTACATGCAGCTACTCACACAGAGTCAATTAAGGTTTGGCAGACAGCCAAAAGGTTATGTGAAGGAGTAAGTCTGCCTGGTGATAACAGAGGCATGGGGACAGCTCCATGATTGGTCAAGCTCTCTCAAGGGAGTGATGGCCTACTAACTGGAGTCGTGTCAGAGAGAGCTAGCAAAAGATCTGTGTTCTGTTCCTGTAAATAGTCCACTGTATATAATAAACACCTAACTACAAGTTCCTGGTTCCTGCTTCGTCCATCCTGTCTGCAGCCAAGTTGCCAATTGCTTCCATGGATTCTGCGTTTACTCTGCTAGGTCTGTCTAAGGTCCTGCAACTAGTCAGAAAGTTGCGAAACACCAATAGGTTTTGCCAATATGATGGACCATGAGGTCAAAAGGATGCCTGGAAAAGTGGAGGGAGGAGATGCAGACAAAAAGCAGATAGGCCAGTAATCCTCTCTTGGGGTTCATCCACACTCCCTTTCATACTGCACTTTCTAGGGATTCCAGGTCTGTGCCCCAGTGGCTTTTATTTTCTGCCCTGCTACTTTCTCTGGGAGAGCCTGCATTTTACTGCTGAGTCGGAGCAAACGGCAGTCGGCTTTTCTGCAGCAACGCTGACAGCAGCGAAGGCAACATCAATTCCGAAATTTCAAAGCTTGCAATATTGGGACTCCGAGCAATCGCCATTCGAACACAAGCAAAGCGTGGCATGTCTTTATTTTTAAGCACAACGAGTTCAATACATTGGATATACCGACATGCTCCATTGTGGAACACTTTGCTTGCGTAACTGAATGCTTATAAAGTTAATAGAAGGACGGGCTGCATCACAAACGCCGACATCAGGCTTGCAATGGCGCCCGTTTGCCAGGCCAGTTACCCCAACTGCTGCCGTAGCTGACGCTGGTGATCATTTCTCTGTTCTTTTTGCGTTTTGGAATATATGGTCTGAAATCATACGGGGTCGTTGTTGTTGTGGGTGTTGTGGTAGTAGTTGTGGGTGTTGTGGTAGTAGTGGTGGGTGTTGTGGTAGTAGTGGTGGGTGTTGTGGTAGTAGTGGTGGGTGTCGTGGTGGTAGTGGTGGTGGTAGTGGTGGTAGTGGTGGTGGTAGTGGTGGTGGTAGTGGTGGTCGTGGTCGTGGTTGTGGTGTCTGTTACAGGCTGTGGCTCTGCCCTTTGGGGTGGTGCTTCAGATGCGGGCGGCAGCTGTGGAAACCGAAGCAATCTCGGTCGTTTGGGTTCCTGGGGTGGCGGCTGAGGATTTGGTTCGGGTGCTGTTTCCGTTTGCGGCGGGGCTAATATCTCTGACCAGTCCGACTCAGACATGTGCAGATTTGGCTCGAGTGGCGGAGGCGGCTCAGTTTCTTCAGGTGCCTGCTCTTCCTCCTCGGTCGGCGCCGGGGGCGGTTGTGAGTTCGGCCTTGTGTAGCTCTGGATCCAGTCGAAGAAGTGCTGCGTGGAGGTGTAGACGCCGGGCTTCTGGGCTCTGGCGCAGCCCAGTCCCCAGCTGGTGATCCCCACCACCCAGTAGCGCTCGGAGCGATCCTCCCGGCACATGAGGGGCCCGCCGCTGTCGCCCTGCAGTGGGAAGGGAGAGGACAGCTGTGTGAGGACGGGGAAGGCCAGCCGCTCAGTGGAGAGAGCCCCTGCCCTGCCAGAGGAAGGTCCCAGGTTCAGTCCCCAGTGGCATCTCCAGGTGGACAGGGGGACTCCTGCCAGAAACCTGGAGGGCCATGGCTGCCGGTCAGTGTAGACAGTACTGATGGCCAGTGGTCTGACTCAGGGCTCATCCACACTGACCTTTCTAGACACAGGTCTGTGCTTCCAAGCTCAAGGTCTGAGTGCTTTTCGTTTGTTTGTCCTGCCACTTTCCCCAGGAAAACACATTCTTTCGTGTTCAATCGGAACAAAAAGCAATTTGGGTTTTTCTGCAGATTGCTGTTTTCTTCAATTCAGTGGTAAAGAGCAGCTTTTCCTGAGGAAAGGAGCAGGAATTAAAACAACCCACTTGGACATGACACTTTAAAGTGTGGTTCAGTGCCTAGATATGCAGCAGGAAAGGAAGTATATAACAAAATAAGAAGTCATAGAAAAAAATGCTGTTCTTATTATTTTTATATAGCGATATTACCTCAATATATTATTTTTATATATTACATTATATTAGTTTTAATAATAATATGCTTTAATACAGGCATAGGCAAACTCGGCCCTCCAGATGTTTTGGGACTACAATTCCCATCATCCTTGACTACTGGTCCTGTTAGCTAGGGATGATGGGAGTTGTAGTCCCAAAACATCTGGAGGGCCGAGTTTGTCTATGCCTGTTTTAATATAATAAAAATGTCAATGAATCATCAAATCATCAAATTATCGAGTTGGAAGGGGCCCAAGGGTCATCTAGTCCAAGCCTCATGATGCAGGAATCTCAGCTAAAGCATCCATGGTAGATGGCTACCCAACCTCTGCTTAAAAACCTCCAGGAAAGTCCCTCATCTTCCCTCTGTGCTAGGTTGTAAGAAAGTATTAGAAAGTATATTAAATGTAAGGTAATAATTATAAGTCCCCTTCATGGATCACTGCCTTGCCATGGCGAAGGGGCTTGAATAACTTAGAGAAGCTATGAGCTATGCCGTGCAGGGCCACCCAAGATGGACAGGTCATAGTGGAGAGTTTTGACCAAACGTGATCCACCTGGAGCAGGAACCGGCAAGCCACTCCAGTATCCCTGCCAAGAAAACTCAATGGACAAAGGCAACAGGCATATAAAAGTTATGACGCTGGAAGATGAGCCCCTCAGGTCGGAAGGCGTCCAACATGCTACTGAGGAAGAGCGGAGGACAAGTACAAGTAGATTCAGAGCTGATGAAGCGGCTGGGCCAAAGCCGAAAGGACTCTCAAGAACTGTGGGCAAGAATCCTGTAAAAGAAATGGAGTGGCTCTCATAGTCAACAAAAGAGTGGCGAAAGCTGTACTGGGATGCAATCTCAAAAAATGTTAGAATGATATTGATACGAATCCAAGGCAGACCTTTTAACATCACAGTAATCCAAGTTTATGCACCAACCACTGGTGCTGAAGAAACTGAAATTGACCAATTCTATGAAGACTTACAACAACTTATAGAAGTGACACCAAAGAAGGATGTTCTTCTCATTATAGGGGATTGGAATGCTAAAGTAGGGAGGCAAGAGATAAAAGGAACAACTGGCAAGTTTGGCCTTGGAGTTCAAAATGAAGCAGGGCAAAGGCTAATAGAGTTCTGCCAAGAGAACAAGCTGGGATTCAGGCCTCATCATGGGACTGAAACTGCCTTGGTCGCACTGGTTGATGATCTCCGGCGGGCTAGCGACAAAGGTGAGAGCTGTTTCCTAGTTCTGCTGGATCTCTCAGCGGCGTTTGATACCATCGACCACAACATCCTTCTGGACCGTCTAGAGGGGCTGGGAGCTGGGGGCACTGTCATACAGTGGTTCCGCTCCTTCCTCCTGGGCCGTGTTCAGAAAATGGTGGTGGGGGGTGAGTGTTCAGACCCCTGGACTCCCACTTGTGGGGTGCCTCAGGGTTCTGTCCTCTCCCCCATGCTTTTTAACATCTACATGCAGCCGCTGGGAGAGATCATCAGGGGGTTTGGGCTGGGTGTTCATCAGTATGCAGATACCCAGCTCTACCTCTCTTTCAAATCAGAACCAGTGAAGGCGGTGAAGGTCCTGTGTGAGTGTCTGGAGGCGGTTGGAGGATGGATGGCGGCTAACAGATTGAGGTTGAATCCTGACAAGACAGAAGTACTGTTTTTGGGGGACAGGAGGCGGGCAGGTGTGGAGGATTCCCTGGTCCTGAATGGGGTAACTGTGCCCCTGAAGGACCAAGAGTCATTTTGGATTCACAGCTGTCCATGGAGGCACAGGTCAAATCTGTGTCCAGGGCAGCTGTTTACCAGCTCCATCTGGTACGTAGGCTGAGACCCTATCTGCCTGCGGGCTGCCTTGCAAGAGTGGTGCATGCTCTGGTTATCTCCCACTTGGACTACTGCAATGCGCTCTACGTGGGGCTACCTTTGAAGGTGACTCGGAAACTACAACTAATCCAGAATGCGGCAGCTAGACTGGTGACTGGGGGTGGCCGCTGAGACCATATAACACCGGTCTTGAAAGACCTACATTGGCTCCCAGTACGTTTCCGAGTACAATTCAAAGTGTTGGTGCTGGCCTTTAAAGCCCTAAACAGCCTCAGTCCGATATACCTGAAGGAGCGTCTCCACCCCCATTGTTCAGCCTCACTGAGGTCCAGCTCCGAGGGCCTTCTGGCCGTTCCCTCACTGCGAGAAGCCAAGTTACAGGGAACTAGGCAGAGGGCCTTCTCGGTAGTGGCGCCCGCCCTGTGGAATGCCCTCCCACCAGATGTCAAAGAGAACAACAACTACCAGACTTATAGAAGACATCTGAAGGCAGCCCTGTTTAGGGAGGCTTTTAATGTTTGATGTATCACAGTATTTTAATATTTCTTGGAAGCTGCCCAGAGTGGCTGGGGAAGCCCAGCCAGATGGGCGGGGTATAAATAATAAATTATTACTATGGTCATCACAAACACTCTTTTTGTGATGGCCTGGGACTCCGATTCTGAGAGTGAACCGGAGGAATCCCAGCCTGCACAGGAGTCCCCGCCTCCAGGGCCGGCTGAACTGGGGCAGGGCCTTGATTCTGAGGAGCCTGCACCTGTGCCGGATCCTCAGGAGCAGGCACCAGGTGAATCCATTCTGGCTCCGGAGGTGCTTGAGGACTCAGTGCCTGCAGGTGAGTCTCCCCCTGGGCCCAGTAACCCTTCAGCCTCTCCTGAACTGCAGAGGCTCAGGGCAGAGAGGCGAAGGGAACTGGTTTCTCCCAGGAGGAGTGCTTGCCTTAAGGCCAGGAGAGGCGGGGCTCCTGGGGGCCGGGGACCGCCCCTGGCCTCAGAGAAGATAAAGGCCAGTCAGCCCGGTCCCAGGTTGTGGGAGCAATGTCGTCCTTGGAGAGCTGTTTTGGCCAGCATCCAGTCCTGTTCCTCCAGTGTTCCTGTTCCCCGCCCGGCTTCCTGCTTCTGACCTTCCAGCGTTCCTGTTCCCCGCCCGGCTTCCTGCTTCGGACCTCGCCTTGCACCTTGTGAACTAATTCCAGGCTAGTGACTCAGGACTGAACTTTGACTACGGTAACAGTAATCTTCCCCCCGGGACCAACACACTTTTCCAACAACAGAAGAGATGACTCTACACATGGACATCACCAGATGGGCAGCATCGAAATCAGATTGAGTATATTCTCTGCAGCCAAAGATGGAGAAGCTCTATACAGTCAGCAAAAACAAGACCTGGAGCTGACTGTGGCTCAGATCATCAGCTTCTTATAGCAAAATTCAAGCTTAAACTGAAGAAAGTAGGAAAAACCACTGGGCCAGTAAGACACAATCTAAATCAAATCCCTTAGGAATACATAGTGAAAGTGAGGAACAGGTTTAAGGATTTTGATATGGTGGACAGAGTGCCTGAAGAACTATGGATGGAGGCTCGTAACATTATACAGGAGGCAGCAACAAAAACCATCCCAATGAAAAGGAAATGCAAGTAAGCAAAGTGGCTGTCCAACGAGGCCTTACAAATAGCGGAGGAGAGAAGGCAAGCAAAATGCGAGGGAGATAGTGAAAGATACAGGAAATTGAAAGCAGATTTCCAAAAAATAGCAAGAAGAGACAAGAAGGCCTTCTTAAACGAGCAATGCAAAGAAATAGAGGAAAACAACAGAGTGGGAAAAACAAGAGATTTGTTCAAGAAAATTGGAGATATGAAAGGAACATTTCGTACAAAGATTACCATAATAAAAGACAAAAGTGGAAAGGACCTAACAGAAGCAGAAGACATCAAGAAGAGGTGGCAAGAATACACAGAGGAATTATACCAGAAAAATATGGATGTCTCATACACCCCAGGTAGTGTGGTTGCTGGCCTTGAGCCAGACATCCTGGAGAGTGAAGTCAAATGGTCCTTAGAAAGCACTGCAAATAACAAGGCCAGTGGAAGTGATGGTATTCCAGCTGAACTATTTAAAATTTTAAAAGATGATGCTGTTAAGGTGCTACACTCAATATGCCAGCAAATTTGGAAAACTCAGCAGTGGCCAGAGGATTGGAGAAGATCAGTCTACATCCCAATCCCAAAGAAGGGCAGTGCCAAAGAATGCTCCAACTACCGCACAATTGTGTTGGTTTAAAGCAGAGTCCCGTGCCCAGCAGAAGGATGAGGAGTACGTGCTGCATACTCTATATTGCTTTATTTATAGTTCAAAGCTGGTATATTACAGAAAGACATCTTGCCTCTGCCGGAGCAGAAAATGCATCCTCTCTCCTCGATAGCTCGGAGAGAATCACACAGTGAAACTGCAAAGAACAGTGAAAAACAGGAAACCAGTGTACGTCACATCCAGTCTCCCTTTCCCGTGAGAAACTCCAACAGTACAGACTGTGGAATGTAAACACCTGTCTCGTGACAAGCCCTTTCGCTGCACAGTGAAGGAAAGCAGAAACCAACATCCTCCCCCTTTCTGTGAACA